CTGGCAAATCGCCACGGAAGCGGGTGCGCAAGCTAAGCTGCATACAAATCCAAGTAGGCTGTTATCGATAGGTGGTAGCTTATATAGAACAATTCGACGCTGACAAATCGCCACGGACGGTGGCTCAGGGGGTTAAGGTGAACCCGAAGTATTCCGCCGGCATGGGTTCGAGTCCCCCAGAAAGATCAAGCACACACACATAAAAAAAAATATACGGATAAAGCATCAAAGTAGGCCGTTATCGATAGAATGATTCAACACTGGCAAATCGCCACGGAAGCGGGTGCGCAAGCTAAGCTGCATACAAATCCAAGTAGGCTGTTATCGATAGGTGGTAGCTTATATAGAACAATTCGACGCTGACAAATCGCCACGGACGGTGGCTCAGGGGGTTAAGGTGAACCCGAAGTATTCCGCCGGCATGGGTTCGAGTAGTCCCCCCAGAAAGATCAAGCAACACACACATAAAAATATACGGATAAAGCATCAAAGTAGGCCGTTATCGATAGAATGATTCAACACTGGCAAATCGCCACGGAAGCGGGTGCGCAAGCTAAGCTGCATACAAATCCAAGTAGGCTGTTATCGATAGGTAGCTTATATAGATCAATTCGACGCTGACAAATCGCCACGGACGGTGGCTCAGGGGGTTAAGGTGAACCCGAAGTATTCCGCCGGCATGGGTTCGAGTAGTCCCCCCAGAAAGATCAAGCAACACACACATAAAAATATACGGATAAAGCATCAAAGTAGGCCGTTATCGATAGAATGATTCAACACTGGCAAATCGCCACGGAAGCGGGTGCGCAAGCTAAGCTGCATAGAAAATCCAAGTAGGCTGTTATCGATAGGTAGCTTATATAGATCAATTCGACGCTGGCAAATCGCCACGGACGGTGGCTTAGTGGATTAAGCGAATCCCCAAGAATCCAGCGGCATGGGTTCGAGTCCCCCCAGAAAGATCAAGCAACACACACATACGGATAAAGCATCAAAGTAGGCCGTTATCGATAGAACGATTCAACACTGGCAAATCGCCACGGAAGCGGGTGCAAGCTAAGCTGCATACAAACAACAAAAAATTTTAATCAATTTTACAAAGGTCATAAAACTATTTTTTTTCCGAACTTTCAGTTGACCTTGACTGAGCTAGTAGTTGCCCATCCTGTTCCACATTGCAAGTCAATTTAATTGGAAGCGGTCGCAAACAGTTTGCTGGCGGATTAGCATCCAAGTAGGCTGTTAACGATAGCTTTTATAGAACAATTCGACGCTGGCAAATCGCCGCTTAGGGGGTTAAAGCGATTCCCCAAGAATCCAGCGGTATGGGATCGAGTCCCCCAGAAAGATCCAAAGATTCAACACACACACATAAAAAACAAGAGGAAACGCTATAGTCGAGTGCCGTTACCGTTTTACAAAATTTTAAAATATTATTTTGCTAGTGCAAATTCACGAGGCGCCACCTATTGTCAGAGGGAGTATGTTGAGTATCCTTATTGCCCATGTGAGGCCTTATAACTTAATTTCTTTATAAATAGCGAAATAATGTTCCGATTTGAAAAATCTTTGGCAAATCGATAGATATTAACAGAAATAAGTTATACAAAGTCAATCGAAGGCATTCATAATAATAGTATAGACGCCACAGTTTTCCGCGGTTTGTGGGCGTTAGAGTGGGCGTGGCCAGATGCAACTTCGTGGAAAGTTTCAGAAGCATCTGGCAGGATGCTGTAATAAACTTGCGCTGTCCCGGGACCTCAAGAATCTTCATGCTTAATCTCAACTTTGTATCTGCTATAGTTCCTGAGATCTCAGCGTTCATACGGACGGACGGACGGACGGACGGACGGACAGACGGACATGGCTCAATCGACTTCGCTATTGATCCTGATCAAGAATATATATACTTTATAGGGTCGCAAACGCTTCCTTTTAACTGTTACATACTTTTCAACGAATCTAGTATACCCTTTTACTCTACGAGTAACGGGTATAAAAAGAATAAGATAGTAAAGTTCTGATGCTGAACCCAGCTGCTAAATCGCTTTCTTCAAAAAGAGTTTCTATCTTGAAAGGGAACTAACCTTTTTTAAGTAAACATTATATTTTTACAATATTTTACATACCTTCTTGAATGCCTTCTTTATAGATAGGCAAATTATAATCAACTAGATACAACTGCCTCAGGATTATAAGGCAACTTCCAGAGAATAAACCTTAACCCCTATGAAAATCTATAATCCATAACACAATGATAATCACGTCTTGAAATCCTTGGGAGTAGCAATTGACCCGATTGCCGGGCACACAGCATAATCGACAATCGTTTCCAGGAATTGATAATCTAAACACTCCAATTGAATTGCAATTGCAGCTACACACAAATAATTTGTCTCACTTAAAAGGGGTTGGGAGGGGGGTAGAGAGAGCAAAGCTTGTCGTATTCAATTAGGGGTAATTAGACCATTTTCCATTTTGCCATGGACAGCGAATGGAGGAGGTCTCCGCCTGCGTCATGGCCACGTGAACAGAAATTCAAGTCTATATAGTTCATATATATATCTACTACGTGGATGTATCTCACCCACACAACGGCAATCTGCGTGGCACGCATTGAGAAATTCAATTTTAATGCGGCTATTACATAATTTGATCCCTGCCCTGCCAGACACTGAATGCATATTAATTAACGTTCAAAATTTGATTGTGTGCCACAATCTGCAGCAGCAGCTGAAGGATACACCAAATCGCAGGCGAGGCATATTCCAGCTAAAATCCAGAATTATCCCCAGGCATTGGGGGCATTCAAAAGAGCTAACGAAGCAAGCAAACTTTTGCCACAAATTACTTACATACTTGCCTCGAGGTGAGGCAATAAAAATTCATCAATTTTAAATTGGGGAAATAAGAAGGAAAGAAAGTTTTAAGTCTTAAATAGTAAATTAATGGTATCATAAAAACAAAAACCATAAAATTTAAATCAGAAAATAAAGAATGTTTAGACTTTCCGAAGAAGAAAGCTAAGTTTTTAGTCTGAAGGAGAAGTATAGAGGAATAGTTTTAAAACTAAGTCATACCTAATTTTAACAAATATATTATTATATTAATTCCAATAATATCAATTTTATTACCTTGTTTCCCAAAGAGTCTTTCTTCATTCTCTATCTATCTAGCTTAAGAAGTATAACCGCATAAGAAACAATATTTCTAAAATTTGTATTTTATTTTTGAAACACACAGCATATAAAATTGATTCCCCTTAAACTACCAGATAAAAAATAAATACAAAAACTTGCTGCATTTCCAAATAGCAAAGGACACACTCCATATCTTTTCCGAGAACACTTCAATCGTCCAATTAATTTGACATTTCAGCCGCATTCGCTCGCTAGCTCTCTCTCTCTCTCTCTGCCGAGTTCAGATTCAATTAATTTGTGATAAATAAATAAGCAAAAAGTAGCGCTAAAATACCGATGTCCAGCGTAAATATTTAACATGATATAATCCGGCATCTGTGAGTCCGTCGCGATATGTCGAAAAACATTTGCACTTTTACCGGACCAAATTGTTCGGCTCTGTTTCTGGTCCTGTTTCTGTTCTGTTTCTGTTCTACACGCACGTCAAGCTGGCATCACATTTAATTAATTTAATAACCGCTTTTAACAAGCATTAATAGCGTTAATTTTTCTGACAGGGCCACTTTTCATTTGCATTTGCATTTATGTATGCATTTTCCAGCATATATCGGTGCATACTATATAAGGTATGTGTATGCATTCCCTTTGTGGTTTCAATTATGGGCCATCAATTGATTGATTCAGCGCAATATTTACTTCAATGAACTTTACTGCCAAGGGAAAGTCTTTTTTTGGTACATTGGTAAAGTTCCTTGGTATCTACTGCCAATAAATGTGATTTTTTATTTATCTTAAACTAATTAGGCTGTCAGCCTTGCCTACCCATTCCATCTCTATTACCCTCTCAAAATATTTTCTATCAATTTTATTAATTTCTATCGAGCCTACTTCATCCTGCTAAGCCAGTAGTTTTCATCATCTCCGGCCGTTTGTCAGTTGAAATCCTTGCCAAATATCCCTCATTGTCATTGGCCGAAATAATCAACAAACAAGTCTGTGATTGTTAGTAACTGCAAAAGTGAAGTGGCTAAGATCCAAGATTACATAAGACATCAAATTGGTTGCAATTGATAGTTACTTTCGCCTGATTGACGCCCTAAGACTCGCTTTCGCAATGCAATCCATTAACCCCCTGGCACATCAATTACAACCGATTAATTTGTCTAATTGGCAGTCAGTTGTGAATCGAGAATCCTATTCCTCTACCACTCCTTTCTGAGATGACAAACAAAGCGGACAACTAAATGCTGGGCCGCCATTTCCATGTTCTTTCCACATGTCATCATGGAGGTGGATGTGGCAGTGAGGAATACATATTTTGACGTACCCGTGTAAACGTCAAATGCCAGAAAGGACGACCAAGCAGCTTCGCCGGAACAAACAAAGGAGCCGCTGGATGGATGCTACTGCTTGGACGGATAGTGTTGGTGTGTGTCCCGTGTCAGGCAATCCACCAGTCAAAGTCCTGACAGGACCCGTTTCTGACAGCTGGCCTCCTTGGACTCCTCCTGCCGTGCCCTGCCACACCCCAAATCACATTCCTTTCAATGCTGGCTCCAAGATTTCATCGCCATTGCCTTAATTAATACCCAGAACATGGAACCTGACAGCCAGTTGAGTCCTGATCTTAGAATAGGTTGACACAGGTGCATGGCCTGAGACTGGTCTAAAATCTAAGAAATATACTTAACTATGTTAGAAGTAGTTTATTAGTTTAAATGTTGACCTTAACAAATAGCTAAAATCTTAAGGAAGTAACCTTATTTAAAATTAAATTTAATTTTTTATCAGATTTTGATGTCACAGTCTCTTAACTTAAATATTTTTAATCATTCAGAGTTTTTATACTTAGTAGATGTATTATATACGCTGTCCTAGAGCCTTACTAAAATCATCTGAGCAATCCTTTTGCCACTTTTGATTTATCTTGACCTGGTCAATTGCCTTTTTCAGAGGTTCTTCAAACTGCTTGATGTCCCTTAACCTTTCTTTAAGTTCTTCCACTTTCTCGGGACTTTGGAAATTTCTTACCAAACTGAGCAGTAGTCCTGTAAGCTCTCGCTTTTTGAATTTTTCACTAAAAAGAAGGTAGTTTTAATGATGATCAAGATTTCTTAAATAGTTCGAACTCACCCCGTGACCTTAGCATGACTTAGTATATAGTCTCCTGTTGATGAAACCAAAGCATCTCTGCTCAAGGCTGTTTCCACTGCCAAGACATAACAATCACTTATAGGTTTCTCATCAGATTGAAGGGTTAGGTTCAGTAACTTCTCAAAGTTTTTGAAATCACGAGTGCAACCTAATGATGAAGCCCATATCCTTCTTTGGGTTGCATTCGTAGAGTTCTGGAACAGTCCGAATATCTCTTGGAACTCCTCATCGCCACCTTCTTCCAGAAACGAGCAGTAGGCAACCTTTTGGAAATTCAAAGGCAGCTTATCCCGGGAACCATTACGATGAGATAGAGTAAGAGTCTTGACCTGACTGGTACAATCATCCACGTTATAACGACAGGCCTGGGTATATACAAAATGGGCAAAATGGATATCCTTGATGGCCGGGGTTGATTCTGTTATCCCTGATAGCTTTGGAAAGCGTTTATAGAGGGGTAAGAGTAGCTTCTGCATGTATAACTGAAAGAATATAGTAGATTTATTTATAGGAAAAACAAAACTTGAACTTAACTCACTTTAAATTTCCTAGCATCCTCACCAGTTAACAAAGCCCCCAGACGATTTAGTATACCCACAGCCCTTTGCCAAGGCAGAAAGTCCCTTTCATTTTTCAGATAGTCCAAAAGATCGCAGGCCTTGTCATATTTGTGAATATTTCCAGCTGCCAATGCCAGAATATCATCCACCAACTGAGCTCTATTCAGTTTGTGAATGCCACCGAAATTGGGATCATTCTTGAGAGTTTCCTTTAGTAAGTGCCAGTTTTGTTCATCATAGTTAACTCTGAAGATGTTGCCAACTTGGGGATTGAGAATGATCCATTCATCGGAGGTTGGCAAATCGGACAACTCGATAACTTTCGTGATCGAAGGACACTCCAACCAAAATTGTGGGGAAGTCCTATTAAAATCTGGTAGATTTTGCCTCACAAAGGTCAAAGGCACCCACCAGCAGGATGAATTTATCACCATATCATTTCCCTTTAAGAATCTGTTTTGATTAATGGTTATCCTACCTGTTTGGTAATCCCTAATGAGGGTTACCAAGGGATAGCCACCCTGCAGAGTCCAGGAATCCATAACACTGCTCAGATTAAGTTTATCAGAAATAATTCCCTTTTGCAGCGCAACTTCCTGAAAGGATTGCCAAAGATCCCCTTGAGACACGTTTCCTAAATAGTACCTCCTCAGAAACGAACGAATTCCCTGGAAGAAAGCCTCCTCTCCAAGCATTTTGTGCAACATTCGCATGGTCAGAGCTCCTTTCTGGTAAACATACTCTGTAAATTGTCCCAGAATCTCTGTGGGATTCTTAACATCCTTCGAGATGGCAGGCACGGTAGCATTCGAGTCTTTTTCAAAAAAGTTTGCCAAGTCTCGAGCTATAAATCGTTCTCCCCTGGTCCATTCAGGTTGTAAGCCATCTAGCGCCAAGTAGGCAAAATACGTAGATGGGCCTTCCTTCAACCAGAGATCATTCCACCATTTCATAGTGACCAGATTTCCAAACCACTGATGGGCATATTCATGGGCCACAGTTGAGGCGGTCATATCCTTTTGCTGCTGCAAAAAGTCTCCTTGGTTCTGGGGTAATCTCTCCTCATTGTAGGTAACCAGTCCCCAGTTTTCCATTGCCGTAAATCTGTGTGTAGGCACCGTAAGCTGATCAATTTTCCGTAGTGGAAAATCAATTTGGAAAAGGTTCTCGTAGAAGCCAAGCAATTTGGGAGCAATTTCCATTGATATCATGTCCTGATCCAACAACTTTTGCTGCATCCAGTTTCGGAAGGTTACTCTATTCCTAGTATCACCCGCTATGGTGGCTGCATTCTTCAGGTCATGAACGGAGTAGGCCACTAAATATGTTGAAGTTTTCAAAAGTGTTTCATGATCGCACCATATATAGTTTTCAAGACTACCGCTAAAAGAGTAAGAAGTTTTTAGGAACTTAACAATATTCTTATAGCAATTCATTTCGTGAGTGTTATTATTTTGTAAAATTGATATACGGAGTTAAGAAACCTCTACATTTTACCAAATGAATGATTTAAACATCAGATTTTGTGGTTTTGGCTTTAAATACTTAAGTCGCGGGTCGATAGCAAGACCTATAGCTTAAGTTAGTATTTTTGTATAATAGTTTGCCGTTGTTCCTTAATGAAGTAATGGGCACTCTAGAAAGTTTTAAGGTGGCGCTCATGGTGAGTTTTTTAAGTCTGACAGTTTGAGGTGAGGAAGGTTATACTGCGGTAAGGGACTTATAAATTAAGATTACTGTATATTGTCAAATTGTATTTCCCCACCCTATACTCTAGGCAATCCACAGACAACAACTTAGTAAGAGCTACTTACTGCTTTTGACATTCAATAACTGGAGTACCACTCAAACCCGTGTAATCCCTATGATAACCTAAGGTAATATTGAAAGTGGATTTCCAGGAGGGCTCATCAAAGCAGGGAAAAGCCTGCCTGGCAAATGTGGGTGAGAATTGAGTGACTGCCAGGTGACTAAAATACATGATTTAAATATTTAAGTTGTGAAAAATTAAACAATAAACTCACTGAACTTCCTTGGTAATAGCATCTGTGAAATTACTTTTGTAGTAGCCGCTTAAGGAATCATTTAAATTGGCTGCAAAGTGCATTTCCAACTGATAGATCTGATCCTTTTCCAGTTCTTGACTCAAGTGCAGGATGTAGAAATTATATAACTCATTTGTTTCGATGGAAGTAATGCTGTTTGTTTCCTGTTTGAAGCTAAGTGACGTCCGCTCCTCCTCTATCTTTAGGAATGCCACATGTAAAGTTATATTCCTGGTGGATTCTCTGGCCAGAATATCTATCTTTACCGAACCCTCGAATCTTTGATCTGTACTATTTAAGTGGGTGAGGATCCGTAAGTTATAGTGCAGAGGTTCTAAGGAACTAGGTAAGCGATAATGATCATAGGCAGCCCATGAAGAAGATATAAGGAGGATAAAGATCCAGGGACATGGATTAAGCTGCGGCATTCTATATAACGAAATCGAGATGATACTGATCAGTAAGAATCACTTAAAGAGATCTTAAATTATCCTAAAATGAAGAAATTAAACCTAGTAATAAACTTAAAGTTAAGGTAAAGTAGGCACCTATTTTCGATTCATTCATATAGGATTAATCATTTTTAATAGGAATATGTATTCGAAAGTTCTTTGTAGTTTGGGTCCCTCCAAAATTTTAAGTATAATCAGGGGTGGTGGCTGTGGTACAACCACTTTTCAATCATTCTGCCCCTCGGCACTCCAAGCACATCGTAAACATTATCATGTATCGAGAAGGCGCCTCAGCTGGAAACTCAGCATGATGCAGTTGCTCAGTAGTCTGCGGCATCGTTATTGCCTATGGCGTCTTCGGCGCCTTTTGGGCATGGGCTTCGACGAAGGTGGATTCCAGGAGGGCACCCGACAGGCGGCGGCCACCATGATCGAGGCAGTGCGCCAAGCTGACTGGCCCTGCATCCAGAGTTGCTGTACGAAGCGAGGATCGGCAGACATTTACGGGTTGTCCCAGGTTCGCTATCCCTATAGCAAATTAGTGCGGTTTCAAAGGGATCACCTGAGGCATTGTGTGCCCGTGAGAGTAGTTCGTCGCTGGATCGATGGTCGTCGATGTGTCCTGGTAGACATGCTCTTTGTTGGCCTGCGCAATCTTCTGGATTTGGGTACTGCCCAGGAAAAGGAACAAATGATTCAACGTATTCAGAGTGCTCTGGCAGACTCGCAGATCAACGAACAGTTGGATGCGAAAAATTGCCGTTTGGCCATAGCTGAATTAGTGCTCACCTTCTGCAAGGAATTGGGGGATTCCCAAAAGGATCCCGAGGATTTAAGTATTTTAAACGAGGAAGCAAGGGATGGCTGGCTAGTTGATTCCTATAAAGTCAACCGCTTCAAACTGATTAGCTTTAGTCCCAACACTCTCAACTTTCGCGTAATTGAATTCCTGAAACCGGTTCGGCTAAAGTCTGAAGCCTGAAGTGTCTCTGTTTTGGAGGTGATGTTATTGAGCACTTGCCGTCACGTGCCGATTACTAGGTCAACGATCGCTTTAAACCGAATTAGCATTATTTTCAACCGAGTTTGCCAGCAATCATCGCGCGTCTCCAGCCTGAAGCTAACTGATCGGTTGTTAGACTAACATTGATGTATTTATGGCATTACCTGGAGAGGTGTGTAAGCAAGTTACCGATCACTGTGATAAAAGGGTTTTTGTATGTGTAATTTGGAAGCTATATTAACTCATTTGTAGTTCATTTTAAATCTAAAGTGCCAATTCGTTAAAAAAATAAAGCAGTCTATATATTTTTCTATCAATTTAAAAGCTTAGGTATTGTTGATCTCTCTTTTAAGCTAGACTCAAACTCTTCATCCAGTCTGTTTTAATGGAAATTCCTGGTAGAATTCACTGGATTGGGGTTGTTCGTAGGTCTGCCCTCTGCTATTGGGGGCCGAAGTGGCGGAGAAGTGGGGTTGTAGATAGCCTCTTGTTAACGGTTTCGATGTAGATGTTGCAGGAGTTGATAAATCGCGGGCGTCGCAGTTGATGTAGCGGCTGGTTCGGGAAGCCGAAAAGGGTCAATGCCTAGCTAAGTGTTCCCGTGCGCTGTAGAAAGACGAAGTAGGAGCGCGGGAGAGCGGGAGTTGGGAGAGTTGGTGGCCGGAGGGCAGGGAGTTGGAGAGCTTAGAGGCTGGTGAGCGGAAAGTTGGAGGCCTGGAGTACTAAGAGCGGGAAGTGAGGCCGCAGACGACCTGGAATTTTTACCGTGGCCTGAACACAGACTAAAATTAAGCTTTTCAAAACATTTTTTTGAAAATTAGAAATTATTATAAATATATTTGATGCATAATTCTTTTGATTTAATAGATTTTACCACAAAATTATGAACAAATAAATCAAATTGATAGAGAAATGTACTTTATTTAATACTCAATCAAATCCAAAAGTTGACCTTTGCGGGACTATGAAAGAGTATACTTAAAATATACACTATATTTTATAGGATATATATATATCCTTAAAACTAATCTAATTTAATAATATTTATCCGTAGAAATGTAAATGTTTAGGGCTAATAATAATAGTCATGTTAAATGAAAAAGCGTGTCATATAATAAACCAAAACAAGACAATAAAATCTTTACAACGCTCAACTTTTAGCCAGTACTTGTTATTAATTGCGCTTTATTAATGTTCGGAATCAGATAATTAAAACTGCAACTGAAGCCAAAAAAGGAGAACAAAACAAACGCCTTTTAATTTCAGAGAGCGAGAGAGAGAGAGAGAGCGTAAGAATAATTTGTCAAGCTGCGAGCTTTTAACCCATGTACGCACATTTACACTCCAGATGCTGCTGGCTGTAAGAGTAAACTATTTTTGCCCGGGATCCAAGGATGTGGAGGATAAGAGGAGCAAGGGTAGATGAAAAATCACGGCGTGTCGCTTTCGAATGGAACATAAAAAATTGAGGGCTTAATTAAAAAGCAAAAATGTGCTGCGATTTTCCGCTTTTTTAACGCCAACAGCAGCAACTTCGGCAGCCAGTGGCACCGACCCGTATTTATATCCTTACCCGTACCCATGGCCCCCCCAAAAAAAGGAAAAAGAAAAACACTGAACCCATTTTCCAGGGCCAGGGAAGCTCTACTACTACAAGCAAAAACTACTTGCTGGCGACTTTTTATATGCGCCATGTTCCTTGGAAGCAAAAGAAGCACTGGTGGCAGTAGTTCCATTTGAAATTTTCCGGACCTCATGTGTCTTTTTATTTCGCCTTCCTCTTCTCATGCCTCCCCTCCCCCCTTTCCTGCCTTTCTTTCACTTACAAATTAAGCTTTTTCATTGCTTTTCTTTTTTTGTTTTCTTATTTTTTTCGGGCAGGCCAAGACCATGACTTTTGTTGTTAATTAAAGTTACGGCTAAAAACGTGAAACTCTCAAGTGCTCATTAAAATTGAAATGCGACTGCAGGAACAAAACCAGAAGCAGGACCAAATGTGTGCCAAATAATGATGTTCCAGCCACGCCGAAATGGGATTCCATAGATGAGTTTCAATTTTTTGCTATTTCTATTTTACGAGCTGGGAAAGTTGGATAAATTTGGCGGAATTGCGAGAGTGGAGAAATTTAATGTTGGTAAGTTTTGATGGTAAATAAGAAGAAATATTGTAAAAAATATTAATAAATAAAATAAAAATATTAATGAATATAACTTTAAAATCGATTAACCTACAGATATAGTTTGCAATACAAGTTTAAAGTTACATTCAATATATACCAAACTATATTAAGAAAATATTTTTGTGTTAAGTTAAGTTTTATTTGATTTATAAACTACAAGTTTTTCCCGCAAAACATGAGTACTGTCAAAAAACAAATCTCATATTTAAGTCTTCACAGAACACTTTCGGCAACAAACCTACACAAATCATTTGTTTGCCAAGTCCAGTTCGAGGACTCTGACTATATATATAGTATATAGCCATGGCAGAGTACTCGCCACCCGAAATCAGGGCAATTGCAGAGCTTTAAAGTGCTCCTTGGCAGGCCACATAAATAAATGTTTGCACATTTACTTTACAAGGCTTCCCCTCTCTTGCAGTTTCTGCTCCTGGATTGTTGCGAGCGGGTGTTGTGTTCGTTCGCTTTGTTGCTCCCAGCACGTTCATAACTCAACTCCTGTTCCAAGGATGCGATTGTGCGAGGATGTGCCGGAGGTGTTGCTTCCCAGACGCTTTATTTACTTGCAATTCGAAGCCGGCTCGGGCTCTGGCTTTGGCTCTGGCTCCGTGGAAATCTCGATACTTTCGAACTGCGAACTACACTATACGCCCCCGCTTTTGTTTCTTTCCGTACTTTCCGCCGGCTATGATTCTCCGGAGAGAGATTGCCATAACTTTGTATAGTGTAATGGCAATGCAATTGGATAAATTTGGCAGCACGACGAACTGCACCCATCACGGGCATCGAGGCCAGTTAGTGGAAGCTAAAATTGCAAGACAAAGCTCTGAGATCCCAAGTCAATTTGGCCAAGTCTCACAGGCGGTCAAAATATCGGGATGATGATGCAGTGGGCTAACTAAATGGAATCACTGCAATCACGTCCCCAATGGGCATATTAGTAGCTGACGAAGGGGGAAAATGCTAGGATGGATTAGGATGGGCTGGTAAGGGGAGTGGTAACTAACTGCAATCTAATTCTGAGCTGAGGGAGTGTGCGACACATTTATCGGTATGGTTTTTAAAAAGGGTATAGATCAGTAGGAAGGGTATTATTCTTTTTTCAAACATTTAATTTTGTCCTACTATAATTTTATATAAAATATTAAAGATATTTCTTGATCTAAAATAACCTTTGCAAACAGAAAAGGATAAAAAAATCTATAATTAAAAAAAATTAACTATGATTCATCGTTTGATTAGGTTTGGGATAATCTTTTTTGGTTATTGGGGAAAATATATATGTAAAATATAAACTTCAGTGCGTTTATAGAGTTCATCGATACCCACTTTACAGCCAAAGGATTAAGCCGACAGCTAAGCCGACAATGGTCCAAGTGCGAGTAGGGCCTGGCTCCATTTTCAGGGCAGTTACGAGAATGTCACGTAGCAAATGCGACAGCGTGGTCAACATAATGAATCGGGCGGCCACCCGCTACGCCCCTCGAACCACGCCCACTTGCCCTTCTACTCCTTTTGGGACAAAAGAGTGCAGGATGTTGCAGGTGCAGACTGCGAGTCTTTTGCCCCAGAATAAGTGTTGCCAAGTTGACTATTTTGCAGAATTTTGAAGATATTAAAATTGAATATTTTTCGAATTTTAAACTATTTGAGTTATTAAAAAACAGTGTTCATATTTAACATATATTATTATATTTAACATTATCTTATTAAATAAAATTTTTAATAAAATAACTGTACTTAAGATGTATTAAGATGTAGCTAAATGTAAATATAGAAAAATAGAACACATTTGATATTTGCAATCGTTGAAAACTAACAAACCAACAAAAATCTGTTAAGTTCTTTTAGCTATTTCCTAAGATATCTATACATCTACCTATCTATATCTATCTTTCTATCAACAGTTGTAACATCTTTTTGACCACCTCCGCATAGAGCTTCCCAACGGTGGTATCCATTCGTGTCTGGTGTCCACTGATTGCTCTGGCGGACGATTGCAATAACCTTTGCCCATGTCGACCATGTCACGACATCTCCGCTTGGTTTTCGGGCCAAAAAGGAACCCTCAGACAGTTGGCTACGAAAAATGTGTCGATGCACGTGACATTTTCGGATGCAATTTGCAATTTGATTTTGGTCCCCGGGGAAGGGATGTCTCGATTCACATCCCGTCCGCTCACCGCCCCTTTGCCAGCAGGTTGCAAGTTGCAGATTCAGTTTGTTGCCTAAGTTCAAGGATCAAATTGATTCGCCCGCTTGGCGGCAACAGCAGGTGTGAGATGTGGAGCTGCGTCTTTGCATTGTTACACTTGACCAATTCGGATTGCAATTACACACCTGACTGTTTCCCGCCTCCACTTTTTCGAATCCTGACTTAACGTCTGGTAAGGCGGATCCTTTGCTATCTTTTTTGGGGGAGAAGGCAGGTGTGTGTGCGGGCTGGGTGAAATTGCCGAACAACGATTTGTGTTGGTTTTGGCTTGTTTTTCAATCTTGTTTCTTTGGTAGAGGACTTGCCCACTCCGCCCACACCCACTACTTAGTCTGTTTATAGTTTGTTCTACGCGCTGTGCAATTTGGCAATTTACGGGGATTATTTGTGGAGCAAGCGGAGTGGCATTGTCCAAGTAAAAGGCGGACAATTAAAACACATGTGGATGGGACACTGGTTTAATTGGAATCTTCTTTACGGTTCTGGCTTAATCAAGAAATTATGCTGAGCATCCTTCTCTTCGTTTAATGAGAACAAAAAGGATTTTGTGGAAATAATAATCGGAAAAATGCAGAAGCTTGCGTGATTTTTATTTTGACACGAGATTTATACTTAATATATTATTTTTTCAGTTTCTTAAATAGTTTTATAATATTTAGTAAGATTCCTGAAATATCTCTTATTTAGTCATACAAATAGGGCTGCTTTTTAGTTATATTTTTCAAAACCCAATCGAAACTGAAACAATCTGAAGGTAAGCAGCAAAGTTTACAAACATTTGCACTCTGACTCTTGAGTTAATAGCACCCTTGTTATCGGATGTGAATAGTCCTTTTGCCCTTGCTGCCCAACTTCTGCTCTTGAGTTCGCCTCCTTGGGTCACTTGATTGACCGTCTGTGAGTGGCAAATGGTGTTGAATGTCAGTCAGCTGCAACACTCCGCCCAATTTCCATCTCCATCCGACCAATCCTTGGGCTGTCGATTAGAGGGGAAGCCCTACCTAATTGGGGCATCGAACCTGGCCTGGAGAAGTCTGTCGGCTGGGTTACATTAGTGTTTCCAATCACTGTACATTAGGCACACACGGCTTTGTCTACTACTCAGTCAACCGCAAGATGAAGAAGTCCGGAGATTTGTAAGAGAACTCCAAAGGGAAATGCAATTCATTAAGTTAAATTCCCTTTCCTTTAATAGCCTCTCCCTGCTGAACGATCGGGATCTTTTGAAGACGCCATCGGGAAGTCCCATCGTCAATTTCATAGTGAAACCAATGAGCATCGAAATGATTACCGCGGACAAGCTGATCACGAACGCCAGGCGCCAGCGGATGATGGAGCTTTTCGAGCAGGATCGCGCCTGGGAAGCCGCCGAGTTGTCTCGTTCTGGGTTGAGCTGCATCAAGGCCCCGGACTGCTATCCCTGCTGCACGCGATACGAATGCTCGAAAGTTACGTTTTAGAAATCGGAACAGTCTAGAATTCCCGTATTTAAAAATTATATTTTGTGTTCAAAATATAGACAAGAGTTATTAGATCAGTTATTGTAATATTTTTATGTTTTCGGTAAGGTTAGATTGATATTATCTTTATATTATATTTAAGACATCGAAACATTTTGTAATATATGTATATATGTATGTAAATATGTATTATCTTTATGTAGTAGACGGTCACACTAACGTATGTATAAAACAGTTACACTAACTTATCTATACACACTTAATTGTAAGCACAATATGTTTCTCTCTCTTACTTTTGCATAAAGATCATGCTAACGAACACTATGTTTGTCCTGTTTGTACAATCAGCAAATGTCACCAATACATGGACAAATTATGCTGAGATAGAATAAGATAAAGGAATAAAGAAACCTTCGGATTTGACCACAAACGGGAACAGCATGTGCGTTAAGGCGCCTACAATTAGTTTTAAAGTAATTATTCTTACACTGCATATTTTTTTGAATTTAATTAAAAGGGTATTTTGAGACGTTTTCGAACCTATAACGTGTATTATATAAACGACATGTTAAATTTCTCTAAGTTATGAAATATTGATAGGATATCAATATCTTCCCCCCATAAATTTTTGAGTGAATTGATTGTTGTATTTAATTATTCATATCTTTATTTACTAAAGCTCTTAAGTTTTATTCTATTTATTCTTCATATTCACAGTACTAAAGTAACACCTTTTTCCTGGTTCCTGCGGTCAACTTTCGACTTTGTAATAAATTGATTCGCTGGGCCTTGTCTGTGGCCATTAATCTATTTCCCGGGCAGCGTGCCACGCCCCCAGCTGGATTTGTTGTTCATTGTTTAATGAATGGCAGGCAAATTTCGGCGCCTTTGTTTCGAGATAAAACCCTTTTGGGCGGATCGTGTTTTTTCTACACTTTATTTTGTTTTTTTTGTTTTCGGTTGGAAACAAAACACAACTGATTATGGCGGCAGGCCTAGCTCAATAAAAGCGCCACTTGCTCGGATTAATTGAAAGGAGAAAGGCAGGCTTTTTGCTCACTTCAGTTTTGGTTGGGTTTCGGTTTTGGTTTTGGTTTTGGTTCTACTTTTTTGTATGGTTAGATAATCCTGCAGGCGCTCCTCCATCATCATTTGTCATTGTCAGCTAACGGAGTGTGATGGCCCGCTCCATTTTGCAATAGATGAGATAAGAGGCGTTGCTCTTCCTCACCCCGATTTCGCTCAGTGCACTCGGCTGCACTTCCCGCTTGACTTTTGAGCGTGATTTTCTTTCCCGTGTGCATTCAGCGATGCGCTAATCAAATTATAAATCGTGCCCATTGGAAAGTCGTTCGAAGCAGGACCCCCCGACAGTCGACATTGTCATCATCAGCATGGGCAATCATAACTCTCACAAAGGGAAAAAGGAAGCCCAGCAGCCTCAGCCAGCATTTTCCCCCACTTTTCCACCACTTTTCCGACATTTTTTCAGGTTCCATTCGAGGTGCTGTGGGGGTCATAATGGATGTCGGGCCAGCTGCAACTGGGTCGCAGGTCCATTTGCACTCTTCGCCCTTAACTCCCTCCTCTTTTGAAATATCTATACCCTCTCAATGCTGTAATCTTGATGATATATCTTAAATTTTTAAATGTGTTGAACTATTTTAAAAAGTATTCTATTTCAGGATTACATATAAAAAACCAAAAGGAATAATATGAATTGGTTTCATCGATTAATCGATATATGTTTGTGCCTTTTGGTTATCAGGCAATTCATTTTGTCGTTATACCATAAACTCTAGAAATAGTTAACTATGTTAAATACTGCAATAGAAGAGAACATCCTGGCAGGGTATCCTAAATTCCAAGCCCCAAAAAGTGCTACTTACCTACATATATTTTTCCTGTGTAATGTTTTTCCACGAGTAATTGAGAGGAGGGTGAAGAAATGGAAGGTGGGTTCAGGTGTTGGCCTGGAACATTTCACATGGCGCGCATTAAACAATGCCCATTTCTTTAATTAACAATTTGCATTTGCTGTGTTTCCCCGATTTCCCTTTTTTGTGAAAACCCTCTGTGTTGGTCTTAATTGCTGTTTACTTTGGTCGGCTGTTGTTTTATGTTCACTTGCAATAATAAAGCTGAATTTTCTGTAATTCTACTAGGGGCGGGCAGGTATCGATGCAGCACTTTTTACCTCACTGATCCCCTTCGGTAATCCCCAACTGATGGAATATTCCTGCACTCCGTTAGACTTTGTATGCCATATCCTTGTTTTTTTTCTGCTTATAACTGAAAATCCCATTCAATCATGCAAACTGCTTGGAATTTTGTTTGCGGCTCGACCTCCGGATTTTCCCCTCCGGCTGGAGATAGTAATTTATTTCTTAAAAAGTGAAATCCATTAACACAGAAATTCTTTGGCCCACTATCTTTTCACATCTCTACTTCTCGCTCGGGTCCCCTCTCTTTCTATGTATGTATGCATGTATATTCTATATATTTATGTATGTCCTGCTCTGGCCATTCACGTGGCTCTTATGTTCCGGTTTTCGAGCTTTTCCGCCTGCTGCTTGGCTAGAGAAAAATTGCAATCACCTTTGTGATTGTGTTCTGCCTTTCAGCTTTATCGCTCGCCATTCAACAGTTCTCGCTTTGTGCACTAAAAGTATTAAATTTCTTCAAATATTCTAGGTACATATGTATGTATGTATGTATGGTGCGTGCAACTCTTGTCCATTCCGTTTGTGGGGGAATCCCCTTTTTGGCTTTGCTCATCGTCCGGCAGTAAGTCACTTTCAAAACCTTTGTAGTGCGTTTCACATTTAGGTACATACATACATACATACATATATCGGGGTCAACTCTTTATTTAAAAAAAACTTATTTTTACTCCCATGATATAATAGTATTTTAGAAATTTTTTTCACTCAATAAATAAATATTTTTCTCTTTAATAAGTTTATAACACGTTAGGGGCATTTCTAAAATCCCTAACATTGTTTTTATAATGTATAACATAATATATAAATTTTCTTATATAGATAAAAAATGTTTATAAACTAAACAAATAAGATTTGAATCATATCCAGAGTCCATTAAATAACATTACCATAAAGTGTAAAACTTCTCTTGTTAGTGAATCGGATACCGATGGCCAAGAAAGTTTTAAAGCCATCGATAATATTAATCGATTGCTTTGCAACACCACATTATTACAACTACAAGCTTCCTCGTTCGAGGAAAAATCAAGCGTCTGTTGAATTTATTCAGTGCAAAGTACTCGAAGTGATCGGACGAATATAACCATTTTCATCCTCTCACTATAAAACCGAAGTTTATTTAATAAAGCGTAAACATTTGCAGCTGGCTAGGAAATCGAGTGGGTAAGCATTTATTCCGACAACTCTGCTGAATTTGTTTTTATTAAAAAGAATTAATTCACAGGCCATGAAGTTTTTGCTGTTTTGGAGCGCATTTTGCGTGCTAGCGGTTCCTGGGTCCGGACGAGTGGTCCAAGAGTCGCTCGACATTATACGATTGATCCAGGATGTAACTCACTCCATTCTCAAGTCGTGGGACATGATGAACAAAATGTCGGAGGTCACCGCCGGGTCTTTGATCTACGAGAATCAACGCAAAATGATAAATAAACTCGATGAGGTTAACGGAAATATCCGTGATTTGGAAGAGTTGCAGGCGAAGAATACGGCATTGATCATTGATACTCTATTAAGGGAGATGCAAGATAAATCCCAGTTGCTGCACCGGCTGAACCAATTTAAAGACATCACCAAGTTAATAGATCTTCGCAGCGACCAGCTAGTTGGTTACGAGCAGAACCGCGAATCCCTGGAGCCCATTACTCTTATAAACTTTGCCAAATGGAACGTGAATCCCGGCTCTAATTCGGTTTCCTGGTTATTGCAATTGCTGCACGACAGTCTATACTCCACGGAAGACCAGGATTACTCACACTCTTTATTATCGCAACTAACAGCCAGTTTTGAAACCTCCCCGGACCAAATGTGCCTGGCCAGGCAATCCGCCCAACAGTTCGCCTATCAACTCTTTACCAAGGCAATTCTTACAGAATTAAAAGGTTACAGCATGATCGAATTCTCATGGATGGTTCTGCGGCAAACCGGTCAAGGAAACTTCACCCAAGAACTGCTATTGATGCGACAGAACCACCAGAAACGCATCGATCAGGCAACAGAGGTGCTCCAAAAAGTCATGTCCAAAAGCACACGTCTTTACTGGCGCTGCGATCCCGAAAAAAACAACCATGTGGAGGGCAAAACCTATGGCCGCGTCACACGTCTGCTGCAGGGTTTTGTTGAGAACGAGGTTAACCTGAATCCGGATCAGCATTGCCGAGGCACTTGCCAGGACTACCACGACACACGCATAAGTGGTTGCTATGACCCAGATAATGAGTTCTGTAGCCAGCAGCCGACTTGCAATGGAAGGCTCTATAACTGTAACTTAATAGAGTCCGATATATCAATATGCCTATCCTCCAACACCTCTATAAGGCGCTATGAGTATATCACATCAAATGACGATGGGCACAGTTGCGATTCCAAGGTGAAGAAGCCCTCCTCGTGGTCAAGTTGGATCTTCTGGCGCTGCCACTATTGCTTCTGCTTGTGTGATGAACCGGGACCGAAGTCCGATCGCTACTTCAATCTCCGCGACGCCTTGTCGGATTTTATGGCGAACAAGATTGTAACTGGAGTTCGGTTTGTTAAGAGTCAGCGCGTTTTCCACATGCAACTGCAACAGGCCGAGCTCCTACCCCGTGGAACCATCAATACCAGTTCAATAGAATGGATGCCCGTAGAAAACTACAACGTGAGTGAGGTGGATATACGTGATGGCTACGACTATCACACTTTAAGCATGGACAGTAGGGCTCTTGACCTGGATGAGATTTCTGCTAACTCGACGGACCAAGTGGTCACTGGTGCTCGATTCCGAATCTTCAAAAAACACCTTAACCTTGAGGTGCGTTTTAGTTTCTTTAATTTCTCCAATGGTCGCTTGATCGAACCTCGGACAAAGAGCTATTGGATGAGGAATGACAATTCTCATCTTGACGGTCAGCGTAAGAAATTGATTTTAAAAGAGAGTGATTTACCCACCGCCTCGGACTTACCATCTCAACCGATGTCTAGGAACAACCAATACATGGAGTTTTATAGCTCCAGCCAAGTAAAGGATGCTGCCCAGAATACTTTACCTTTCTTGGATCTGCAGGAGGTGGTTCCCAATCCACCGGTTCCACTTGCCGGATTGGGTATCTACTACAAAGGACGACCTGGTTATGGCGGCTTCTTTGCCCCCAAAGTGGTAACTATGGATTTATCCAAGAAATTGTTGGATCCTCGGGTCTAAATGTTATGAAAACAAAAAAAAAATTCTTGACGAATATACTTCATTTTTGAATATCTTAAAAAAAAAAAACTAAATATCCCCAGAACCAAAGGGAAACATTTTGTAACATGTTTAAACTTTCATTTACTATTTTCATAAATAAAAATATAATAACACAATAGTTATACACACTTTTCTTTCTTCGGTTTTTGTTAAAAAGCCTGATTCGAATCTTAGTTCTTTATATATAGTTCTCCAAAAATTGCAGCATAGACAAAAATAATGGTGCAGTTGATGAACATATCTTCATCCCTATATACATAAGAATATGTAAATATTTTTCTGCTGAAGACTGCGTGTCCGTAAGGCCGTATTCGCGCACACATCATTTTTGCTTTACGTCGTTGAAATGTCTCACAAAATCGATTAACGAATAATCTAAAGATTTTAAAAATTTTCCAGATATTTGTATATGTGAAATATTCATATTAAAACGATCTATGAATATTTCACATATAACTAAAATGGGATAGTAAAACATTTAATAGTGCAATTCTTAGGGAATCTTCTGCTAAATTCTATGTATTGATAAAACGAGAAAGAATTTAAAATTGTGTTTATTTTAAAAAGGAAAGTTTTAAGACCTTTAAGACCTCTCAACAACGAAAGCGATGTGGGTAAACAATCTACAGGTTTTCGGTTTGATTATTGTCAAGTGGCTTAAAGGAATATGAAATAATATTTTTAAAAACACTTTTCGTATTGCTTACGTTACCTTAGTTCAAATAACAACCTTTTTTGCGCGCCCTTAACAGCCATTTCTGTTAATTTGACGAACGCAACGGTGAGAAATCCCTAGCGCGTCAGTTAAAAACCGCAGGCGGCTTGATCTCTGTGACATTGAAGTTGCGATTGAAAATCGAAAGCTGTTAACCACATGTTATCTGGGTTATTGCGGCAAGGCGTCCAACGACCACGGTTCATCCAAAATCTCGGCGCAGAGCTTTTTCTTGGGGCACCTGTACTATACTCTCAACTTAGCAAGATGGATGACATTGCTCTGGATGCGGCAAAGAAAACGGCGGCCCGTACAGCGGTCGATCAATGGGTCACTGAGGATACGAAGATTCTGGGGATCGGTAGTGGCTCCACCGTGATCTATGCCGTCCAGCGGATCGCTGAGCGTGTGTGGAAAGAGGGGGAACTAACGGATCTCATTTGCGTGCCATCATCCTATCAGGCACGTCACTTAATCCTCGACTACAACCTGAATTTGGGCGATCTGGATAGGAATCCCAATATAGACGTAGCCATTGATGGAGCAGACGAGGTCGACCGGCACATGGTTCTTATTAAGGGTGGTGGTGGCTGCCTGCTGCAGGAGAAGGTCGTGGCCTCCTGTGCCAAACACTTCATCGTTGTGGCCGACTACACAAAGAACTCCATCCGTTTGGGTGAACAGTGGTGCCGAGGTGTTCCTATCGAGGTGGCCCCCATGGCCTATGTGCCCATCAAGCTGCATATTGAGGCACTGTTCGGTGGAGAGGCCTCCCTGCGTATGGCCAAGGTGAAGGCGGGGCCCATTGTGACGGACAATGGAAACTTCCTGCTGGACTGGAAGTTTATTGCCAACAGGGAGTACGACTGGAATGAGGTAAATCGAGCCATCACCTTGATTCCGGGAGTTCTGGAGACGGGACTGTTTGTCAATATGGCCCACAAGTGCTACTACGGAATGGCCGATGGAACTGTCAAGGTCCAGAACAAGTAGATATCGACGCTTTTGCATAAAGTTTTCTTGAATAAAGTTGGAGGGGGCATTGTTGAGCTTCTTTTTGCATTTATCTATTACTATGATGTTCCTTAAAGGTAAAGTTTTTTCAAAAATAGAGTTTTCATTATTTAAAAAAAAATTCATTAAAATTAGGAAAAAGTTTGGTTGCATAAACGGATTTATTAAGCGTCTTCAAAAATAAATTTTATGAAGTGATAAAATACAAACATTCGCCGGAAAGTCGCTGTAAGGTCACCCAATTAAACTAAAATCACTTACTTATTGATAACGACTTATCATGACACTAATCAGTTATTCTTAATTAATAAGTCATTATTCATACCATTTTTCCAGCCCTAAAATCTTCAGAATACTAATAATTCAATAGCGAATGTCATTGCATAAACGTAGTTTACATACGCTTAGTATACTTTTGTCTCGATTTCGGCTACAAAAATAAATAAACATTAAATAAACAATATACATCTAGAAGGCCTTCTTGGTCCGTCCAGGCAGCAGGGCCTCTTTCAAATACTGGAAAAGGGATAGCAGGCCCTGCTTCTTGTTCCGCGAAAAGTAATTGCTGACCACATCCGGACTGCGCCGGCTCTGGTCGCTGACGGTGGTGGGCAGGACGCTATCATTTGCACTTAGTGATACAAACAGGGCGAAGGGCACGATCCACATGCAGATGGTGAAGTATGCTAGCACCTGAATAAAAAAAGTAGAAATTAAAAAGTGGGGACTAAGGTTGTCTTCAATAGGGGGATTAATAATTATAATTTTTCTTAAATATACAAGCTTAGCTTAATTTGCTTTGTAGTCAATTTTTGTTAATTTATTAAAAATAATTTAAGTCATTCGATTTAACAAGTACTAATTAATTTAAGCTCGTTGATATTATTTTTTTATATTATATTATATTTTTTTTATTAATCGTACCTAGGGGAAGTGAAATGCTTTTTCCATCGCTATGATTTATGCAACACATAAATTTTAAATATTGGAACTTTGAGAACTTTTTAACTTACCTGCGTAAAAGGCACATAAACGGTGGTGAAATACTGGAAGGCCAGGAAGTGATTGACAACCAGCATTGCCAAAGATCCCAGGAGCGGAAGTGAAAGCATTCGTACGAAGGGAAATCCTCCCATGATCCCCAAGTGGAAGCCCTGAGCCACAAATCCACATATTATCAGGCTCCACGGCAGGTCCTCAAAGAGCATCAGCAGGATGTAAATGAAGATCGTAAAGCTGATCAGGAAGAGGATGCACTTCCTTGCCGCAGTTGTGTACTCCTCTGCCAATTCCGCCAGATAATACAGCCCAGCCACTATAAATCCAATTGCAGACGTTGCATTCAGCCACGACAAATCAAATAAGAACAACTCACCAATGGATAGTGTTAGGAATACGATCTGTATGCCCAGGGAAATCCAGCCCAGTATGTACAGAAAAGCCATTATGTGTACTTTAGCCCAAATTAAACGGTATATACGTAAACATATACGGATAAAATCGGCCGACAAAACAAAACAATACGATTAATGTGGCTTATTGCGTGAAAAAACACACCATTGGTTTGGAATTTTGGCCTATACAATACCGAGCGGTCCTACTGAATTGTATGATAAGTTTGGGCGCGCTTTTTTCGTTACTTGGAAATATAATTAACGGCCATCTTCATGTGTTACATTGTATCAGAAAATAAAGGAACCTATTTCTTGCATAAGACACTATCGGTGATGTGTACTTCAACTGATATTTTATGAATTTGTCAAATACTTGAAGAGCTCAAAGAATCAAAACAAACAGATTTATGTGACCTGTGGCCGACAGCTGACATAGCAACTTTTATTTTGGTATTTTTGTACACAAATCATTTCCGTTCAAGTTGCAAGCGGTCACACTCATTTTTGCGAAAAGTTTCGAGCGCGTGGTATTTTATGCCGCACGCTTTATTTCGCCACTTGGAGTAAATTTTGGTCCATCCATTTGTTAACTAAGAGTGCGACTAGTACTAGAGCTAGTACGCCCGTATCCGGGAAATACATTTCTATGTCTGAGGGCAGTGGAAACGAAAATGCAGCCGGAGCAGAGGCGACGGCAGAAGCAGAGGCGACGGCAGAAGCAGAGGCGACGGCTGAGGCTGCACTAATGGCAGAAGCGGTGGCTGTAGCCTATCAAAGCGATGATGAGGTGGAGGTGGAAGCGGGGTCTGTCGAAGACCAGGAGGTAGTCGGTGACCAGGAGGAAGAACCAGCCGAAGGCGAAGCCGAACAGCAGGATGAGGGTGAAGCAGAAGACGCCGACGTCGATGGCGACGCCATGAGTGTAGAAAACGCGGAAAATGAAAGTGACAGCGGTGGAAATCCTGAAGAAACCGCTGCCGCCGACCGCAGACAGGCCACCAAAAAGGAACTTACACAGATAATCGACAAATGGGAGCAGCAGCAGACCCAGAATGGCTACGATCCAGTTCCCACCCTGAGGAGGTAATTAGGAAAATATCAAATATCAACCTTTAATAGCTACTGAATTCCATTACTTTAACAGTCTAGCGGAGATATTTGAACGTGAGAAGGATGTTTACCGGCGAAAGGACCCTGATCCTTTAGACTCTCGACATCCCTACAGAGCCGATCCAAGCTGCCAGTACGGATTGCTGCTAAAACTGCTATTCCGCAAGGACACCTTTATGAGCAAAGTAAGAAATTTCGGTATATGGAAACTAGAAATTTTAAATATATTACTTTTTACCATTAGCTCCTCAACGATTACCTGCGGGAGAACTACTTTAGTCGGCAAAACGTTAGCCGCAGTTCGTTGGAATTGAACATTTTGGCCTGCCGTCTCATCCTGGAGATAATGCCGGGCATGGAGACCTCAGCAGTATTTCAAACTGCCGAAGGTGACGGAACCATTAATCGCATCTACTCCTGGGCTGAGGACAGCATTGAACCACTTCAGAGCTATGCCACCGGACTGCTGGCCGAAGCCATGGAAGTGAGCGATATTGCCATCAACTTCCGAGATCAAAACATCCGGCTTGTGCCCAAGATGATAAAACGCCTGCACATGCTTCTAGCAATTAGTAAGAGTGCCACTCCGGATGTCAATAACTCGATGCACAACCAATCGGCGGATAATAGTGCAGCAGGAATGCTCAGCTGGGTTGCGTGTGCCAGCAATGCCTCTGCTCCTCAGTCACCGCAGCACAATGGCAGTGGGCTGGCAGCCAGTTCATCGCAGCATGGGGACGCCTCCAATATGTCCATTCTCTTTGAGAATAGCCGGGACGCCTTTCCCGTATCCCGCTATTATAAGCGGATGTACATTCCACTGCATCCGCCCACTGCGGACACTAGCCAAATGTTAATTATGCGCTTCCTAACCAGCCTAGGAGAATATCAAGAATTCCTAGCCATGGCCTTTGAAAACAATGTGATGCAGTTAATTTTTGGTTACCTTGAGAACTTAGACCGCAGGGACACATGCTTAGCCTACGAGGTGCTAAAATATCTCGCTTCCCTTCTTTGCCATAAGAAGTTTGCTTTGGAGTTTATTTCCCATGGAGGATTAGAGGTTAGTAAAATTTAATTTACCCAAAGAAGAATAAATCATTTAACATACTATTATCTATTCTGCAGCTACTTTTGAAGGTTCCACGTCCCAGTTTGGCCACCACTGGTGTCTCCATTGCCATCTACTACCTAGCTTACTGTGAAGACGCCATGGAGCGCATATGCAGTATGCAACGTCCACTTATTTCAGAACTGGTGCGATACGCACTTTGGATCCTTGGTCGTTGCCATGATTCCTCCAAGTGTCATGCTACCATGTTCTTTAGCTTGAGTTTTCAGTTTAAGGTCATATTAGAAGAGTTTGATGCCCAGGATGGCTTGAGAAAGCTCTACAATGTGGTGAGTATATCTTGAGTAAACTTCTAATTTGGAAGAAAAACTTTAACTAATGTTTCCATTTTTGTCCCTGACAGATCTCCGTGCTGAAAATCCTCGATCCGAGCCACAATGACAGCGATAACGACTCTGATATTAACGAAGACGTTGAGTGTGCTTCCCGACAAATGGTCCGCCATGTCTGCGTAGCCCTCAAGCGGTATATGGAAGCACATTTCTTTTACAAGTACAACAGCTTTCTGTGCCAGCACAACGCAGCATCGTCGTCGCCATCCTCCACCCACTATTTCAATCAGAATCCCACAGTAGCGGCCAAGCTTACCTTCGACCAGTTGCATGACCAGATTCGCACCCTTCAAGAGCACACCTCTATCCGGGCTCACTGGCAGCCAGTAGATCAACTGATGAAGCTTGGCGGAATCACCATGCTTCTCAGGATCATCGCCTTTAGCTACGACTGGGTGAACAGCGGACGCTCGGAGACTGTGCGTTCGGCTCTAGACGTACTTAGCGTGTGCTGTATCATCCCCCGGGTTTATGTAGTGCTCTGCGAGCGTCTTCTTATGCTGGACAAAACTACCACTTCGGGATTCTGTTCGGTTCTGGGAGCTGCTGCAGGCGAGATAACATCGGACGCAGAGGTGATCAAGTCGGCTCTAGCAGTTCTCTGCCACTGTGTCTGCTCTCCAATCATCCGCAAGGATAGCGGCACCAGTCTAATCAAGTTTGGTAACTCCTCCAGGAAGAACAAGGCCAATCACAAATACGCCGAAGAGCTGATTGAACGTGTATGGGAATCGGTGTGCTCCAACAATGGCATCGTAGTGCTGTTATCTCTGATGCAGACCAAGGGACCGATAACGGATGCTGACTGCATCCGAGGAATGGCATGTAGGGCCCTGGCGGGTCTGGCTCGGTCAGATCGGGTCAGGCAAATTGTCAGTAAACTTCCTCTCTTCGCGGGCGGACAGCTTCAAACACTGATGCGAGATCCCATACTCCAGGAGAAACGAGCCGAGCACGTGATCTTCCAAAAGTACGCATTGGAGCTGCTCGAACGAGTGTCTGGAAAAACAAAACCACTCAACAATCCACTGGATCCGTCGCTTTCTAACATGCATAAAGCCAATGTAATTGCCCAAACTCGCATCCAGTACAACAAGCAGCAGCTTTATCAACTCATCTTCGAACACCTGGAGAGCAATGGTCTTTCCCAGACAGCCCAAATGTTGCAACGCGAGGTTGGTCTTCCCCTGCAGACCCCAACAACAAGAAGCTTTCATCAGTCACCTTTCGATTACAAAACACTTCCCAGTGGGAGTAGCTCTCTGTCCAGAAATCGCCTGCGCAGCCGCATGCAGGATGTGAATGCTGCGATCATGGGTACAGAACTGAACAGGAGCTTTGGCGAGGATTCATCGCCTGCTGGTGGAGCAAGCAGTAGCAATGTGGGAGATGGAGTCAGCATACCAAACTTTGGGTGCCTTAACACAACACAGACGCCCATTAAAATTAGAAGAACGGATAGGAGTTCTGTGAGCCGCTCGATCCAAAAGCAACTGATGGAGCCGGGTGGCTCATCAGCGGGTCTTCCCGATGATGGCCAGCTACATCCTAAGCGAATTACCCTAAATACTATCGTAACGGAATACCTCACAAATCAACACTCGCTGTGCAACAACCCGGTTACCACCTGCCCACAATTCGATCTGTACGAACCCCACAAGTGTCCGGATCCAAAGCCTAGTCGCCTGTTGAGCTCTAACTACAACCTGACCAGCAGACATGCTCGTACTCAAGCAGGATTTAATACCACTCGATTTGACCGTCGCTATGTGCACACGCACTTTTCGCCATGGCGCAGCATTCGATCGGCGGATTATGAAGACTTGGAGTTCACCTGTTGTGATCTGGTAGGCAAGTACATCATCGTGGGCACACAACAGGGCGATGGACGAGTGTTTAACATGAACGACGGAGTGGAGCAGTTTTTCTCTAATTGCCACAACTTCAGCGTTGACGCCATAAAGGCAAACAGAGCTGGAGATCTGGTCATCACATCTAGCTTCTGGCGCACACCCACAAGCATTCTATGGTCCATTGCGGACGATGAGTTCAAGTTAAAACTGCGTCTTCCCGATGTCACCTATTGTGAGTTTAGTCAGACGGTACAGGATCGCCTCCTGGGCACTCAGAATGAGGTATGTATTAAGTAATACGATTTGTTTTATTTGTTTTAATTAACTATTTTTTATTTGGTTTACAGTGTGCTACGCTTTTTGACATAAACACTGGTTCTAAAGTGGCTTCTTTCACGCCAACCATACCCAATCTTTACACCAAAAATCGAGCAACTCTTTGCCGAACCGATGAACTGATTTTGTCAGGTAAGAAATTAAGTTTAATAAACGTGATTTCAACGAAATCTAACGAAATTCATATCGCTAGATGGTGTTCTCTGGGATGTTCGCTCCGGGAAGGAAATCCACAAGTTCGACAAGTTTAATCAGTGCATATCGGGCGTCTTCCATCCAAATTGCCTTGAGGTGAGATCCAAAAATATTTTTTTTTTCAGTTCTGTTTTAATATTTACGTCTTCCTTTAGATCATTGCCAACACCGAGGTTTGGGATCTGCGCACCTTCCATTTGTTGCAGACAGTGCCGGTGCTGGATCAACGAAACTGCACATTTTCTCCGATGCACGTGATCTATGGGGCTAGTTTGGGGGCTGACAGGGACCATGACATGGAAACAACGACCTACGACACCAGCTTTAACGTGCTGGACGCCTACGACTATTCGAGTATAGCTACTATTGATGTGAAGCGCAACATCAACGATCTGAGCGTCAGTGCCAATGGTAGCCTTATTGCAGTGGTCGAGGACTACAGCGGTTACGAGTCTAAGCAGGAGACCTATGTGAAGATCTACGCGGTGGGAGTGAAAAAGAGCGAGCGCTCGGAAGAGGTGCGTGCGGTTAAGGAGCTGGTCAACGAGGTGTCGGATGCAGTCGCGCCGGCACCGGCTAACGCCAGCGATGATGCTTCGATGCGTCCCGTTTTCGAAGATGTGGCGTCGAGCCCCCAGGCGGTGGAGAACGTGGCTCCCGCCGGCCCCAACGAATTTGAGGAGCTTCGTCGGCTTAGTCCCGCCTTGCACGCAAGTCCGAATCTTTCTCGCCAACATGCACCCAACAGTTCAATTGTTGGGGTGCGACGGCGGGCACGTACACTGGGTGGCAATGGCAGTGGCAGCGGGAATGGGAATCTGAATCTAAATGGCGGAATCGGCGCTGCTATAGATCTGAGAACCATGATGCGGCGTATGGATGATATTGAACTAAATATTATGTCTATGCTTGCAGGAAGATGATGAGGAGGTGCCCGATTCTGATGAGGATGGATCGGATACGGGCTCCGAGAACAGTAAGTTTCTTGAAAATCGTAGCTTTCCGTTCCTAAAACGCCGCCTCACCCCATAGCTTTTTCTCTAGGTCCGAATTTCATGGGATTCCCTCTACTGCGCAACCTTAATGGCTCGGACAACGAAGGGGACGGAGACCTAGATGAAGACGATGATGATGGAGATCTATTGGACACCGATGACGAAATGGACGACGACGACGGTAGCGACAATGGCGATGACGAAGGTGACTTTGAAGATGTGTTCGAATTCTTCGACAGAAGCAGCTCAGACGGTAACTCAAGATCTTTAGACTCTGTTCGTGTACGACTTGTATTTTCTCCTGCCTTAGATTGAGCCCTCTCCTCCTCCCCCGCACTACCAACATAACTGCTCCTTCACCGATCCACTGCTCCGTTGTTTAACCACTGTTTCGTCTCGTGTCGTTCGATCCTCATTGTTGTCCGCAGCGCGCTTGGAAGGATGAGATATCAACAATCGTCGATAGTTTTAGCAATCTAGACATTAAGCTGTTACATATAAAATTTAAATTGTTATTTTTGAACTTGTGTACAAAACAAATACGAATGCCGCAGGATTGCATTATAGCCAAGAAAAGTTTGATGATGAATACCTACTGTGAGAATCAAATCTGTAAATTGTCCAACAATTTCCATTGTACAAACCTAAATAAGAATTGTATACTTTTGCTATAAAAAATATAAAAGATATTGTTAGAATCAAACGTTTGTTGTATGCTCTAAGAACCAAGGAACAATTTGAGTTTTTTGTATGATTTCATGCATTGTTTATTCACATAAACAGGCTTTTCATTATTTATATGATTTGGAAATATATTAAGTATGTAGAAGAGAATTAAATATTTCGTTGTAGAAATTAAACAATTGTGTATAAATGTATATGTTTTCCCTAAATAGTATACCAAAGGAAGAAATCTTTGCAGTTCGAATCGAATGAGTTATATAGGCTTGCCTGGAATTGCTAAGAAATTTTATTAGAATACGTTATCAATCAGCTCGAACCACCCTAATAGTCACACAAAACATTTTATACCGGAGTTACACATTTTTGGAGTTTGAGTGAAATGTTAGCCTTAGTCGTTGCCCGATTATCTTATCGCCGAGTGTGGTGGGCTACAAGTTTGGGTAACGAACATAGACGCCAGTTCTTACTCACTAACTGGCCATGCGGTGACGTTAATACGGATTGGCTCTCCCCAAAAATTGAAGCAAATCTCGGCCGAATCCTTCATCAGTAGATAAATATGGTGATATTCGGTGTTCGTTGAGCAAGTGCTTTGCGGTCAAGTTGAATGCGTTCGAATAGAGACGATCGACTATCGCTTCGTTGTCATTTTAAAATTGCAAATTTAGTTACGACTTGTCCACCGACGTGTGCTCATCGACGGCTCCGGCGCAATTAAATCTAAGAACTCTGGCCACTGTTAGTGCGGAAATGTTTATGCAAGCCACTATTATCGGATGCCTGACCTTACTGTTGGTGACACTGGGTGCTGCTTTCGAGGAGCACCCCCATTTTTGCATCGAAACAAAACCGCTTCTTCTCTCTGAGATCGATCGGCATGTGGTCATACCCAACGAGAAGGACCTGCAGTGCCATATTAAGGCCACCACGTTGACTCCGAACGAGAAGGTGAATCATTAGTATGTTTGAATACCGATATTGCCGATATCGATGGTAATAGATAAAGCAAATCCCCTACTGGGGCATATAATTGCCTAAATTACGAGTCTAACATAAAAAATCTTAAAATTTTAATTTCTGTAAACGAACAGGTTTTTATGTAAACTTCAAATTATAGTTTTAAATAATTTCCCTAATTGCCATTTCGTTCTATTCTTGAAAAAGGCTTATCAATATCCACGCACGGCAAAGTGGAAATGAAGTTAGTTGCTCTATCTATTAAGTATTTAAGTCATTTCTTTCAAATAACACATAAATCTGAATTCATATAATAAATATTTTTAAATTTGTAAACATGTTTTGCCTCAAAGAGGACAAAATCTTCACAAGAAATTATGCCTAAACTGAAATTTAGAAGTTAAAGAATTAGGTGACCAAAAGTGGAAATTTGTCCATATTTGTAAAAAGTGACCTCCAGCCATATGAAAATTCCCTGCCTTAAATGGATAACTCTATTTCGTCAAAACGAGTTTGGCACATCGACATCCTTAACTGACAAATCCAATGCCAGCCAATAAATTATTCGTGTGCCACCTTTGAGTGGCTGATATTCCAAATTGAATTAGCTTGACGATAAAGAGACAAAGTGTCCATCGCAGCTGGGAAAGATAATGCCGGCGTGCCTGAGATAAGCCGAAGGTGCTTGTTTCCCGTCTAAACGTTTATCTGGCTTATTTACAGGCGAGCCTCGTTGATACCTTATGCGCGGATCACGGCTCCACGACGATCAAGCGGGATAATCACCACTTTCTCCGGCTGCACAACGGAGAGCTCAGTGGACGAGGTACCCAAGCAGAGGTGTGTGCCAATGACGCTGATTCGGTCTTGGCGTGGGTGCCCTACCACACAGTGCTCAAGAATTATGCAGCCGAGCTGAATCCCAAGGAGCGTTTGACCTACATTGCCAAGGCTACGAATGTGGAGCGCGAAAAGACAGAGCTCTGCCACTTCCGGCACACGGATTTGGTCAATGCTGTGTCCGACAATCTGTTCACATGTGTGGTCATGATTTTTGGAGATAACTTTGTAAGTTTTTAAGGAAGAGCATAATCTTAGCCCCCTAAAAATATAAAAATGTTGCAGTACGGTCTGGAGGACAACATCAATGTGCTAGTGGAGCTGGAACCATTGATGTATCAACTGAGGAATATCACATACCTGCCGTGGCGCAATGTGTCCAACAGCTACAAAATGCATCTGGGCGACAGTGCGCTTCGCAATCCCAGTGGCGAACGAAAGCCCATCTACGGTAGCTTAAATTACGAGTTTGTGGAGAAGATCCTGGTTAACATGACTAGTGTATACCAGGATAAGAAACTAGCCAGGCTGCCGCTCCTCTTTGAGCACCGTTCTTCCGTCCTGGAGTTGGACTCGGATGGAGTGGGCGGTATGGATGTTGCGGAGAAGGCCTATTTCGGTCGCAGTATGGATCCCAGGAGCGAGGTGAAGGTCCAGGTGATTGGTCAGTGGGTTGACCAACATCGAGAGTTTGGCGCAGATATATACGAGTATTATGGTCACGGGTTAAGGCGGTATAGGCAACCTCTGACTGGAGCCAGACTAACCTTTGTCAGGATTGACAACACGGAGCCGGTTTTCATGGCACCGGAATCGAGTAATCTGGCGAAGGCCTCGCTTTTCCAAGAGCAGAAGGCTGGAAAACTGAAGGAGGATAAATCGGGAAACTTCACCGAGTGGGAAAACGCAAAAGAGGAGGATTCCGATGAAGATGAGCCGGGATTTTACGGCTGGTTCGTTATGACCTCTCTTCTCTTGGCCCTCGTTGTTATACTAGGCATATATGTAGTAGTTCGCGCCCATAGCAGGAGGAACAAACAACGCCAGATGTACGAAGTGGCCAACACAAATGTAGCTCCTCCACCATAAAATCAAGCATTAGACTTAAGTTTTGTGAATCCGAAAAACACCAGGATCAACAGGTGTTTTACTCCGAAATGTCAGTTTAATAAATGAGTTGGCAGCTCTACTGCCAAATCCTTAAATTTATTTTCGAACAAGTTGAATAAGATCGTTTGGCTTTAAAATGCTTTGTAAATTAAAAAAAATTGTTAAAGTGTTTATAAGTTAACACTAAATATAATAATACGTGAGGAACAGTGAAGCTTCATTTAAAAGTCCCAAGCACTAAATTTAGGTCTCAAAAGGAAACTCTAATGGAGTAATATAGAAAAAGGTAAGTTTAAATAATTAGCGAAATCTTAATCCTTAGTGATATAATATAATTTAAAAAAATGTTAAGATAGAATTTATTAATTTTGAGAAGTAAACAAATTGATTTTATAACTCGCGCGCGTTAGGGATTTGTCTCGATACCAAGTTGGCAGCGCCGTAACACGCCTATCATCTCACTCACACACTGAGAAAGACAGAGGCAGAAGTTCGGCGACTGGCGGAGAAATTCATTCATCTCATCAAGGAACCTTATTGATAACGTCGCCAGAGATAGCTAGTGATTTCATTCGATCCGGGTCCCGAAAGACCCACTGGTGTGCACTTGTTTTGGTTTTGAAAGTTCGGAATCCCGGGAACGTGTGTGTTTCGCCCTGAGCCACAAATATGTGATTTTCGAAAGGGTTTTTGTGTGACGCGGCCATATTTAAAGAGTTTTGTGTGTTGAATGTGGGGCGAGCTGCGGAAATTACATAAATATAACGCAGGTAAGCCGATTTTTAGTGTTAGATCCCGATAGAAAGGTGCACGCAGTGCGGGAGTAAGTGAATCGAAACCATTATTTACCCAATTCAAGTCGGGTATTATGTATTTGTTTCGTTTTTTGGGCCTGAAAATATGATTTTTCGCTCACACCAACACCAAGATGGTAAATTGTGTATAACAATATAGCTGTCTCTGTCTAACGCAAGAGCTACCAGACATGTCAAATAGGCCCTGTTAATAACAGCGGCTTAACATGGACTGTTTGCAACAGATGTAAACAGACTTAACTTTAATTGGCGTATTTTGGCGGGCGAATCATAACAAACCCTTTATTCGTGCACCTTTTGGGGATATCCTTGTAAATGACAGTATATTATGAACTAACCACCTGCCCCTTGCAGCCTCCCCTAGTGACACACGAAGTGATGGATCGCAAGAAGGTCCTAGAGCTAGACAAGATCTGCCGCCTGTGCACCTCGGAACGCAAAGAGATGCGCCCGCTGTTCAGCGAGAAGGTGCCCGAAATGTTGATGGATTGCACCAACGTGCGGGTGGAGCCCACAGAGGGCTGGCCGGACAAAATCTGCGTGCAGTGCGTCCACGCCGTGAGCAGAAATCACGCCTTCAAGACGCTCGTCGAGCGCAGCGACAAGGAGCTGCGCGAATATATCCGTGGTCTCACTGTTGCACAAGTGATGGAAGAGCAGCAGGCGGCGGCTAATGCCAAGCAGCAGCTCCAACTTGAGCGCAAGCAACAGCGAATGCTTCAGAAGCAACAGAAAATCCTGGAAGAGCACATGCAGCAACAGATGATCCAGCAACAGGCTCCGACCAAACCCAAACTTAAACCGCTGCTTCGGAAGGGAACCCGCCAGCATAAACAGCGGCATCTCGAGGCTGCCCCGGCCCCTCAACCTGCCCCACAGCCACAGATGCAACTACTGCCAGAGCCTGCGCAGCCACCACCCACGTTGCAGCAACAGATACAACAAATTCAGCTTCCCACACTTCAACCTGCTCCCGCCCAGCTTCTATCCACTGCCGGCACGACTACCACAATGCCACAGCAGATTCTGCTGCCCAACGGCCAATTGATCACGACAGCTCAAATTGTAGCTCCGCAGCTGGCGCAGATCATCAGTACAACGCCACAGGCGACGGCTAATGGACAAGCCACTGCCCAGTCGCAATTCCTGCCCCAACTCCTGCAGACACCCAACGGCCAGACACTTCAGATTGTACAGCAGCCAAATGGAACGCAGACACTGCAGCTAGTTCAACTGGTACCGCAACGGAGTTTGGCGCCCACCGGGGTGACGACGGTGACTACCACCACCAATGCCACGGACATGGGTCAGCATATAGGCGCTTCCCTGGGCGACGCTGACGTGCAGTTGCTGGAAGATGGCTGCGAGGTGGAGGACGAGGAACTGGAAGATGTGTACGAACAGCTGGACGGCAAAGGAGACCACAGCTTTGAGACCATTGTCCTGGACGACGACCAGCAGCAGGACTTTCTCAAGGATCACCAGGAGCACCATCAAGTGATGATCAACGAGGATCTTACGCAAAGCGAAAGTCAGGAGCACGAGTACTTTGAAGACTTGGATCAACAGCAGGCAATGGACGAGGTAGAAGATGAGGACGACCATCTTAAGCTTGAAGAAGACCAAGATACATTCATCATCGAGGAAATCCATCTGGAAGACGATGAGATGCTGGAAGATCCAGAAGCTGAAGAAATCGACCAGGACTGTGAGTACATCACCGATGAACAGGATCCCCATTTGGCCGGGGACGTGGATGATGACTTACAATATGCCATCATGGAGCCACCTGATGGCGAGACAAGTGTTGATATTGACCAGGCCTTCCTAGAGACGGATCACTCGCATCATCATCAGCAACAGCAGCAGGAAGAGATGCAAAACATATCGCTCGAGAACGCCGTGGTTGAGTTCAGTCAGGCCACAGCGACATCGGATGCCCTGGTGGCTCCCACTTTGAGCGTAAGCTCGGCCAGTCCGACGCCTAAGCGAGCCAAACGAAGCAACCATGCTCCGGCCGGTGTGACCCTGGAACCCTGCGATCACCAACCACCCGCCGCCGCACCGACGATCAGCAGCAAGCTTGCGGCGGCCAATTCCCGGCAGCTGGTCCAGACTGCCAGCGTGATTGCAGCCGCAGGAGCAGATGATAACTATGAAATAGACGCTAATCTGGTGACTGAGTTCATACGTCAGCACACCTCGCCATTGGGTTCGGGCCGGTATATCTGCCATCTGTGCAGCACCGAGTTCCGCCAGTTCAAGGGTCTGCAGAACCACATGCACTCGCACACCAACTGGATACGGGCCAATTGCAAGAAACAGCCGCAGTGCGAGATTTGTTTAAAGAGCTTTAAGGGCCCTGGAATGCTGCGGATGCACATGAAGACGCATGACGCAGAATCCAGTACACCGGTGTGCACCATCTGTAATCGCACCTTCAAGTCCAAGGCGATCCTGTACAGGCACAGGCAGACGCACCAACAGCGAGCCTACTGCTGTGGCGTGGCGAACTGCAGGAAGAATTTCTCCTCGGCGGTAAACCTAAAGTGGCATGTGGAACGAAAGCATCCGGAGGTTGTGGAACCGCTGTTCAAATGCGGCGAGTGTGGATCTCTTTACGATAACGTGGACTCACTGCAAATTCACGTGGAAAGCACGGACCACAGTGCGGATGCGCAGATGAGCACCCAGGACGATGCTTTCAGCGGAGCGGTGAGCATCGTGAGCAACGGCACCACCGACATGTCCAACATGATGGCCACCGGCCAGAGTGCTACTTTGGCAGGCGGATCAGGCGACACCCACGCCGTGGTCGTGGGCTCTTCCGGCGAGGTGTACTTCGTTACGCAGGCGTAGCCAGCGGAGTTTGCCGCAGCAGCAGCTCCTGGAAACGGCGAGTGCCTGCTCGGCATCTAGATGACCATTTAGATGTAACATATATACATATATATATATATATATTTTTGTACTACCCCCGTCTAGATAACACTTTAGCAATTAGCACAACCACACACAAATATTGCAATCCTAGATTTCTGTCGTAGAACTTGTTTGGTAGGACCTAAGCGATTCACTCGAATTTTGTAAGCAAATACGAAACTTTAGGTAGGCAGATAGATCCGGGTCAGATCCCACATCCAAACGCTGAGTGTATAAATCCCGCGGGGACTGTGCCAGTTTTTGTTTTTAATCTTATTAGTTTATTATTATTATTATTTTGTTTTCTTCCCGGGGAATATCAGACTGGCATTTTAGGATAAATGTATTTTGGCGTTGGGTTTTCATTGTTGGGCTTTGAAATAAGAAAGAATTTTTAACTGCAACAAACTGAAAATAAATTAACAAACCTTCTATAAAATCAACAAAATACTTATCTTCTTACATGCGCGAGGTGGTGGGTGATATTTATTTATATTTAAGCATGTAATCCGATTCCCTGGCGCGCTTCTTGCTTTGCTGGCTTGTTATTCAATTGCGGCGTAAGAAGACCGGAAAAAACAGAACCAAAACAAAATTGATCGAAAGAAAACAACAATCAAGCCAAGGTTGAGTCTATTGATTCCCAATTGCCACGTGTCGTGGGGTGTTCTACTTGGATAATTGTACCTATTTGCTTATATTAAATTTAGATATAGATATTACCTAAACTTACCTCACATATTTATGTACTCAACGAATAATCAGTTATCTGATCGCAATCTGAAGTCCAGCCGCTGTCACATGAAATCGTTAATTAATTAGCAAATAAGTTGCGAATATCATCAATTGGAATAACATTGTGACAGGGGAAATCGCCTGCCGTTTATTTACTTTGTTCAGATTATATATGGCAGTCAGCCGAGTATCGCACGATAAGATAATGGCCTGCTGTAATGTTTTCTTTTTTACCATTTATATGACGCATTTTTAAGACTAACCCTCAATTTTCCACCCAGCTGTTGGGTAAATTTAATGACCACATTTCGCCAGCCCCCAAAAAACTTGACATGCATTAATTATAGAGCTTATGAATACTTTGATATTTACATTCATCGATTTTTTGAGCTATCAAATTCGGTGTTTGGTCAATCCTAAATAATTAAACTCTGACCAGAGAATTTCAGTTCAAGACACTTTTCAGACTGAATTTTTACATAAGACCTTCTTTAGCTTAAATTTAAATTTAACATTTGCATACATTAAACTTTTTTGAAAATATTTCCTACATCTTAAAATGCATCTGCTTTCATGCTTGACTGGAAACGTCCTTGAACTTTGAACCGTCTGAATGAAACTTGGCCACGCAGCCAAATAAATGGCAAATTAAATGTCGTGCGAGAATACAGCATATGATTTTATAAATGCCAATGCCTTTACACTCAAAAGAAATACCCCTTTCAGATTAAAGATTTCAAACTTTTGTTTTTGATAGATCTGCTAATCATAACATGTCATTTCGAAAACATTTTCTTTTTAGAACTCAAAGAATGTCAAGTATCTTAGATCAATAGGAAAAAATGTTAATGGGGTTGTATGTTTTAAAAATACATATTTCAAATATATCTATTTTTAAAGCCCACTATATTGTGCGACTTTTGGTTTCCAACAGTTGGCCATCCATTTCAAATTTAATTAATTTGAAAAATGGCAAGGGGTTCGAGAAGAGGGCCGAAATAATCGAAATGATTGCACAAAATAAATTCCTTTGATTCACCAACAATTTATTCACAAAACACACATTTTCGACTTGTTTAATGAACATTATTTTGTATTAATAATCGCCAGTTCTGGCATTTATTCAGATTTTTGAATCGAAATCCGCGACGTCATCAAACCTGGGACATTAGTCACGCCAAGGCTGAAATTTCTCAGCACAGAAAGTCAACATTTCGACCTCTTGGGGCTTTCTTTGGGCATTTCCAAACCCATTTTCATTTCTGCGATGAAATTAAAACGCAATTGGGACAGTGCAATTAGTATTATTAATATTGCGACGCTTGTGTGCCTGTGAAAATATTCAACAATGAGTTTTCTGAAAAATAATATTGAAAACTCATTTTCAACGGATTATCAATAAAAACAGAAAACAAAAAACATTGTTTCATTCTTCGTAATGAGTTTCCTTTAAGTGCAGTAATTCAATTTACTTGTTGGTAAAAGACAGATTGTAAACAAAAAAATATTTTAAAAAATATCCTTTTTTTTTTATTATGAAATCTTTTACCCAAAGTCACAAAATGGCAAACTTTGTTTATATGCCTTGAAAAAAACACTTAAAACATATTTTTGTTTATACTTCAAGTGATTGAACTCAATGCTGGAAAAGATTTCGTATGAAAGATTCCGATTTTACGCACTCTACAAATTTGTTGTAAACAAAAATAAGGTTTTCATTGTTTTCTGGTTAACAAGATTCCCCTTTGGTTGTGTCATTAAACCAACGAACGTGTAAACAAATATCGAAAACAGCAACATCAACAGAATTTAATATTGTTTACTGATCCAATCGCAGATAATGATCGATCGATGATCGGACAGTTCGTTCTAAAGTTTTCCAGACAGGGCTAAAATGTGTAAGACGATTTAAGGGGGCCAAACACTTGTTAGCCCACTTGCCAGCCCACCCTATATACACCTCTATTTCCACCTACTCAGAAGTCTAAGACCCCGCATTGACGCAATTGAAAAGAATAACAAAACAAATTTGTTTATTTTGCGCTCGCCGCTTCGCAAATAATACTCGTTCTTAAACCAGATTATTAACAAATTTTGTGCCCGGCCATTACAAATTTGTTATTTTATTTTGAAAAATTTCCTTGTAATTACAAAAAACTTTTCCACAACAAATTTTCTTTATATGTTTTCCTGAATTTGGCTCAAAATATTTATAGTGTACTTCAGATTATTATGTACTTTATGTATTTTGCTTTATAAGAATGCAGGAAATGGAATACTTTTTGGCCGAAAAAACAATTTTGTTGTACCATTAATAAACTTTGTTTTAAAAGGTTAAAGTTGCATTGATTTTTCCGAAAACCCCCCGTTCTTATAATAATAATCTTAAAAGTATTTTGTCATCAGAAACAGGTTTACTTTTATTGTATTTACAGTGATTTCCCTTAACTTAAAATGATAACCGAAATGACTCATGGTCCTGATAAAGTTTTGAAGTAAAAAGTAATGGAATATTATTATAAATATATAAATTATTAAAAGATCTAACGCACTTAAATGCAATCAGTTTGTCTTCTTTTTGTTTAAAAATATACAAAATTATAGTTTTTAGGGTATTTTACCTTCCGGTCTCCTCAAAAATTAATCTGTTGGCGCTTTCATTCCGTCACGAATTGCCAATTCACACGAATTCATCACATTTTGTTTATATTTTTCGACGTAGTAATGCTCTACAGTGTTGAGTCTACACACACGTGTTTTCTCACGGAATTTAATATTATCTGACTAGGCCACAAAAACGCAATACGATTAGGCAAAGTTTATTATAAATTAGTTAGTATCTCACTACAAGAAAAGGTGTGTAACTTTCCACTTGGATAAATTTTGGCACCTTGGGCTCTGTTTCTGTTATCGTATTTTTGTTGGTATTAAATTAAACTTGAACCACATTTGGCCGACGACAAATACAAACGTTTGGGCAAATAAATCTGGCCAAATACACTTCAAATATTTATATAATTCGTACAATTATAGACCGGCTGCAGGATTGAGACAATATTTTTAGCATTATCGCAGCTGCTTTTTTTTTTAGCTTGCGGCGCAATTTCATTTTCATTTCCGATTTCTCGGGTTTTCAAAAAACGAACTACATATAAAAAAGAAAATCATGTACGAGAGTATGTTTTTAATGGGGGCGCACACGAGCCTCATGGGGTGGTCTAGAGACTATCTTCTTCTTCTGATAAGTTTGGGGCGTGTGCTATTGACATTGTACCCATTTGGTCATGAATTCGTTGGTCGTCCGCCGTCGGTTTCGTCGCCGTCATCTGGCGAACTTTTTTGGCTGTCTGCTCGGGCGAAGAATTTCAGAATTTCAAGGCGCGATCTGGTTAGATATACCTCTTAAAGTGGGTGAAGGAGAAAGATGAAAGTGTAGAGCCTTGTTCTTATTTTAAATTTTCCCATTTTTAGTTATGCTTAAGTTTGAGATCCTCCTGTGAACAATCGTTAGCCCAGAGAAATAAAAATATCTTTTTTGCTTTTGTCTAATTCTTGTGACTTAAACATTCTTATGAGATCCTGATTTTGAAGGATCATATGTATATCTAAAAATTGTGGTTTTATTACCCTTTGTTTTGGGTTTATTCAATGAACTTTTTATATGATTTATCGCCCGAATGGAATATTCCTTGAAGGACTCATAAGTTGGAAGCACAAACTAGAAATCAATGAAATATGGAAGCCATTCTGGCTGCCTAAAGGGGCATTGGCCGAAAGGGTTTTTGATTGATCTGGCAGGGGTGGGAACTAATCTATTTCCTCTGAGCACATGCGAAACATATTTATCATTAAATGCCGGTATTTTGAGATTTGGCAGCTGGCCACAAAAATATTCGGCCCACCCGCAACAGCTGCGAATGGGACTCGATTTGGTGTGGTCAGTGCCAGAATGAGTCGCCAAGCAAGCGAGTTGGAATTGTGGTAAGCACATGGCTGTTAGATTGGCCCTGAAAACACGCCTTTGTCAGGGGCAAGAAATCCCGGGCATTTCCTTTGCCGCGTGCTTGGGCAACGCCTTCTTATTTTTTTTTGCTTTCGTGATTTCTTGGTTGCCAGACAGAAGACGAACCGAACCTCCCCCTTGTTATTCCTCCCCCATTAAACCACCCACAAAATGCGGAAATGTACCCGCCGATTTTGTCATCGAAGCGCCGGCGGAGATCACGGCACAAACTCGTGGCCATTTGTTCCGGTAACCGGTGACGTCGCCCCCAAAATACCATCCCCTACGGGTATATATTCCCTCTGTGATTCTCTATAGTCAAATCTAGATACATCGGGAAATACTTGGCATAGTCCGAAAAGTAAAATGTATAGAATTGAGGGAATTCTCCGACTACCGAAAAAAAATCTACGAAAAACTAGACAATGCAATGATTGAAATACTTTTTGGCTATCTTACTTTCTATATGCGGCGTTCAATGTCAGGGTCGGTTAAAAAAGTTGCTGTGTTTGCTAGAGTGCCCTCCTAATACTAGTACTAAATGCTAATGCTAAGGTGCCATGTCAGCGTCTGGCTGCTCAAAATAAACATTTCTTTCATTCAAAATCTGATTAATAAAATTCACTTTTCGGTGAATGCCAGGTAATGCCAACAATTTTATTTCGTCAAATCTATATATTGTGCAACGTGTGAATTAGTTGACAAACTAAACATAAACTTTAAAGAAATTTGCAAAGGGTTAAGACTGTTCTGTACCTTTATATTTGGGTATTTATTCAGTCTGTTTAATGTTGTTTATTTCTTTAATTAATTTTGATTTAATTCAGATTTTAAATTAAATTAAATTCAGTAGAATTTAATGCAGGCATTTTTACTGTTCACAGTTCTTTATTCAAAATGTTCTAAAGGGTTTATAGCTATATAAATAATTCTTAATTAATGAAATCATTCAACACATTAAATCAGAATAAATCAGATTGATTATAATATCTAGCTCTTTAGAAATGGTAGTAAACTGAACCCTGATTCTCAACTGAATTAAAACACCTGTCTGTATATAGTATCTAATTTTTCCACAGTTCAGTTTTTACTATTTAAAGAAAACTAACAGTTCTACCTTAGTAGAGCTTTAAATCAAAAGCCTTTATATCTTAATGACTCATTAAGTTAGCAACTATTATTTTATAAACTCAATTAAAGAAAGCGATAGCTTAGAATTCGTTTTAATTAATCGAAATCAAATGGATCGATCGCTGACTAATGGAAACCAGCTGATAAACTTAATTCATTCGCTGCGTGTGATTCATTATTGGCCAAACAAGCAGGCAAAACGGCGAATGACGAACAATCTTTTGATTGTTGTCGTTCAGTTTCAATTGTTTGCTGTTTTGTGTTTTCTGTTTGGCATTTGCTAGTTGCCGGCTGGTTTCAATTAAGCTATGGGGCACACGAGCGACTGGCGCGTGTTTTCAATAACAGTGGTATCAATAGGTCTCAGCCAGACAGCCAGGCACGGAGTAGAACGATCATAAACCGTAAAGCCAGCTGAAAAAAACCCTTTTAAACCTGTCTTCCCAACTGGCAGCAAGAATAAAGAAGCTTGAATCGACTCCTAGCACGCATCTATGTACATCTACTTTATACACCGTAAAAACGATATAAAATTGTTTTATAGGTAATGGTTTATGTTTAACTATAACTAGACATAAAAACCTTTTTTACATTTTCAAACATATAGAATTGATAAACCCCCTATCAATACCCAATAATACAGATTTCTATCAAAGCTAGTACCCTCCTTTCTTACCAATATTTCTAACAGTGCAAGGACTAAAACACCTTCTAACTAATTGACCTGTCTAGCAAACCACGTTTAATCTCCTAATGCAGGCCCAAAGCCAAGTTGGTGTCCTTGCTCACTGCCAGAATAAAATCGATTCAGTGGGTGGAGCAGGTGAAACTGCAGGCGAATATCCTTGAGCGAGACTGAGGCTGTTCACAAGGTCATTGCTCAGCCAAGCATCCATCAACTCAACAAATGTACATATTTGGCTATAAATATTAATAAAGTACCTCAATTTATACCATAAACCGTATGATTGACACTGATTGGCCAGATCTGATCCACCACCCCTAAATTATCATCATCTAAAACCCCCGAATTTGGCTGAGTGACAGCTTCCTCCCTTTACGCCCGTCATCCAAATTGGCCCACTAGAAGAAACCGGATGAGTAATAAGGCGACACGTATGCATCTTGTTTGACTCGCCTGTCACCGGAACAAGCCCCAAAAAATATACAAACACATGAAATTAAAATAGTCATCTATATTTGCCGACTGACAATTTTCACCACAAAAACATATTTTGCTAAATCTCCGAGAGAACGTGATCAAATATTTACTGAGAAGAGCGAGCCAAGTTGATTTGAATTTTAAGAAGCCCACAGGAAAACCTGTGATGCGTTAAGCAATAAAATTAATTAAAGATGTTTTATGATAGGTTTTTAATAGGTTTAAGTGCCACACGTGTAGTAATTAAACAGGTGAATGTTACTTAAATTTAGCACTAGGGGAAAACTAATTTTAAGGTAGATGGAGGAAAAAATTGGTGGCAGGCAGAGAACTTATTGAGCTTAATTTTGAAATATTTTTCTGCTGATATATCTCCTAAAAAATAAATACAAAAATAAAATTGTTAATGTACTTTAAGAATTTTAAATAAATTTTTAAATCTTAGTATTATCATCTGGTACTGTATTATCATCTGGTACTGAAGAGTTTATTTTGTACTGAAAATTAGTTACAAAATTTCAATTTAAATTCGTTCTTTGTTATAAAATTGAAAACAAATGAAAATGCAAAACTCGTTAAGTTCTCCATCAAGACATCCTCCACTTCCAATTTCCATCTTTTTAGACTACAGAATATAATAGAACCTCCATACATGCATGTCATATGGGAAAGTAATGGCCTTGCCTTTTTGGCTGCATTCAGAGTCAATGTCAAGGATGTGAGCTTCATAGAACAATGGAGGCGACAAGCGATGTGGCGCCCAGTTGCCTACTTATCCACAGCCTTGACAATGGCCTTCCGTTTCCGTCCAGCCCCAGCCACGCCCTCGATTCATCCAAGCTGGGCTGAGAGCTCTTTGAATAAATTATTCATGGGTGCAGCACGGGCGCCCCAGGGTCAATGGGATTGTTTCCTGCGATTGGACTAAAAATTCAGGCCAACTCGGAGGCATAACTCTTATCGGTTATGAATGGGTTTCCCTGCTGTGGGGTTATGTTTTTTTTTTGTAATTGGTGGATGAGTAGGTGGATGGGAGGACAAGGCCAGGGACTGCCTATCTCGACAAGTTAACTGGGTTTATCACCCGTTGGGGCTGTGACTGATGTAAAAATACCCGAAGGTTGCGTCACTTTTGCCATTTTCCTATCCGAATGGAGCCCTTTGAGTTTATTTTCGGGATGTGGAAGTGCCACAAGCGAAGAGAGAGTCGAAGCTCACGCGATTCTGTTTGGTGTGTTCTGGTTTATTACCATTTGCATTATCTATTCCAAAACGACGTCGCCAGCTAACACTTTCGATAAATGAATTCTTTAGTGAAAGCTGGGCCATAAAATAAACTTAATTTTCAAGTGGAATTCCTGACACCTGCTGATAATATCAATAGATGACTGCACACTGGAAGTAGTAAAGCACCTTAATCTCTCTCTGATTCCTTGTCAAGAGCTTCCAGACAGTCTGCAATGTCTTGCCCCTTGTACACCGATCAAACTTATAGATTGGCCAGCCATTATGGAATGGAAAATTCTGAGATAAGATGTGAACGATAACAGCAAACGGAGAATTTGTCAACATTAGCAGCTGTTCGCAATTTTGTTTTTTCCCCAATTTATGTTTGGTCCCTGTAATTTAATTAGGCCACTCGCCATTCATGAGCCCCAATTATGCGGAAATTGTTGGAAGCTCGATTCCATATACTATATATGGTTGCTTCCGTCAACAAATATTTGCTCCGGCATTCGTATTGGACAAACAGTGGGCAGTCGTTTGGGTATTAAGAGGAAAAAACAGTTTACCAAAGAGATTTTCCATTGTTTATTGCTTTTGTCACCATCGGCAATTAAATTGGTTTCTTGGAATTGCAAACGGGATTTCCAGCTTAGAATGGGGGAGCTCTATTAATAGAGTTTATCTAACAGGAACCTTTGTTGACCCACTAAAAGATACAGATACAAATCCAGGACAACGTTCCAGAGGGAATATGCAAAGTTGAGCGCATGTCTCGGGACAATTTGTTACTTGAATCAAAAAAAAAGGAAAATCAGTTGGGAAATAAGAAATTTCGAGCTGGGAAAAGAACAGCAAGAAAAAAGAGCTGCTTCTCTCTTTCGGTAAAGAGCGAGCCTCAGAGAGAAGATACAAAAGGGTGCGCGGCATAAAGAGAGCTTATACATACTAAAAAATACTTGGTTGTACAAAAATGTATTTATATCATTTATAAAATATTTAAACATTTATATATCTGAGGTATATATAAATTTAAGATTCCAATAAAAAAAACTCAAATATATACAATAGAAAAATACGTATGAAGTTACAGCTAAACAATTAGTTAGACACAGATTTACTGTGTTCACTAGTTTTTCTTAGTGCACTAGCTGCTTAAAAAGTATCTGGAGAGCGCAACGGCTCAGCTAGCTGATCTGCTCGCACTCACGCTGCCTGCTGCTGGGCGAGCGAACAAGTGTCGTGGTGGCTGCAGACATCTCGCTCTAACCGTCGCACCATGGGCACATCACGGAGCAACGGTGCTTGTTTCTTTCAATTGTTTTTCAAACTTCGTTCGGAACGGACGGTGCGCGCTCTGGTAGAAAAAAGTGAAAAAGTGTGTGACAAAGTGCAAATAAGCCACAACGCGCATGTGAGAAATCAAATTTAATTGAGAAGCATCAAAAATTGAATACATATCGAGCATGCCCACATCGTTGTATGTGTGCGTGTGCCAGTGCTAGTGTGGTTTTCCTTTTTCTCTGTGGAAAATATTTAAACTGAATGAAAAACTGAATTGCAGTCGGCCAGAACCAAATAGGAAAAGAGTAACTCACATTGGGGACACGCAGAGGTGTCTCGAAAAAGGTAAAATTTGTTACACAGAAACGACGCCAGAAAGCGATTAGCGATTTTTTGGCTCTGTGTGAGTGTGTAATTTTTGTGTACGGTTGTGTATGTGCCTGCTTGTGAATTTTATTTAATTTTTTTTCGTGTATGTGCACAGTAAAAATAGCTAAAGAGCGAGAGGGAGAGCCAGTATTTCTCTCTTCTGTGAGAGCAAACTGCGACGTCATCGTTCACGCAGAGTCTGTTTTATGTGGCGTTTCTTTCTTTCTTTTTTATGTTACTGCTGCTGCTGTGCCTCTTCTTCTTCTCGTCTTTTGACTATCTGTTTTGTGGTTAATCTTTTGTTTTGAATACACTTTATCTACGTCTGTTCAAGTGAGTGTGTGTGTGTAAGAGACGATCTTCTCTTCTTGTTCTTCCATCTCTTTTGTTCTTACTTCAGTATTTTTTGTTTTTTTCGTACACGTAATTCCCGTAGATATCGAACTCAGCTGCTTTTTGTTTTGATACGTGAAATCCATAATCAACCTGCTATCGTTGGGTCAGGTAAAAAAAAAACGAGAAGAAACCCGTTTTGTTGTCGAATAAATATCTCGAAAATTATGCGAATAGCTGGGTGTAAAATGTTTAAATTCAAACTTTTCCATTACTTAATGAGTTTGCTTGTTTGTGAGCCTGAGAACATGACTAATTGCTGTATTACTTTTTCAACGAGCTGCTTATTCCATTTGTTGAGTTTCAAGTGCTCAAATATTGTTTTTATCACATTTGTTTGTCTCAAGATTTAGATTTTCGCTCAGAGTCCAATGAAGACGGTAATTTCTATATAAAGCTGCTCAGATTCCAGTCTCGAATTTAATACAACACAAATATTGCAATTTTTTTACTGTGTGTTTCTCTTCTTTTTTTTATTCGTATTTAGCTGTATTTGCCTTGTTATTGTTGCCAGGCACTCGCCAAATTCATTTCCACTCCGATTACTGTAAAAGCTTATCAGTGGGCAGAGTTCACTATAGATTGACAAAAAGGGGGGAAAAAAAGGGGAACTAGGGGTTCCAAACAAACAAAGGCAGGCCTCCTTTTTGCTTAGTATGAGTGTCTGCTGCTCTCATTTAAATGCCACAGGCAAAATACCAGGGAAAAATAACAACCAGCTCCAATTCCGCCTCGTTTCACATTGCTTCCTACTTCATTTGCAAATTGTGGATTCAGTGAGTGCACTTAGCTTGGCAGCCAGCCAAACAATTTGCGTTTACTTACCGAGTTAAATTTCCCAAACCATTTGCAACGCAAGAAATATCTTAATCTCATTTAAAGCAGTTCAAAAGTTTAAACTCAAGTCAAACACAAAAAGGTGGGGTTTTCACACTTATTTTAACAGTTGCGACCTTTTAAAAACATTTGCTAGCCTGATGTTTTCTTTATGAATATTATGAAAACAATAAATTGCCTTTGTCTTATTGTTTTACATATAATATGTATACAAGTTACTTGGACTTTACTATGGTACGTCTCGTCCTAAACTAAATTATTTAATTTCCAATGCGAAAAGTGTGTCTTAATTTTAGTTTTTTTACTGAACTTTTCGGCCTATTTATGATTTCTAGAACTTTAGTCATTTATTCAGATTATCTTTAAAAATTGCTTACTAGTTATTTATTCAGATTATCTTTGAAAATTGGTTACTAAAATAAATATAAACTTCTTTAAACACCATAAAATAATAATCTTTATGGAATTGGCGTCAGGTTCCAACGAAACCTGCTACTGAGAGTTTTTATAGCTGAAATTTGAAAAACAAAACACTTTTGTTAGTATGTAAATTAAATTGGATTAATCAATGTTTGTTTAGCTGGCAATTCACACTCCATTCTTTGATAGTTTCGTCCCAGAGTTGCCAAATTTAACGAATCGGTGCTAAAGTAAAGCGCTTTTTCCGCTTTTATATTTGAAAGCTAAAAGTGCTGCAATTGATATGTGTAATACGCATGGCGATGTATCTTTTGTGTTGTAGTTTATATTCCATTTGGCTTTTGTTTGATTGCCTTTGTCGTGGAGAACAGCTGACAGCTGATTTGAATGTTTTCTCACCTTATTTGTTTTGATTTCAAATTTGCTTTGGGCAACACACCAACGAGAATCTCTCAGCAAAGTCGGCGCGGAATTATTCCTCCGGCGCAATTGCAGCTGTTTGTGTTTTATTCCCCCAAATCCCCTATCCCCCCAATCTTTCCCTTGCCCAGTTCCTTTCTCTGTCTGCGTTATTCGCTGTCGTTGACCCAGTTTCGGTTCACCTTATATACTTACATACACATATATGCAAACAGATACCTCCATACGAAAGCCCAGCTAATGTGGAGCAAACGGGGAGTGAGGAAGTTAGTTTTGCGTTTTACTTGCCTTTATTTTGGTTTCCCCAAAGTTTTCCTTGCCATATTTTACTGAGTTTTTTCCATTCAGCTGATAAGGTCATTGTTTTTCGCTTACTCATCCGGCCTGATCTTTGCCTGATCTTCAATCTTTAGCAATCAGTTTCAATTAATTGCCCCGATTAGCTATATATTTAAAGCCTCCGCTTCGTAGATCTTGTTCCGTATTCCAATCAATTTTGCGCGACTTTCGCTTGACATTTTAGCGGGACATTTACGGATTGCGACGGGGTAAACACTAATTTATTTAAAGGCTTTTGCTACGCTTTTGCTATAAATAACGCTGTTGAAATAGCCGCCTTAGCTGTTGGAAGTGGCGATAAACTTCTCCGTATTGTTTTTGCGGCGTAGACAAGACAACGAAGTGAATCACCCCGAGTTAACGAACCTCATCATCGGAACACTTGATTCCGTCAAATCGGTTAAAAGCCTTTTGTGGTTCCCCCCCTCGAATGATTATATCTTGGTAGTAGTTGCCATGCTCTATCTCTCGAGTATTAACTATCTGTGTATATTTGTTTGAAAGAGATTAGCAAATGCCGCCGTCTGGTCTCGATCAGGTAATAATTACAAGCCCCAGCAGCTGGCAAACATGCATTGTGTTATCTTTATGACGTCTGCAGTTAAGTTTCCCTGTTTGCATTTAATATTAGTGGGATGCGAGGCCTGGTGATAAATATCGTCTGAAAATGATGGGTGTGTCTACAACGCAATTCGCAAATCGTGCCACCTCTCTTGGCAGCTTTGATTATAATTATAATTTGCCACCACTCTAATTAAAGAACCTTTGATACCAGCGCCTCCCTATCAGCTACGGAGATTCCCGTTCCCGTTTGTTCACGTGCCACACGCTTGACTAGTTTCCAGTAGAAACCCCTACTCATGATCATAGCCCCAGCCTCAATTTCACATCCCTCTCCCCCGACTTTCAATTGTTTTCAATTATCAGCACGCTTTAATAAATGTTTTCTAATGTAGCCTATAGTTCATAGGCTGATTTGATTGCTTTTATACTATAAGCCATTGCCGATTGTTGATTGTTAATCGATGGAGGAGACGGGTGGGGGGGTGTGGTGTGGAATGTTAAACGGATCAGTCAGCCACAAAATGATTGATCTTCTAAAGCGCATATGAAATTTGATAGGACACCAAATGTTATTGATGTTTGCACATCAGCTGAGGTTTGTCTAGTAGTTAATGATCTATGAGGTGAATTTGAACTCGAAATAATGATAAAACTAAAGGAGACATATATTTGATTTGATAACTTTGATTGCTTCTAAGAACTATAAAATAGCTAGCCCATGACCGACCACTTAGTGTTTAGTCATCAGAAGCGCAGCCGGAACTCAATTTGCATTCCCCGTGGTCGCGTGTCGTGTGTTCCGCAGCGGAAATCACATTGAACCCCGGCCTGCCATCTGAATGCACTTGTTCAGATACAATATCTATATAATACGATCTGAGCATGAGCATGAGAACCGGTTGCCTGAGGCAGTTGATTGAACGATCAGCGGATGATTCAGGCCATAAAGCGATCAAGTGTGGCAGGTTAAGGTGATCGCATATTTAACCCAATTCGCAATGGAATTTAACGGAATTTTTCCCAATCCTTATCTATCTTATTGCAGACTGAACAAAGCGGCAGCAGGATATACGGATTTCCCAAGCAGCGCGCCCAACGGGAAAAGCTCCGGGGAAAGAAAAGCGTCCAGCAATCGTTACACTGTTTCGCGCGGCAGGGAATGGTATATTTCTTGGGGGATTGGGGCATGGGAGATTCTGACTTGTCGTCATATCAGCAACATGTTCCAAATATACAGCAGCCTCAACACATCCATGGACATGAACTACTCTTGCAACAGCAACAGCAGCAGCAGCAGCAGCTTCCACAGCAGCAGCAGCCACGCCAGCAACAGCAGCAGCAGCAGCAACAACAACAACAGCAGCAGCAGCAACAGCAACTTGTGGCACAAATCTCCAGTAGCCTAAGCCAGCTGCAGCCACAGTTGCAGTTTGCCAGTGGATCCCGCTTCCTGCAACCGGGCACTTCTCCCTCGCCATCCCAGCAGCAACATGTTGGACATGTCAGCAGCAGCAGCCTCGTAACTGCCAATCTCCAGCAGCTGTCGGTGAGCAGCAGTAACTCCAGCAGCAGCAATAGCAACAACAACGGCACCAGCGGCTGCAACACTCCCACCAAACAGCAACAACTACTGCTCCCAGAAGCGGCTGCTCCTGTTACCACCGCTGTCGGCAAGTCTTTGAAGAACACACAGCTGAGCAAGGATCTCCTGGACAATGAAGATGAGGTGGCATTGCACCCGCTCTCCAACCAGGTGAGCAATGAAAGAAATGAAATTCCTAGGTTTAAGTTTGTTTTAGGGACTGGTATTTTCGGTAGTCAAAGAATATTTCAGTTTACCTAGTAAAAGTAACAGATCATCATATTCAAAACATTGAGAAGTATATGTTTTTTTGTTAATTACTCTTGAAGGTTCTCCTCGTTTAAACTCTTTAGGTTACCTCTTCTTGATCTCGACAAGTAGGGCGCTGTATAGTGAGTGGCAGAACTCCTCAAGACCCGCGTATGCATTCTTCTCGATGAATGCCTTGACCACCGCCCACACGGACTTCAGAAACTTTATCTGGGCATAAACCAAGACGTCAGTATATTCCTCAACAGTAGCCTTGAGGCAGAAGTGCATCAGGACGACGAATGCATCCGCGTAGGGGATCTCGGCGTTGACGGTCTGCACATCAATGGAATACAGCTGCCCTGGTTGGCTGCACTCGCGCATTACTTGCGTCTCGGTGACCTTGGCAGTTTTAGGACCTAGGTTCGCTTGCAGGGCCACGGTCACCGTGACGATGCGCTCGTTTCGACCTTCTGCGTTTTTCTTCCAGCCGCCCATTTTTAGATCGGTGGACTTGCGCCGATCATGAAAGCTCTGCAGGAACGGCGAGGCTGAGAAGAGCATGTTGAACAGTGCATCCACCCTCACCATCAGTCGCTCCTGCAGCAACTTGCGGCCCTCATGTGAAGCACTGCATCTGGCTGTCAGCTCATCTTGCTTTCTTGTCCCTATCGTGATCGGTGCCGTTGTATATTTTATTAATTTCGATGAGCTCGTTTTTAATGTGTTTTTGTCGATCTTAGCCTGTTTTCCGCGCTTACCAGATGTTGGCCTTATTGTTTCCCTGCTGGGGAGCGCCGAGGGAACCAGGGAATTGCACCGCGTATTCCGCATGTTATTAACCTTGCTTTTTCGGCCTCTATCCGTTTGGGTAAAAGCCGACTGCCTTGGGGATAATATTTGCTTCTTCTTTCCGCCCGCTGTCAAGTCGGTCTTAGAGCGACGATCGTTTTTGGCAGCCGTCGAGCCTCGCCGACTGCCCCAGAAAAGTCGATTCTTTGTGGTATCGGTTTCAGCCAAAGCCTGAAACTCGTCGGACGGCTGCGGACCTCGGTGTGTGGCTGAGTTCCGACGGGAACTGTTGCTTTGATTTATCCGGTTGCTGGTGTTGCTCGTGCCAGATGACTTGTCCATTTCCAAGGGTTTTCCAAATCGGTACTTCAGCCGGGCCGTGATTGACTTCATATTCTAGTCAATGTTCGTTGTCATCTTCAATTAAATCATTCTTAACGAATCACTCGAAATTTGTCACGAAATTAAAGGAACTAAATGAGCTCCAACTTTCTCATGGCTGTCTGTAAGTTGTTTGCTCTGCGGATTTTGGCAGAGAAAGCTCGATAAGCTAGGCATTTTCGCACTTTCGATTAGAGCCAAGAAGTGACGTAGTGAACGATAAGATTGCAGCAATCAGGGTTATGGCCACGCGCCAGTCAGCAGGTTTCTTAACACTAAACAAGTTAGATTATGTTTTTGATAGAGCGGAAACATAACAATGAACTAGGGAGTGAAAACACGACAGCGGATATGCTAAACAAGAATGGGAATTGTATACATGTACTATCATATTCTTGAAATTAGTTTTTATTGGCTTGAATTGTACTTTATTTTGGGCACTTGTTAAGATAATGCTTAAATAGGCCAATAAATTAAACACTCCAGCTTGTAGCAATCAGATTAGATCTAGCACCAAAGGTATTATAGTAATATATAGACTAGAAACCCCTGCCTAGACATAATACATATGTGTTAGTAATAATAATAATAACTTCTGCTTAATTTTCTAGGTCGGAGGACACACTAGACTGTTGCTGCTTAACCAGTCGACGGTGATTAAACCGCTGAACCTGCGCGAATTGGACTTCTACCAGAACATTCCGCAGGACATACTGAAGTTTGTGCCCAAGTACAAAGGTAAGATACCGACTGTTTCACCACCCGCATCAAAAACTGATCACACCTTTAAATACCAATTATCGATTCTGTCGAAGCGCTTCATTTGCTCTTTCGTTTCGAATTAACTAAATCATACAACAAAAAATAAATAAGAAAAAATATATATATGAAACATTCTGAATCGCGCCAAGCATTTGTCATGTGTCTTGAGTTCCGAAATCGCCAATTTTTTATTGAATCGAACTTTTGTTTTTGTACTAACAATCGCAACAATCAAAAATGATAAAGCCAAACAACCAACCAATTTGCGTTTGCTCCTCTTGTATCGTCCCTAGATCAAACCAAATCGCATTCGAATATCATTTTTATCAATAGTATTTTTTCTCTACAACTATATATCTAAAAAATATGTGATATCCTTAGTCTGTAAGTTGTTTATTGAAAATGGAAATAAAACCAATCTCAAAAAAAAAGAAAGCAAAAAAAAAAAAAAAAAAAAAAAATAAGAACTTGAAAACTTGACTTAAAAAAAAAAGACTGAACCATATACAATAATATGTAGCTAACCTATAGCTTTAACGATTTGTAATACGAAAAGCCAAGATCGAAAATAAAAGAACCAAAAACGTTATAGCCGCCACATGCCACAGAACGTTCTCTGTCTTGACGACGCCTGGGACTAGTCTATAGTCCGGGTCGCCACCGCCCGAACCAGAGACCTTTTCCGATTAAATCCCCTTAGTTAGTAAAACCATGACAGCAATGGGTAAGTCGCAAACCAAAAACTACCAAAACAAATACCAAGAAAAGCTCCAACCCAAAAATAAAGTAAAGTAAATTGTAATCGTAAATGAAAAAATCCCCTCCATAAGGATTGTACAGTTTTTCCAAGCAAAAATTGTAAAATCGCTTGAATGGATATGGAAAAATTTATATCCATGATGCACTCCCTCGATTCGGCGCATGTATATATAATGATTATGGTTGCCCGGATCGGGGGGCGTGTCCCCGCCACTACATGTACGTCTATGCTCGTATTATCCAAAGGTTCGAGGTGCCTGCCTGACAGACCCGCTCGAGATCTGCCGCCGAACCAAGCAAACCTCACCGAACCGAAACTGAACCACTGAAATGATCCGAACCGGAGTCCGGAAAAGAGTCCTACCTCCTCTATCGGGATCGGAATCGGAATCGAAATGGGGAATCGAACAGGGGAATGCTTAAGCCGAAAGTGTAAAGAAAATCGTTTTTTTTCCGCAATGCAACAAAGAAAATCGAGTTTTATTTTATGTGTTTGTTCAGAACGCACATCGTGCCGCCCTCCTTCCCTCAAATGCGTGTTGAGTATTGTTGTGTGTGTAGTCATCGTCGCCGTCTCCGCTCCGCTCGTCTCATCTCGATCCCTCGATCTCGATCCTAAGCAATCGGGTCCGCCCTGCTCTGTCGGTTAGAATGCAGGCGAGCGAAATCGAATGGGTTTGTATGATTAAAACACATCTATCTATCTATTTTACATATGTTAATATACCAATTACCAATTATACCAAACAAATACATAACGATATGATACGATTACAACATAACCGTATGATAGTTAAGACGATCCCATTTTAGTATGTTAAGCTAAGTTCAGGAAAATCAAAGCCAGCGATAATCTGAAAGTTTTTGTATACAATATTTCCACTTTCTTTTGCACTTGTTACTGCGTCGGTTCGTTAAGTCTCTATCTAACTGTTTTGCACCAACTTAGCTTAGGAATAGGCCTAGTTACTCTCTACTTCCATTTAATGGCATTCACATTTGAAAGCCATCTGATTCCGTCTGATGTTGGAAATGCATGAAGCACTTCTCGATCCCATTGCTGCACCAAAGAAATCGTTTAAAGACCTGCTCATTTGATCAAAGTGATGTTAAGTAGTTTGAAGTTATGTTATAATCTTGCCTTGATCACCTGAGTGGAGTTCCATTTCCATCATCCATCAGAGTAATCGTGTTTGTCTGTTTTTCAACCATTTCGTGTTTCGTCTGCTAACTAAAACTCTGGAACCGCTGCCTCAGTCCCCCATTTGCCACATCTTAATAATCTACCCCTAACCCATCTCCCGTGTCAATTCGATGCTAAACTACAAAGAACTACAACCAGATGAGAAGAGTTTGCCCATTCACAGTTTAGTAATCCCTTTCCCCGGCTCGTCTCTGTGTCCATTCCAGGCGTCATGCAGGCCACCACCATGGGCGGAGCCAAGTTGGACAAACGCTACTCGCCCAGTTTCCGGGATGAAGCTGCCGCCGTTCCCGTCCGCAAGATGAGCGCCTCCAAGAGGAAGCGCGATGAGGTGCTGAGGTGGGTATTTCATGTTCTCTCAAATCGAAAACATTGATTAATTCTCGTTTCCCTTGCAGAATGAAGGTGCACAAGAATGGACAGGCAGCTGAGGTGATCAAAAGCATCTCTCAACTGGACAACACCAATAAGCAATGTAAGTATTTTTACAGGCAAATGATTCATTTTCTAAAACAAAAAACTACAATTCTGGAAAACAGTCTTATGTGTTTTTCACCTCTCAAAAGGGCGTTTTTTCGATAAAAAAATATTTATTGCCAGTTGAAAGTAATATTTATTATCTTGAAAACAAAACCACCGAAAGATTCACATAAATCCGTTTTTAAGCTTTTAAGAAGGGAGAAAATATTTGCACTATGATAATTCATTTTATTAGAAGTTCTTGGAACTTTTAAAAAGTACAATCCTATTTATCGTTTTAAAATCCTAATAACAACTTTACAAAAGAGCTAAAAACAGTTTTCGTTAAGTAGAAAATAAATCTGATCTCGCTTCCTTCCATTGTAGACTTCCTTATGCTCGAGAACATCACCTCGCAGTTCCGGAATCCCTGCATTCTGGACCTCAAGATGGGCACTCGTCAGCATGGAGATGATGCCTCGGCAGAGAAGCGGTCTAAGCAGATGGCCAAGTGCGCAGCTAGTACGTCAGGATCTCTTGGTGTTCGCCTTTGCGGCATGCAGACCTACCAGGCCGATCTAGAGCAATACGCCAAGCGTGACAAGTACTGGGGCCGTGAGCTAAACGAGGGCGGATTCAAGACGGCTCTCCATGACTTCTTCTACAATGGCTACCGCTTGCGTATTCGCGTGATTCGCAAGATTCTGCAGCGCCTGTTGCAGTTGCGCAGGGTGATTGAGAAGCAGTCAAGCTACAGATTCTACTCCTGGTAAGTTTCCAATTAATTTCATTTACAAACAGTACTAATGGGTAATTTATTATTTGCAGCTCACTACTCATTGTGTACGAGGGCTTCGAGGAGAATCCAATGGCTTACCCACCCTCGATGGGTCTGGATGAGTGGACCGAGGCACCCAAGTCGGCCACCGTGCCTGGCACAGTCTTCGACTATCATCCGGAGAATAGCATAGATGAGGACGATCTGGAAGATGAAGACGAAGCGGGACATGAGGCTGGCGATGAGCTGGAGGCACACGATACCGACGAGGATCTCCATCTGGTGGCAGCCGATAGTGGCAACGCTTCGGCCACCAACAGTAGTACAGGAGGCGATGCCTGCAACTACGACGCAGATGCCTCAAATGATTCCAGTTCATTGCTCAACTTGGCCACCAGGCGTCACCTGCACAAGCGTGGATTCGCAGAAGCAGCAGCGCGAGGTGTCAAGCAGACAGCGGCCAATAACACCACCACCGACGAGGAGGAGGAGGAAGAGCATCTGGCTGCCATGCCACCGCCCCGCAGTTGTGGTGTTATGGCCGCCAAAGCAGCTGCAGCGGCAGCTGGACTGGCCGGAAAGGGCCAGGGCGCATTCATTCCAATCTCCGAAGAGACAGTATTCCTGGACCCAGAACCAGCGCTGCCCAGCGTGACGACCTCATCGCCACATTCCGGTGACTCGTGGATGAACTATAGCAGTAACAGCAGCGACGACTTCTCCGGATTGTCCGAGCAAATCAAGGCTGTGGCCAGCGGGCGCCAAACATGTAAGATAGTCATAAGTATATAACAAATGTACGATTGATAACCGTTTTCTTAATTTTTCTAGGCAATAACAGTAGTGATGATGCAAGTTCAGATTATGAAAGCAGCATCATTGGACCCACAGAGGCAATGTTCAAGCGCTACAAGTCGCAGCAATCTTTTGACGCTGCCACAGCAGCCGAAACTGCTTCCTCCCCGCCCCTCACTGCCGGAAACTCAAGCGTCTCCAACGGCGGCACAACCGTTCGCTCGCTGGTTTCGCCTGCTTCATCCAGCGCCTCTTCTCTGAAATCAGTGAAAGGTGCGGTAAAGCGATTGCGGTGCAATGATGACGATCAGCAATCAGCTGCTCTTGGTGAATGTGACTCGCGTGAGGCCAAGAAGTCGACGATCACCTCGACACCCGTGTCGGCTGTATCCTCGCCAGCCAAGACCGCGCCCCAATTGCGCAGTTGCGAAAGCATCTCTAATCAGCACTCTCTGCTGGCAGGCTTGCTCCTTGATAACAACAATGAGCAGCGTCGCAATGCCATTTTGCAGCATAGCTCCAAGTCGCTCGACATGTCGGCACCGCCTACAGATGATAACCAGTGTTTTGTAGACGTCCGCCTCATTGACTTTGCCCACACGGCATTTGTGCCGCGCAATGGCAGCATGCTTCCCACTCCGGCGGCAGCTCCGGTTCACCATGGACCCGACGGTGGATTCATCACCGGCCTGGACAGCCTCAACCGCCTCCTCAACGAGATCCTGGCTGAGGAACGCATCTAAGGGGATGATGAAGAGAAAAACAGAATGAAGGAATGTGAAAATGGGGGAACTGGGAGGAACAAAAGTTAAAAGTACAATTTGATTTCACAATACCTAAATTGTTGTAGCAACATGCGTTAAATTATGAAACAAAATCAACTAATCTTTAGAAATTCAAAATGTGATTCAAGCAAACCTATTTAACAACCGGATATAGCCCCTAACTTTTAACTTTTAACCGACGCGTAAAATTAAGTGATGGGCGGATAGTGTTCCCCCGATTTAAAGCAGCATTTGTGGAGAACAAGGAGCAGAGAATTTAAAATTAATTTGTGAACAAGTCTCTTCCAAAAAAGTAGATGAAGGTAAATAGTTTATTAGATATGATTGATTGTGCATTCTGCATTTCACATCCAGATTGTTTCGGCTAAAGTGCATATGATTTAACCTTTTATGAGGGTTCTCGCGAGACATACTTATAATGTAATGTACTTTAAAGCGAGAACACTCGGATCATGCGTTTTTATACTTAGCCATTACAATACAATGCAAAATGACAAAGCGACAGAGCGTAATGATCAGTATTTCGTTGTATGTATCTATGCTTAAAGTCCTAGCCCGTTTCCTTTTCCAATTGTAGGGACAAAGTTTTGAAGAGCGAGAGTTTACTATATATACTATATAAAATACACGCAAAAACACATTTTTAAGTTAACGATTAAAGAGAGAAACGCTATTAATATATAGATCCTACAAATATTACTATTACTTATTGTGTAACTAGAGAATTAAATGGAAAAACAATTTATGTATATTTTCACTTAAGCACGTTTAATAATTACAAATGTTCTACGAATTGCAAAAATACCTTTAATGAATAAATAAATATGAAAATTATGAATTTCACTGTCTTCTTTAAAAGTTTGATTGGCGCCTAAAGTGGCAGGTTTTTTTTTTGGCATTTTTAGTCCCATTTGGTAATGTATCGATAAAACATATGTTTTAAGTATATCGTTTATTGCTCATCTCTAAGACAACTGTGCGTATTATTTTTGCCATTTTATATTTCTGTTCGTTTTGGCTTAAAAAGAAATATTTAGGTGTAATAAATCATTTGTATTTGCACTTAAATTGGATATACCTTAAGCCCATCAAGTATTTTCTATAGAGCAATACACACAGCTTGTCAAACGTAAACATTCTTATGTAATTGTTCAGGGCTAGGTTAAACATATGAGATTTAGCCTGGAGGATACTGATTTTTTCTGATTTCCAGTGCAGCAATGGGCGGACATCACGGAGAACCCTACACAGTGCCCCATGCATCGGCCTACAAGGTGGAGAATGTGCCCCAGCTCTTGGAAGTAAAAGAGGCACTGGCCCGCCAAGGACTAAAGGATCCGTGGCTGAGGTAAGCTTTTAAATTGTGAATAAACTTCTTAATTCTCTCTGATTGTATTTTTTTTAGGAACGAAGCCTGGCGTTACGAACCCAAGGCCTTCGGCACCCACAGATCTCGTCTGAACACCTTCCTATTCCGTGGACTCGGCGTGGGATTCTGCGCCTTCTTGGCCACCGTTGCCGTGGAATACGCTTTGGGCATTGGCAAGGGTCAGGGTGACCATGGACATGGTCACGGCCACGAGGAACACGGAGATAAGGGCCATCATTAGTTATATTAAATAAACCCATTGTGCTATCGCTCCAAATCTGTTTATTCGCAATACATATACGTGTGGGGGTTTTCACTAAAACTAAAATAATCCTCTGATCAGTTGATGCGCGGCTTTAGTTCGTCGTAGCACGAACGCAGGAAGATTTGGGGCTTCTTGGCTGGGTTGAAATACTCGTGGCCCTTGGACCAGTCGTAGCCCACAGCGTAGGCGAAAATCTGACCGTTGGCATTAAATCCGCACTTGGTAATGGACTGATCCATTGCATCACTGGACTTAAGCTTGGTGCGGGCATCTTTGTCCCAGAAACTGAAGGTGCCATCGGAACCAACGGTCACCAGGGTGCCGTGCACCGGGTGGAATGCAATGTCATTTACGGCATAAATGTCCTGGAAGCCCGAGGTGCCCGTGGATCGGTGGCACTTGAAAGTGAAATTATCTTTTGGATTAGCAGGATTAACATACTGTATGGCCACGCGGCCCTCAATACTGCCCAGGGCATAGCCGGTAGGCTCCTTCTTCTTGTCTTTAAAAATAGATATGGCACGGTGCTGGTACTTTAGAGGACTCTCCTGACGTTTGTACTCCGTAGGGCTGTTCTGCAGCGAGTATATGATGAGTCCTCGGTTGGCAGTGCCCACCACAGCCATTGGGTAGTCCACATCGGCGCAGTAGCAACGCTCAGGCAGATTGATGGCCATCATGGGGTTAGGTGAACGCGTGTCCCAGAACTAAAAAAGAAAATTAATTAAAAGTACTTTGTTCTATCAGGTTCGTTTACCTTAAGGGTCTTGTCCCAGGAGCCAGTCATTAGGCAAGTGTATGTTGCACCCTTGACCATGTGGCACGTTTTAACAGGACCATCGTGGGCCGCAACCTGCATCACTTGATCGGACGCCAAATCCCATAGCTTAACCTGCTTGTCGCAGGAGGCCACAAACACCTTGCTGCCATCGTCCGACCAGCAAACATCCAGCACTGGTCCACCCATGGTCTTCATCGATTTTGGCACAGTGGCACCGTTTTGCTCAACTTCCCAACAGCGCACGGTGCTGTCCCAGCTTCCGGCCACCAGGAAGTTCTTCTGCACCGTGCTAGGACTAAATTCCAGCGCCGAGACGGAGTCGTCTGGTGGCGAGGCCACCTCGAAATCGTTCATCCGGTTGGTCGATTGTGTGGCGCCAAACATTATCTTTTGCTTCAAATGCCGCAAAATGTTTGTGTTTATCTTATTTCGCCGACGAAGAGCACAGAAAGGTGTGGCCAAACCATCGAAAGAGACCGCGTTGCGTGAAGTGATTGTACTGGTATCGACCTATCGATATTTATAAAGCTGTCTTATCGGTGAAAATGGCGGGCAATAGGCCTGATTTCAAATATTAAAAATACTAGATCGCGTGTTTTACATATAATATATATATATATACATATTATATCTGTAGATGAAAATATTTGAACTTACTATACTATCGAAATACAGAATACAATGAAGCTTATAAATAAGAAAATAAAATATTTTAAGACAGTGGCATTTACAACTTTTCAAATGTTACATTTATTTGGTGAGTAAAATAAGCACAATAATATAAAAATAATAAATAATTGAATTGAATACTTTTGTTTTTTTTTTCACTAATTTCAATGCAGTCAATACCAAATTTATTTGCTAACAATTCTTAAGAGTAACGTTTATAAAAAAATATTTCAGTCTTTAAAGTACATACTTCTCCTACGAGTATGCTATGAATTCGACTATTTAATTTCTAATTCAAAAGCTCATAAATTTATGGACGAGCATGTAATCACTTCTCTTGTTGAAAGAATAATATGTATTTAATCCTTTAATTACAAATATTAAAATTTTATAATGGTAAATCACCATAAAAAAGTAATAGTTATAAAAATGTAAGTTGAGTTCATCTTTATCATCTTTAAATGCTTATCAGGAAGTAATACCTTCATTACAACATTTATTTTCTCGAGATAAAAACAGGTTGATTGCACCCTAAGTCGCGTCTCTCCCAATTCTTACCTGTCATTCCGGTATCCAGTGACTGTGAGTGCAAAGGTGGCACTCGCATTTCGGTAATGAATTGTCGCTTTATATGCGCCACTGTCAACTCAAAAAAAAAACCCCCGAGAATTGATATTCGGCACTCGAAAGTCAGTAACCAAGGGCACCTATAGAAAAGTGAAATGTATTTAATTAATCAGTACCTATATCGGTTAGTGCCAAGCAAATATATATAAACATATGCGTTGGGTGCTTTTTCCGGTGACAATGAAAATAGGTCAATGCTCAAGTTTCCAATGCATCAGCATCTCGATGATTAAAAAGCACTTCTTAGAAATTGTGAATGGCACGGCTTGACCGCGTACTCCTTATGTTGAAGAAAACATTTTTTGGAATTTACTCATTATCTGGGTAGTTCACCAAGCTATAATGAAAATGTGAAGTACGCTTAGCTAAAGGGGGTTTTCTGTCCTTAAAGCAAGAATTAGAGAGAAAAACACCGCAAAGATTTCTGTTTATAGTTAGTTTAAGCATAGATTTTTATTTGGGTTTAATCAGATTATTCATTCTTGGAATGAAGTTCAAGCTTTTGTTCATTGTGCCTTATATTACGACTATACATACATATGTATATTTTTTGTGATTATTAATGGTTGTTCTAGACTAGCGACGTGGCGTTTAATACTTTACGAATGTTGTTGATTGTATTATAATGTAAATATTTGTAGCAGTCGGAAGTCACAGATATGACTAAATGACGTACATATGCAGTCAATAGGAACCGTTCAGTTCGGTGGCAAGAGTTACAGTGCATTAATCTTTGGGCTAAGATGACTTAGAGAGCTCCTTTCATTTTTCAATTTAAATACTAACGTTGATTGCATTCTTGATCACAATATTTCCAGCTCCGTGTTTGATCGTGAAATTGCTATCGATCTCAACGGAACCGGATGTACTTTGATCCGAATCCGTTGTCTTGGGAGTTTTCGTTCGAGAGCTGGCCTTTTTCTTCTGGGCATCACCGCTGAGATCCAGGGATTTGACTACCTTAAGTAATCCATTGCACCCAGTGTAGTCCACGAATTGCTGTGTGGAATTGCTACCCAGGTAGATACGTCCATCATTACCAGTGTACTTAAGGGATCCACTATTGCTTTGGATCTTAAGTCTCGTGTTATTGCCAATGACTTGCAGGCTTCCGGAGTTATTAATTATCCGTATTTTATTGCCATTTCCAATGATCCTGAGATCCCGCGAATTATTCTCAATGCGGTACTCTTTGCAGTTGCCCACTAGATCCTTGCTGGCATAGATGGTTGTTTCCGGCGGCGAGGGAATCCTCTTGGTCTTATTGGGGGGTTTACTCTGCTCTTTCTTACAACTAGAGCACTCGTCATCGTCGTACGAATCGCTCGCCGAATCAGTTTCTATAACACGAACGCCCATTTTGGTGTGAATTACCTCGGGTTTCGTTTCTTTCCGCTGCTAATCACTTGCTAAAATCACCGAATCGCTGAGTTCAGTGGTCAGTTAGCTCATTCTCTAGCGCTTTTTCGGTGTGGCCTATCTTCTCTTTCTCTGTCGCTGGGGGAACACTCCGATTGATGAGCAATACCTCGGATGTCGATGTCACCGCTGCTGCTGTCTAAGGTCAAAAATATCCAATTGTTGTTGTTGCTGCCAGCGATCGAAACGATAATAATACTGGGCACTGGGGGATCGTCTGTTTCCGTCAGGGGAACTCCCTCTGTTTTTGTTTTGTTTTGAGTTTGTGATTTTGGGTTTAGCGTTCGCTGTGTTGACTGCACGCTGGCACTTTGGCTATTGAACGATAATGCCGCTCGGTAGCCGCTTTTATACCAGCCGGAGAGTCTAGCGGCGGGGCTTTTTTATTTTGCCCGAGGGCCGGCTCGAAAATCACCTCGTTGGCATGAGAGTTCCGAATTTTTTAGCCAGCTGGGGAGACCTTTGCTATGATTAATACACACCTGTTGAGCCCATCGTAATGGGCTCGTCTATCTGTTCCAGCTAGTAGTGCTTATTCATAGGTCCTTTGGTTTTATATCTGGAACCAATTACAGTTAGAAATATTTACAATAATACTAAAATAATTAACTCGATTTGTTTTTATAGAAAATGGCGTACAATTTCAGTCAGAAGCAATACTAACTTAATTAATGTTTTTTTCATATGCGCATATTATTTTCATTATTGGATTTAGATTCAAAAACTTATATTTTAAAAATATTTTTCAGTGTAGCTTTTATTAACCGGCATAAATCAGAACTCATTTTTAATTAACAAAAATGATTAAATTATATTTAATTATTTCATTTTAGACTCTATAAATTGTATCTTTTTCACGTGTAGATTACTATCAGCTCACGAATTGAAGCCGAATTTTGATGGGGATTTTTGCCAACTCCCTTATCATTGCTAAGACTCTTGATACAGCCGATTTCGAATGGGGGTCGTAAATGTGGTGCCAAAACGCCACACATAACGCCCTCAAAACAAAGGGGTAATAGCCTCCGATAAGACGATAAAGTTTTCCGCACCAGAAAACTCCCCATCTACATACAGTTGGTAAATATTCAAATGGTTGTCAAGCGTGATCTTTCTAGCTGGGGGCATTCGTTTCCTCGTCCAAGTCCCGAGAGCCTGTTTGTTTACAAACAAAAAACTCACACCCTCAATTTGCTCAACTGATTTTATTAGCATTCGATTTAGTGCTATATAATAGTGTACATATGTGAACGCTCCCGAAAGCTTCCGATTTTGACTCGACATTTCTCGATCTTGGCATTACCTGCATTCGTTTCAAGTTCAGCTTTCGGTTTTAATTTCGATTTCAGTCGGTTGGAGGGCTTGGTGGCGAGCAGAACCTGGAAACACAAAACATATGTATCTAGATCGCCATTTGGATAAACACGCTTTAATGTAAACAGTTGGGCGAATGTTTGTTCGTCCAGGGAAAGCACCGAAGGTATACATACATATAAGTTTGTAGCTACAGATATAGCCACAAATGAAAGGGGTGCACTGCCGGCCGTTGCGTAAACTGATTTTTTTTTATATTATATTTTCAAGGTGCATTTTTGTTGACAAATCAATTATCTCTTTTCGGATGTTATAAAATGATTTATTTGCTAGATTGTGTACATTAGTGCATTAAACGGGGACTTTTTCGCAGTTATCTGGCGTACTCAACGCCAGCAAAAGTCCAAACTTAAAAAATAGTTTTATTAATAATAATATGAAGCCTTATTAAGTACAGATGGACAGGTGTTATAACAATCAAATCGTGTTTAGTGCCAGATACGCCTCGAGGTCGTTACAGCACAGGCAAATGGAGAAATTGTGCGAGCGAAGAAAAACCCCCCTAGCAATAACCCATTAGAACCGTTGGCACCTGCAGCTACTATCTAGCATGCTTCTAATACCGGTACTAAACCTCTGCCGTCGAAAAAATCACCGATGCCAAGCTGTTTTATCTGTTATTTAGATCAGAGAAAGAGGCGTTTTGTTTGTTTGTTTTCAAGTAAATGAACTTTATCTTACTTTTTCTGACACTTGATAACGTGTGAACAAAGTTGGGGGGTTTGTGGTAAGATAAACTAATAGATGACCTCTACTAGACTGTCAGATAACACCGTGCGTAAATTGCTTATAATCTAACAAAGAATGTAGAATTATTGCGAAATCTATGAAATGTTAACGAAAATAATCTATTAAGAGGATAGTACGTAACACTACTTAAATATATAGCTATGGTCAATTGAGATTAAAATTTAAATTCGAATTCAAATTCTTCGTGTTATTGTGTTGAGATCATCTTGAAATTTTTTTAGGTCCCCATCTAATTGCCAATCACCTAAAAGTTCTTAAACTTCCGTCGCATATATAAAAGTTTACTATGAGCTTTTATTGTGAAAATGCTAAGAAAATAAATATACAATCCGATTGATTCACAAGCCAGCTAGACATCATGGAGTCGGCAACAAATATTTTATCCATTGGAGTGGAGAATAAAGAATCTTTGGACCACGCATCAAAGCTTAAGCTCCACAGAAGGAATTTTCACACCAGGTTTACAAAACGTATGCAAAAACTATTACTTAATGGTTCTAAACCTTTGAAAGATACACCCGATCCGGATTCAGTTGAAAGATTTTGTGCAACGAGCACTCGGAGAAATGGCATTCAATACTATGAGTTTCGACCAGATGATTATACAAAAGGAATTGCTTTATCTGGACCGGCATTCGATCCCAAAGGACTTATTTTAATAGTGAAGGAAAAGATCGGAAAAGAGCACTGGATAAATGAAAGTGTTATTAAGTATCATAACAATTCCTTAGCTGAAATACAAGAACTTGTTTGGGACGCCCTAATGGAGGAGGACCGAAGAATATATAATTATTTGCGCTATTTGCAAGAAAATCGTTAGTAATAAGGAGTATTAAATGCCTAATAATTAGTTTTTATTGTACTTTTCTGTTGTGTAACTGTTAAACTGATAAAATTTGTAAATAAATAATTATAGTTGGTGATCTTCTACATCTGATATTAAATTTATAGTTAGATTTTTATGTCCTAGCAATTATTAAGAGGTCCACCCTAATTTGAAAAAATTCACAAAAGCTTATAAACAATAAACACCCATCCCTAATTCTGTGCTTTGATAGCTTTCGTTAAAATAATTGCATAGTAAATAAATACTTGACATTCTATGCCAAAAGTCGATCAGGTGAGGAGATCTCTTTGTAATATTGAAACATTTCGTAAAATAAAATAAATTTTAGAGTCCACCATGACGTCGAAATCGATAGTTTTGGCCATAGGAACAGAGAGCAAAGACGAAATTAAAGACATACCGACGATACGACACGATCGCAAGGCCTGTTTTCAGTCCGATTTCGAGGAACATATGCAGAAAATTCTACTAAATGGAGCTAAATCACAGGAAAGTTTTCCCAATGATAAAGTTATGCAAAGATTTGCAGCGAATGGATTGAAAAAAAATGAATATCATTATTATGAGTTTGCTCGAGGGATTAATAGGGGTTGCTGGATAATTGATGGACCCACATTTGAGCCCAAGGGTATCCTAAGGCGTGTTAAAGAACGGATAAGCACAGATCATTGGATTACAGATAATGTAGCCAAGTTTAAAAAGGATTCCAGAGACTTTGTACAAAAAACCGTTAGTAATGCCTTAGATGAGGAACAAGTTGACATTTACCAGTATCTGTGTTATTTAAATGAAAATTGTAATAAAAAGTGATTAATTTTATATTTATATTCACAATTCTTAAGTCTACATATTTCGGCTTTATACATATGCATACATATGTTATTAACCATTCACAACTGTTTATAAACAAGAAGTTACCATCACTAATGATGGGCTTTTAGTGTGAGCTTTCCGGTAAAATGATTTCATTTGTAAATAAACAACAATAGCTTCTTATAACAAGTCAAAAAATCGGGTAAGCAGGAGTAATTTCACTATAAATTGTTTTACATATTATAATAATTTTACAGAACCGAAAATGACGTCAAAATCGAACATTTTAAGTATCGGAAGTGATTTTAAAGAGTTATCTGACAAACCGCCAAAGACAAATAACCCAAAAGCCTATTTTGAGTTCAATTTCGAGAAACACATGCAGAGGTTACTTCTCGAAGGGAATAAACCCCAAAATCTGGATGCATCATCAATGGAGAGATTCGCGGCTACTGAGATAATGAGAAATGGAAAACAGTATTACGAGTTCGGACCTGATAATTTTAAGAGCGGAACAATAATAAGTGGTATTTCTTTCAATCCCAAAGGTATGCTTTTACGTGTAAAGAATAGAATCGATAAAGAACACTGGATTAAAGAAAACGTAATTCAGTATCGAAAAAATTCCATGGTGCATATACAGCAAATTGTTTCTGATGCCTTGAAAGAGGAAGAAATGGAAATCTATCAATATTTGTGTTATCTCAACAAAAGTTTAAATAAAAAGTGATATTTCTTGGTATAATAAAATTTATTAAAAAACTTCTGTGATAGTCTATTTGTACTTGGTGGGTTCAAAATATCTAACGTTTGCTTTAATCGGTATGTATTACTTATTAATTTAGTAAAAATCGGTGTAAGAGAGACCATCGCTATTCAAGAGGTTTTTCATATAAAGTTTTTATTGTGAAATCGTTTTGTTTATTTCAAATTATAGCAATCTATACTTAAGCGATTGAGTCAGGCTGTGTAGGCAGAGTCAGATATTCATAGCGACAGAAACTAGCCATGACAGATCAAAGAAGTAAATCAAGAGATGTTAGAAATGATTCATCCGAATTATATTCAGTACATATTGAAAGAGCTAAGCCAAGTCGAGGAAATCCCCGAATCAGAGATGAAATAAACGCGACTACCTTTCCCGCAGTTTTGTGCAAAACGATGTTAAAAAGCAATATTCCACCAGATACTGCCAAAGGTGAAATTTGGATTTATACACAACTTCTCTGTTTTCTCTATCTTGAAAAGCTCGACACTCATAAAAGAGTATACCATATGTTTTTGTCGACCGAAAGGGATGTGGAGGACGACTTCAAAAAATTCGAAAAATGTACAAATATTGCAGGGATTTGAGGAACGTAAATCAATTAACCGAAAACGCACTTTGTGCTCGAATCCTATACGAAAGGGTTGAGAAAATGTTTTCCAATGCCAAGTGGAATAAGGAGGGAATTGTTTTTGAACTTGAGATAATTGCAGATTTGGTCGATTTCCAAAAGGTTAAATGCAATCAAATCCGAGAATGATGAAAAACTATTCAATTACATAAAATACTTGAGCTTTATGAAGAGTTTGTAAGAAACTATCAGCAATTAAGTATGATTAAAAAAAGTAATGAACCAAAGAGAAAAGATTAAACAAAGTTTACCCTAATTTTAAAGCTTTTGTTTAACCATTCACATGTAAAAAAAAATAAAGGTGATTAGTCCTAAACTTTTTATTTTATCTTTGTGTGAAATAATTGATATATTAACCACATAAAAAACGTATGCAAAAACTATTACTTAATGGATCTAAAACTTTGAAAGATACACCCGATCCGGATTCAGTTGAAAGATTTTGTGCAACGAGCACTCGGAGAAATGGCATTCAATACTATGAGTTTCGACCAGATGATTATACAAAAGTAATTGCTTTATCTGGACCGGCATTCGATCCCAAAGGACTTATTTTAATCGTGAAGGAAAAGATCGGAAAAGAGCACTGGATAAATGAAAGTGTTATCAAGTATCATAACAATTCCTTAGCTGAAATACAAGAACTTGTTTGGGACGCCCTAATGGAGGAGGACCGAAGAATATATAATTATTTGCGCTATTTGCAAGAAAATCGTTAGTAATAAGGAGTATTAAATGCCTAATAATTAATTTTTATTGTAGTTTTCTGTTATGTAACTGTTAAATTGATAAAATTTGTAAATAAATAAATATAGTTGGAGATCTTCTACATCTGATATTAAATTTTTAGTTACATTTTCATGTCCTAGCAATTATTAAGAGGTCCACCCTAATTTGAAAACATATGTTATTTAACCATTCACAAAAGCTTATAAACAAAAAACACCCATCCCTAATTCTGTGCTTTTTATGATAGCTTTCGGTAAAATAATTGCATGGTAAATAAATATAAAGAGTGCTTAACATTCGATGCCAAAAATCGATCAGGTGAGGAGAACTCTTTGTAATATCGAAACATTTCGTAAAATAAAATAAATTTTAGAGTCCACCATGACGTCGAAATCGATAGTTTTGGCCATAGGAACAGAGAGCAAAGACGAAATTAAAGACATACCGACGATACGACACGATCGCAAAGCCTCTTTTCAATCCGATTTCGAGGAACATATGCAGAAAATTCTACTAAATGGAGGTAAACCACTGGAAAGTTTTCCCAATGATAAAGTTATCCAAAGATTTGCAGCGAATGGGTTGAAAAAAAATGAATATCATTATTATGAGTTTGCTCGAGGGATTAATAGGGGTTGCTGGATAATTGATGGACCCACATTTGAGCCCAAGGGTATCCTAAGACGTGTTAAAGAACGGATAAGCAAAGATCATTGGATTACTGATAATGTAGCCAAGTTTAAAAAGGATTCCAGAGACTTTGTACAAAAAACCGTTAGTAATGCCTTACATGAGGAACAAGTTGACATTTTTCAGTATCTGTGTTATTTAAATGAAAATTGTAATAAAAAGTGATTAATTTTATATTTATATTCACAATTCTTAAATCTATATATTTTAGCTTTAAAACATATGTTATTTACCATTCACAACTGTTTATAAACAAGAAGTTACCATTACTAGTAATATTACATATCGATTGCGTACAAATCGATGTAAAAAAGACCATCACTATTTTCAAGCTTTTTCGTTTAAAGTCTTTGAGGTGAAATGGTTGAGTATTTCAATATAGGCACTTGGAACTGTTTAGCTTAGGTCAGTTACTCCACAGATATTCAAAGCGATAGAACCTAGTGATGACAGATCACACAACTAAATCAAAAGTTATTAATTCTGATGCATCCGAAGTACCTTCTGTACATATTGAAAGACCCAGGGCATGTCGAGGAATTCCCCGAATCAGAGAAGAAATCAATGCGACTACTTTTCCTGCAGTATTGTGCAGAACAATGTTAAAAAGCAATATACCTCCAGCTACCCCCAAAGGAGATATTTGGATTTATACACAACTTCTCTGTTTTCTCTATCTTGAAAGGCTCGACACTCGTAAAAGAGTTTACCATATGTTCTTGTCGACCGAAAAGGATGTGGAGGGCGACTTCAAAAAAATTCGAAAAAATTACGAATATCGCTGGGATTTGAGGATCGTAAATCAATTAACCGAAAACGCACTTGGTGCTCGTACCCTCTACGAAAGGGTTCAGAAAATGTTTTCAAAAGCCAAGTGGAATAAGGAGGGTAATGTTTTTGAACTTGACATGATTGCAGAAACAGATATTTGGTCGATTTCCAAAAGGTTAAATGCAATCAGATCCGAGGATGATGAAAAACTATTTAACTACATAAAGTTTTTGAGCGTTATGAAAAGTTTTTAATAATATATCAGGAACATGAGAATGATATTAAAGAATAAAGAAAAAAAGCAAATGATCAAAACATAAACTATTTTTACCCTATATTTAAAATTGATTTTATTTTATAACCATTCACATGTCAACAAATAAAAGTGACTGAGCTTTTAATTTTATCTCTTTGTGAAATTATTGGTATATAAGCCACCATCTAGCATTTTGATTTCAGAGCTTCCACAGACTGTCTGAGAAGAAAGAACAAAACATTTTTGAAACATTTGCTAAGCCATGGAAACGGAGGCTCAGAAAATTAATAGATCCCCCAGTGGAAGTTCCAAACTTTCCCAGGCACCTGTGCTAAATATTTCAGGAAAGGTGGAACCAATCCGAAATTCTTTCCACATTAAGGGTAAAAAGAAATCGGATCTTGAACCTCCTACAATTCCTTCTGCTCTTGAACCGCTGAAAATCAATACAACTTCATTTCCTGTGATAATCTCAAGAATACTATTAAAGAGTGATATACAACCTGGACCTAATCCCAAAGTTAATCCTGCGGACTTTGAGCAGAATCTTTGTATGTTGTGCATGGTGAAACCTATTTTAAAAAAGAGAGTATATCACTTATTTATTTCAAACAAAAATGATTTGGAACGTGACTATGAAAAAGTTCGTCAAATTTACGAGAATAGAAAAGATATTAAAATTTTGGGCCCAATAACATTGTATCCCCTTTGTGCACGATCAATGTTCCACAGAGTTCAAAATAAACTAACTTATGTGAAGTGGAACAAGCAACGAAATATATTCGAAACTGAAAGAGTTGGAGAATGGGAACATTGGAACATTTCGCAGAGATTGTATCAGATGGAACACGAGGAAAGGGAGAAGCTTTTAAATTATGCAAAGTTTTTAAGTGCCACAAATAGTTGAATATTTTGATTTTTCATAATATATCGAAAAATAAATAAGCTTTTTAATAAAATTAATTTCACATTAAATTGAAAGCTGTTTAACTTTTTTATGAAAGTCCATCCCAACATATGATTACCATTCGCATGGAAATATTACCTGTAAAGATAAACAAACCCACCACTAATTCCGTGCTTTGCTTGTAAACTTTTGTGTTGTGAAATACCTATGTATTTCGATTTGGCACAAAAGAATCCGTCTACTTAATCGTTATTTTTCGACAATCACACTTCAGTACTAGCACAGTGTTCCAAGGTAAAGTTCTTCAAAATGGAAATGGAAATTATTTGTTCACCTCCACCTGCAAAAGTTGAGTCACCAGATAGGCCAGTGCTAAATATATCTGGAAGGGTAAAACCTCCCATGAATACTCCCCGGATAAGAGGAAAAAAGAAACCCCCCACTGTTACAGAGGCACCTAAAGTGAATCCAAACACATTTCCAGTGATTCTAAGCAGAATCCTTCTGAAAACTGATGTTCCACCTGTAGCTCCGCCGAAAATAAATCCAGCCGACTATGTGCAGTACCTTTGTTTTCTCTGCCTTGAGAAACCAGCCAGTCGAAGGCGTGTCTATCATATGTTCATAACAACGGAAAAGGATATTGGCAAGGACTATGAAAAAACCAGGAAGCTGTATGAAAATCGAAAGGAGTACAAAAATGTTAACAATATATCTGTGCAAACAATATGTGCGCGGGCATTGTACCGCAGAGTTCAGACAAAGTTCGCGGATATGCAGTGGAACAAGGCCGGCAATGTTTTTGAGACTGAGATGATAGGTCTTAAGGATTCCTGGAGCATTTCTGATCAAGTTTATGCTATGCGCCTCGAGGAACACGAGCGACTTTTCAATTACATAAAGTTTATGAAGTCAACGAACAGCTAAATACTACCTTTCGATTTTAATTTTTAACTAGTGTAAATTGTGATATCTTATTTTAATTTTCTGTATTAAATCGCTTCACTGTGCGTACTTAAAGTACGGCTGATTGTTTGATTACAGTAACTTTCTGTAGCTTATCTTAAATTGGGTAAACCCGTAGTGACTTAACAGCTGTTCCAGTATGTATCCGTTGGTAGCGAAAAACACGGCTCCCTGTAGTCCGATCCAGTGGAAGGTGTTCCATGTCCGGAACTCCAACAAATAGGCGGGTAGTAACCACAACGCCTGGGCAATCAACCAAAGGAACAAAAGACCAAAGCACCTTCTCCATGACAGCATTTTGAAGTTGTTCAAACAAAGCGGAAGGATGGCCAAGTACCAGATGAAATACTGAGAGGTTACCACCGAGTTGTACGTGACGATGACGAAGGCTATGGCAAAGATGCAAAACGGCAGGGTCTGCCGAAACTGTCCAAAGCTTAGACTTAAGTACAGGATGAGCAGGAATTGGGGAGTCATTACTAGGAGCTTTACGATCGCCGAGGGTTCCACCACATTTGTCGCACTGCCAAGATACTGTAGAAGGAACTGAAGCGAGAAGTTGTGTCTCGGGTCCTTGCGTACGAAATGATACAGATAGGCCTCGTATATATACTCCCAGCCATACATTGTGTAGAAGGTCCAAGTGAAAGCCACCAGGCTGATAAGCGTTCCGATTATCAAACACAACTGTTGCCTATTGGGCCGAACGATTTGGCACAGGAAATCCAGAGGAGTTTGTGTAAGGCGCGTTGACAATGACAAGTAGTAAGCCAAACTAAAAAGCAACGGATAGAGACGAAGGTGGATTACAAGTCCGTGAGCTAGGCCTGCGAAAAATATAAGCCAGAGGCTCCTATTGGCGTTATGCTCTGATTTTAACAACAAATAGATAGTGAGTATCACGAAGAAGCTTGAGAAGCAGTCACCACTTCCACGGGTGGAGATTACAGCTGTCAGCGGATTGTAGAGCCAAAAGCAAGCAGAAGCTCGTGCTAAGTTCTCCGGATGACTTCGTGCATCCAGAGCATCTAATGATTGGTCTGACTCCTGGGGTCTGTTGAACTTGCTAAGCAGGTGTTGCACGGTCTTCTGATACTGACTCTTGATTTCCATGTGCACCAGGCGGTAAATGAGTGTAGCGATGAGCAGATCACAGGTGGCATACAATAGCTTACCCCATGCCGGATGAAGCAGGATGTTGAGGGTCTGCAAATATGCCATAATCGGGCTATATCTGTATGTGTGCCTGGCGAAAGGCGAATCTCCCAAGAGCACTTGTCGGGCTCCATCAGTGACCACTTTGTAATCTATATCGGTATAGGGCACGGCGGACTGGCTGTCGTGTATTTGTCCGTAGCAGATTAAAGCAATCCGCAGAAGGGCGGAGATTAGGATATGAGTCCGAAAACTAGTCTCAAGAATGCGTCGACCCAGTCGCTGCCATCCTGTAGTCGCAACTTTTGTTTGCGTCATTTTGTTTATTTTTTTCAATTGTCTACAGCTTGGTCTTCATTTCCAAAGCGCTCTTGCGGATGCAGTTGAGGAACTCTTTAAACTCGGCGTCACAGATTTTGTGCTGCACGTTAAGATCTCGTGACACGCAAACCGCATACGCCGTGGCCTTGTCCGCGCACTTGGTTAGCAAAATCGGATAGTTACGGAGTCGTTGATTGGCCTTGCGCACTGATTCCATGCCTCACCTTAACGCTTGTGCGGGGGCACCTTGTTCTCCAACGGAGGCAGAGGAGTTGTAAAGAAGCAGTCGTACAATGGCTTGGAAAAGAATATCAGCAGGGAGCCGGTAATGAAAGAGATCTGGAAAAGGCGTGGGTTCCGCTTTATCCACGACCGTTTGGGCAACACTGCTGTTCGCCTGCGTTGGTTTGCCTGTTGCTGTTCCTTTTTGTCTAGTAAGTCTTGGATTTCCTTAGGTGGTTTATACTGCGGTATGTTCATTATTTGTTCCTGCAAAAGATGTGCATGTAAGGTATCTCCAGAAGAGTGACATCTACCCGAACTTACGACTTGCCGGTTGGGTTCTTTCCCTTAGATGATTCCGGCTTATATGACTTTTCGAGATCGATACCACTGCAACAAAGCGATTCTTTATGCCACTTCAGACAGCATTGGCGCATAGCCTCCAAAACATCCAAGCACTTGTCCTCCTGGTAGTTATTCTCTATAATGAGGGCCACCCAACTTACATAACCATCGTCAATGGAGTAATAGCTGAAGCTTACCGTTCAGACAGGCTTGTATGCGGCAGGCGTTGGCTTTGCAAGGGTCCTTGCGAGTGTTAGACATGTAATCCTGTCCTGAATTCCTATAATTTTAAATCCTAATTGAAATTTGTGAAAATTACAGGCTGCTAAGTGCACTGCGTCCTCTTCTACTTGTGGGTTTTAGCCATTCACAGTGAATTGAAGGTTGCCAGATTGCGCGACAGACAGCTGAGCATTATATGGAAATTCAAAAGAAAAAGGCAAAATAAAAAACCATTAAATAAATAACAACAAATAATATTAACATAATGTTTCATTCAGAGAAATTTCGTTATGTTATGAATTATGTTTCCTTAAATGTTACAGAGTTCTCGGTGAATGTCACGCCTGCTGCGAGAGCAATTGCCATTCACACATCAAAGCCGACATTTGGGCACCAAGGAACTGTTCTTGTGTAAAAAACACACACACATTTGATTTATTTCGCTAGGACTCTCGACGATTACTTCACAAATAGAAAAATGCCATCGAAAAAGAAAAAATACAACGCACGCTTTCCAGCGGTAAGTGGAAATCCCAGTTAACGGCAGGAAAATCCCCGCTATTTGGCGGCCATGAACGCCGAAGATGGGTTATCAGTTTTCGTGCATGTGTACATACCTACATACATACAGGCCTCGCATAATCAGAGGCTCGAAAAAATAAAACCAATCCGGTACGAGATTATAATGTTTTCATACACTCCATACAGGGCCGCATCAAGAAGATAATGCAGAGCGACGAGGAAATCGGGAAAGTGGCCCAGGCGGTGCCCGTTATCATCTCGCGCACGCTTGAGCTCTTTGTGGAATCGCTGCTAACCAAGACGCTGCGCATCACAAATGCGCGTAACGCCAAGACACTATCGCCATCGCACATGAGGCAGTGCATCGTGTCGGAGAAGCGTTTTGATTTTCTCAAAGAGCTGGTCCGGAATATACCTGATATCAGTGTGGCCGAGGAGGCAGCTTACAACGAGGACGACGTGCTGCGCAGCTCTCCTGAGGACCAGTATCCCGATTCGGACACGCCATATGATCTTAGCCTGCCATCGACATCTATGCGCTCGCAGGCGAATGGAACCGCCGCCTATATGCGCTCCATGAGTCTGAATAATGGAGCTGGAGCAGTAGGAGGTGCCGCCACCAAGCGACAGTTCCAGCCGCAGCACACCGCCCATCCAAATCCCACCACCCTGCCCGCCAAGTTGGCCCGGTCCGAATCCACGCCAGCATACCCGACCCGCGGCAGGCCGCCCAACCACCTCAAGAAACAGTCGGTGCAGCTCGATACTGCCATACCTGCCCCGATCTGCAACTATGAACTTAACAAGCCCATTGTCAAGATCGATTACAGCCACGTACAGATGCCAACGGCGAACCTGTGCACACCGGAGGCTTCCGATTCTGGCTCGGGGTCTGGTGCTGGATCTGGGGCTTTCAACTTCGACATCGCTGCTCCGGTTATCAATATCGATCTAACGAATATCGTAGCCGCCGGAGCGGCGGGCAGCAGAATGCCCCCCACCACCTCGATTGGATTCGCAGCGGCCACGCCGGCGGATAACAACAACGTGAACCAAATGGCTGGAAAGAGCAGCGCTCCCATCATTCCAAAGGCCACCGCGGCATCAGCGACCACTACTGAAACCGTTTTCGAATTAGACGAAGACTATGACAATATCTGATTAGGATCTATGTGAATGCGCTTTTAAATTATTGATACATTAATATGTACTTTAGATCTAAGTAATCACAATAACTTTTTTTGCAAAATAAAGACCATGCTGGATTTTAAGCTGACATAATTTAGCTTTTCTTTTCATCGTAGTAGGTAGAATCTGATAAATCTGAAATTGGTGAATACTACCTTTTTTGGTACTAAAACTTCTCAAAAATTACCGAAAATGTTTGCGTTTATGGAAAGTATTGAAAAGCCGCTTCTTGGCGATCGAAAATCCTACATGCCCATTACAGTAGCAAAGTTAATAGACGAAGTCGAGAGCTACATCGCTAAGCCGGAATTTTTCTCGGATGTCCAAGTGGCTCTAAAGCTGCAACGGATTTACTATTTACAATACAACGAACTGGCTGCAAAGTTGGAGTCTGATCTCGCAATGGTGTTATCCCGATTAGAAGCTGCAAAAAACAACTTGGAACTTGTAAAGAAATTTATTGCAAATCCTGATGAGGAACATCAGACTCTAATGCAAATTGCCCAAGGGATATTCAGATGGGTAACCGTGCAGCCAGTGAAAAAAGTTACCCTTCAAGTGGGCACTGTTCTGCAAATGGAATTTGAACTGCAAGAGGCGGAGGAATATATCAAAAAGGACATTACAAGTTTGGTACAGCAGCGCCTGCAACATGAGCATGATATTGACTATCTGCAGGATCAGGTCAACACCATTGAGATGAATCTAGCTGTTCTGTATAAGCATGGGGTGGAAAAACAAAAGAGAGCGTTAGAAGGAGGTTTGGCAGGACTCTCTCCTCGTCCTTAGTAATACGTGGGTGGTTTTCAAATTCGTTGTATATTGCTTAATTTCTATGTTTTTATTGCAAGGGAAGATACTATACTCCTAAACGCAATTTAAACCATATTTTGCGAAGAAAATGGAAGTTTTAAATTCAAAATTATTGTTTATATATTCTTAGAAATATTGAATTTATAAATTATAATATTATCGATAAGAATTAGTTGTTAAAGATTACAAATTTTATCTCTAATTAATAAATAATTGTACCAGTTTTTTTTTTGGTTTGGGGAATCAAACAATTACTGACTGCTTCAACTATAACATATTCAATAAATAAACTATCGTTTTTGAAAAGCATATTAATTGCTAAAAACATAATTCAGATATTGTTCATCAAAAGGGTTTAAAAGCAGAACCACATTTAAATGTTTTAATTTCTGAATAGGTAATTTCCGAATAAGATTATCCTTGTTTATATACCATAATCATTTGGATTTTCCCTTTAATATATTCATTACAATTACACTATTAGTAAGCCGAGCAAAGAGGTCAGAAAGTCGGGATCCTAGCCCGTGTCCTACTAAATGTGACCTTTATTTACCGTATTTGGTATTTATAACCGTATACACATCATAATAATTATTACTTAATTTCGCCAGGGAGTACCGCTTAGTCATTGTGTAATCCTCGGTCACAGCCAATTACAATTGAATGCCTTTCAATCCCCTTCGTCCAGCTGTTCCTCCAGCCCAATTCGTATATTCGCACACGCAATCTGCCAGCCACAATTGATATTAATTTGTGCCCCAAAAGTGGGTCAAACTATGATGTACTTACGCCCCATAAGGATACGAAAATATATGGTAAAGGACAAAACTGACAAAAAGGGGAGCCTGCCCAGAGTCAAATATCGCGTGGGAAAATCTTATTGCAACCGAAATTACTCGCCGCTCCCAGTGAGCAAAGGTGCAGTTTTGAATTATATGAATTTTCTTTCTTCTTTTGGGTTTGGCATAATTGATTAGGGTCAAGCTAGGTATTGCCAAAATATGATTAGCCAAGCCCAAAACTGAGATTGGATTTGGCTACACCTTCGTAGTGACCAGATCAAATGACTTCCTCTGCAAGAACTTCTGTCAGGGGGAAGTGAATTCTCTCTCTTCAATGGAAAATCAGATCTGCACACCTGCATTCGTGGACTCTATGTTGTCCACCTGTCTTGAGTCATGGCAAAAAAGTTAGAAACAATAAAAACAACTTGCGGCGCGCCGCCAGTGCCAAGTTTTCATGTCCAAGGCGTATTTATGTCAACCGGAAGTAGGTTTACTGACCCACGTATACCCGTGCGGGGCTGCCCAAACGTGGACTTCGGCTTTCTTCGGTGGTTTCTTCATACACCCGAGTGGTCAGTTGCCGTGGATTTCCAGAGCGCAGGACGATGTATAAGAAGGTATTTGCCCACGGCGGATTAGTTTTTCTACGAACGGCGAGTGCAGTGCATCGGATCGATGCAAATGCGCGTTAAATTTTTTGGGTATTCAGTTTTTTATTTAAAAATCTCTTTTTTTTGATAATAACTCTACAAGTAACGGTCGGCTTAAATTCAAAATAAAACTAAATGAATGTGTGCTTAATCCGGAAAATATTCGTTATATTCGATATATCGAAATCGCCAAAGTTTAAAAACCCTCTTTGTGAAATGAAAAAGCCTAAAACAATTAACTCATAGATGTCTCTAGGAATTCCCCGAGTTGTGACTCCGTGACTGCACTTTTTGCTCGACTTGGGGCCTGAGTTAGTGGCCCAAGGGGCGGTTTTTGGGGGTAACACGACATTAGCCAAGGATTTCTCCGGCACTGCCACTTAAAAATCCCCCCGATTCGAGAACTCATATGGGTTTGGTGGGCTGTGTTTGCACACATACCTGTCTTTAAGCGTTATTGCTGCCATTGCCGTTGTTGTCTTGATGTTGCAACAGTGCCCGGGTGGCCAAGGAGTAGCTTCGGGCCAAGTGTTGTTGACTCCTAGTCGCTGCACAAGGCAACGCGGAATTTGTTGCGGTTTTGACCCTATTCCAAAGCCAAGGAAAAGTGCAGTGTACTCGGTGAAGGGGCTTTATACTTAGCCGAGTTCATTAAAAGCGCTCTTAGGAGGAACTTAATATAATGTTTTAAGGAAGAGATTCTTTGAAGAGAGTATATTTTTTCGCAGAAAAACTTTTATAAAAAGCTGAAATTTAAAAAAAACCATTCTAAAATATATTGATGTAATTTATTAAAGATGTATTGCAGTTCAGTCCCGTTTTCGTAACTTTCTCCGCTACTTTTCCTAAAATGTTTTATTTATTAGTTAAAAAAGTTTTTTTTTATTCAATTTCAACTTTGATTCAATGTAATAAGTTTAAATTACTTTATACTCATCATTAATCTTTAAACTTACCTTAGTTAGATCTCAAATGTTAATAGATATTTAAAGGAAATTATACAAAACAATATTAAATTATCTCTCTCGGAATTCGAGTCTAAATCTTTGTACTAGTCTTAGTACCTCTTAATTAGCAAAGTTAAACTATACTTATCAAATAATAATGTCAAAATACTTTCTACTTTACAACAGTTCATTAAAAATGAATAAAGCGAAAGTGCGTGATTGTTTCGCATGCGTGAACTTAATAGATCACCGCCATCAAACGTTGGGGCATCCCGAAAAGTATGAAAAATTAGTGAGCTGAGTTGCTTCATGGCAATACGGGTGTACTAGTGTTCAAACATCGCGTGCCACAGACATACCAACAGGTGTCACAGCCTGCCAGGGGAAATAATCAAAAGTTGTCTAAGAGGCAGAAAAAGCTGAAAAAGAAGCACACGCCAGGCAGATGAACAAAACATGCAAACAACTAATGCAGCCGCCTCGCAAAGCGGCGAAAAGTGTAAAACTCGCGGAAAAACTCACGGCGAATTGGAGCCCCCGGTGGCTTTTCTTTTCGGCCTTTTCAGTTCGCCAGTCTCAATATCTCAGCGGGTCTGCGTGTGCAAACTGGTGGGGAATTGAGTGTGTGGGGCGGTTGTGTGCTGTTTTGGATTTGAAGTGTAGGCAATATTTCTCTTGAAGGCCTCCTTTTTGCTCACTTACCGCTGGGCGGCCATCAGTTTAAGTTAGGCAGCGGCCACGTTTCGTCGCGTTTCCATTATTTGTTGCGGCTTCTCAGCAAATATATTCTATTTTGGAATTTAGTGTAAACTTTAAACCCAAATGTAAATTATATAATGCGCTTTTATAGCTAAAAAGAAGCTAAGTGTGGACGTGGCAGTAATTATGAGACGTTATTCGAGTGTGACCGACCCTTAATGAGATGCATGAAAACTGCGTGTAATGTGGCAAACGGTTTAAAGAAGCCAATTCGCGAATAGGGAGCTAGAAGCCTTGTTGGAGCCGGCCAACTCCGCACACGCGTCATGGCTACAACAAGAAACAAAACAAAAAAAAAAAGCCGGCCAAGTCACTTCCTGTGGCCCAAAGTGTGTCACCGAAATTCGAGCGGCGGGCCATAAAATGTAGGTTAAATATTAGGCAGAGGAAAATCAATGCGAACAAAGGCTATTCATTCACACCTTTGGCCTCCTCCTACTTCCACGGGCTACGTCATTTCGCAAAAATATCTGCGTACTCAGCCACACACAGCTCCAATTAAACCATCGTTTATATTTCGGGTGATAGTCTCAGCCCGGTGGCTTCCACATCTCTCAGGCCGTTCGACTTCAAGTGCAGTCACTAATGCGGCAATTTGCAACATGCAATCCCGGTGCAGCCAAGCCAAAGCAATCCGCCCGAATGCAATCCCCCCTAGCTGTTGAGACCGCCTCATCAAGTTATGCTCTCGTTAGCGCCAAGACAAGCCTTTGGGAGCTGCAATTGGACTCCGTTTTCGTATTCAGAGGCATAAGGCAGGTGCATTCCATTCAAAGTCTATTCCGATTTCAAATCCGATGGTTCGGGCCGGTTTTATCAGCGCCTCACACGCAGCTATTTATAGGAGTGAAATGGCATTAGAAAATAAAGTCGTGCAATAATAATTACTCTACTATATTTTGCTTCAACCAGTGATGGAAGGGGAGCTATACAGGCAGGCAGTTGTACCTAATTACTATTTGTATTACAAATCGAGTTAAATGTTTGGATATTCAGTTTAATGATATATAATAAGTTATAAAGTCTATAATTATATTGAAATGGATTTCTTTATAACCCACGCTCTTTTAAATCCTACTTACTGGACCATGAAGAACAGATATAACATCCAGTTAACCGTTAAATTTATTTTGGAATAATAAAAAGTCGTAATAGTCTATTAAAATAACATAATCATAAATTCCTGAATTTAATTTTCAAGAAAAAAAGTATTTAAAACTGCCTTGGTAAATATAGTCAATACCTTTCCCATCACTGCGAATCAGTAATGAAACCGGCAGTCCTCGCTCTCTCATATTTGGTCTTCGGTCTCCGGCTTTAGGTCTCCGTATTCCGTACTCCGCTTTACGTTCTCCGGCGGCGAAGGCGTCGCGTGTACGTCTCTCTGACATTGCCAGGGCCGGAAGGTCTCGCTGGTCTGTCTGTAAAATCAAAAGATGGGTGTTGTGAGTGATTTTTAAATACATTCTGTTGCTTCGAATAAACAGCTCCTGGCGTCATTGGTTTTGTGGCACTTAAACTAAGCCGAAGGACGAACGAAAGGAGTATCCTGCGTGGGAATCCAATTCCACCCTCAGCACCTCCAACTGAATTTTACACAACAACAACAAACAATGGAGGGGAAATCATAGTGAATGCATGTGGGTCGGAGATCGGTTAGCACCCATGTCAAGCCATGCAGCAGACCCTCTCGTACTCATCATCATCGCCATCCCCATCCCCGATGCCCATGCCATCAGCATCTGCAGTAACACCACCGATCCCGAATCCCAGTCCGACAGCGAATCTGAATTTAAATCCAAATCCGACTCCGAGTCCGCGTCCCAGATCCACAGGCGGAGATTCCAGATTTCAGCCGGCCGTCATCCCGGTTGACTATAGCTATCGCACCCATACCACCCGCTCCATACTCTCCGCGCAATCGATGGCACCGTCTACCTTTGCTTCCAACCAGAGCTTTGTGCGCCAACCCTCGGAATCGGATGTCCAGCCGTACAGCAGCCTTTTCGGGGATCCAGTTCCACCGCCCCTTCAACCGGATGACTACTTTGGAACGGCAGCCTTTGAGACATTGCGAACGGGATCTGTCGAGCTGCCCAGCTCCGAGGAGGATGCACTGGTGGCCGCCGTGGCGTTAAATGCATTAATTCCCGGAGCCAGGGAACGCATCTTTCCGAGTGTGCCTTACACGAGGACTCCGAGGGGTTCCCTCCTGCCGTACCTACAGCCGCCAGACATCCAAATTCTTCCCAACTCAAGTGGCGGTTCCAGTTCGGAGCAGCTGGGATCGCCCAATTATCGTCTTTTGGCACCCGAAGACATCCTTAACAAGCCGGATATGTACGATTTGGAGAACGAAGTCGAGGAGTACACGGTGGTAGGTCAAAGGATGTCCTTCGACGATGAGGAAGATGAACCAGCAAGGGCGCCAGGTCAAGCGCCAGCCAAGATGAGTGTGTCCAGCATCAACACAGAGGATCACAGAGGGTGAGTATACTATATCTAATACTAATACTATAACTATATCTTAAATATCAATATCTAATATCTTCCAGTTTACTGAGTGACTCCTATTCGGGCAGGGATTGGTTCCGTCCGGCGCCGCAGCACTTCCCTGAGTTCACGCGTATCCCCCGATTGCGTCCTAGTTCCAAAATGATCATGTCGATGAAACAGGACGAAGGGCCGCTATCACCGCTGGCCACCATGATTCAGGATATGAACAGCTCCAGCAGCGGAGGCGAAGAGCGTGTGGAGCCTAGTGAAAAGATGCTAGTTAGCAGCGACGTTGTACTCTCACCGAAGCAGTATCTAGAGGAGCAGTTGGGTCTGGAAATGGGCAGCCAAAGGCAGTCACCGGAGGATTATGGGATGCCACCACCACCAGCAGCACCACCTCCTTACCACAGAACACTCATGACGGATCAGGAAGATAACCAAAGCGTAGAACCTGCTCTTAGTTTAAAGCGTGAAATGTCACCCATCATTATCAGGGATTCCATACCAATGGGAGGAGATTTTAGGTTGGTAATAAAGATATCTAATTTATAATATAATACAATACCTTCACTTTAGAGTGGATCAACCACGTCCACACAAGAAGACTGCTTTCACCATCCTATCCACGGGCCACCCGCCTCCGTCTGCTCCACGGACTCCACAAAAAACGCCCACCAGCCGAAGACATGCCTCCATTCAGTCAACATCGACGACTACCTCATCGCCGGCCGGTAGGCCACAGATCAGTCCTCGCCGGAAATCAATTTTTGGCTCAGATCCCCGACTGCCTGAGTTGCCCTCATCGCTGGGTTATTCCAGCCACTTCATTCAACAGACCACGGATGATTCGCCACGTCCGTCGGTGCAGTTTAATATGAGCGGACGCCATAGTCGCAGTAAACTGGCCATTCCTCAGAAAGGCATCCTCCAGCAGCGGGACTCACTGACTTCCTCCATCGACACCTTCACGCCTCGGGCTCAAATAAGAAGGGGATCTATGGGTAGGAGTCCCACCCACAGTCTGCCCTATGGCCAAAAGGTCAAGAGTATGGAAACACTACCGCTTATAACAGATCCGCATCGTAGTGCTATTCCTCGCCTGCACTACGGATCAACCATGGAATTGGGAAGTCCGGAACCGGCTGTCTTTCCACCCGGAGCACTGCCGCGACCACTGAAGCCAAATCTGAATCCCACGCGAAAGCAACGCGGTCTTCTGAGGATCATCAACAAGGAGGAGTCGCTCGCCCAAATCCCGCCGCGTTCCAATTGGTGCAGTTTGGATGACCTGAGCAGGCCATCCTTCGATTCGACTCCCAACCAGGCAAGACGTCGCTCCAGTTCCACCTCACCGGAGCGTCGCAGTTCAACGCAAACGGCATCGGATCGCAGGAGCTCCAATCTAAGCAGCGTTACCGCCACGACCTCGGATTTCAGTTTCCGGCGACCAACGCTCTCCTCACTGCCAGCAGCGCAAACTTTGTCTAGGATGCGTCGCAAATCGGTTCAAGCTCCCAGTCCTAACAGGATTCCTAATAGGATACCAAGTTTCGGGCACCGAAGGCAGTCAATCTATCAAAGGGATCGGGAACCTAAGCCACAAAGCAGGCACGGGAAGATTGCCAAGCCCAGCACATTGTCACCCATAATTGGAACACCCAACAAGGACAGTAGCTCGGCACAGAGTCCCACGCATAGATCTTCGCTGATCGGAGATGCTGCTGAGACCCAATCGGAGGTGTCTACGCGGCGAGACTCGCTGTCCCGCATTCCTGTTCGGAAAAGCCCAGAATCACGCTCCAGTTCACCTCTCAAGGATTTCGGCATCACTGCCTCTGGACGAAGCTCTCGTGCTAGCGTTAGTCGGTCCCCTTCCAGAGCTATGCATGCCAGTAGTCGATCTCCTTCAAGGTCCTTGCATCCCAGCAGAACGCCCTCGAGGGAGAGTGGGAGACCAGGCGACTCACGATCTGTTTCCAGAGGTCCACCTTCTAGACCAGGTTCTCGTTTGGATCAGTCCAGCTCCCGTTTGGACAGATCCAGTTCTCGATTAGATAGGTCCAGTTCTCAATTGGATAGGTCCAGTTCCCGTATAGATAGGTCTAACTCCCGCTTGGAAAGATCAAACTCCCGTTTGGATATGTCTATCTCCCGGGGAAACTCTCGTGCTAACTCCCGACTTAGTATTAACTCATCCTCACTGCGATCCTCAAGTATTTCACCCGCCACTATGGCCAGAAACAGGAGCATGCGAGCTACAACGCCAAGTCGCCGGAAATCTATCTCCTTGAGTCCAGCAAGTGCAATGATGGGTCGCCGAAAGTCCATCAGTCCCGATGCACTTGGTCAAAGCAGAAGAGTTACCAGTAGGGGCAAGCCGGAGACCTCAGAGATTCTATCTCGACGGAACTCTCGCTCCCGTATTCCCACCAGATCGACTAAGGTTGCATCTAAGTCCCCGCCGTCTTCGTCCAAGAAGAGATCGAAATCGCCGGAAAAACCCAAAGCAATGGGAACCACACCCAAGAGCAGCAAAGGTGTAAAGGGGGCACCCCCTAAGGGAAGCCCCAAAGCGAAACCAAAGATCCCTGCAAGTGCCAAACCAAAGACCAAGACGGAATCCTCGGTAAAACCACCAGCTAAAAATTCAAAGAAAACTCCGGCTAAAGCTAAGCCAGCCACAGAAGGTAGTAAGCCATCTTCTAAGGGGATCCCAACGAAGAATGGAAAAGTGGAAAAGGGAAAGGAGACGGCTAAGGCTGTTGGCGCCAAGAGCAATGGAAAGGAACCAGTGGCCGCAGTACGGACAAAGTCACAGGAGACCAAAGGTAAACCCGCTGGAGGAACCACAACGGAGACCAAAAAGCCTACTACCGCAAAAACACATGGAATAACGTTGGATAAGGGAGCTAATGGTTCTGATTCCGTTGTTGGAATACCTCCACTGGCTGCCCAAGTCGGAAATGCAGTGCTCCAGGCAGTTGAAGCAGTTCCTGCGGTGACCAGCGAGGTTCCCATACCCTCAACACCGGGTGGCAAAGGATCTGGCGGTGGCAATATGTCCAAATTGGTGCGCATGAGCTCCAGGATGAGCCTGCTGAGCAATAAGAGCAACAAAAATCGATCGGATTCCCCTCAAAACCGAAAGGTGGCCACAGTGCAAGAACATGCCAACGAAATACAAGGTGGGTCTTTATATTCCCTAAAAAACATCTAAGTAACTACCTTTACTTCCAGAAACAGTAGGATCCAGTTCTCAGCCCATGTCCAATGATGCCGCTGCCATTCTGGAAAAGTCACAAAAGACCTTGGAAAATATTCAAAAAACAGTCACCGAGGCCACCGACGAGATCCACAAGACCATAACCGAAAATCTCACCGATCTAAAAAGCCTGGAAAATGACCTTGCTGCCGATCCTTCCCCCACTCCCAGTTCTGGCACCACCATGGCTAGACCAGGGGAATCCGCCTCCCGAACAGGCACGGCCGATGGCAGTATTGCTCCTCAGAGTTCAGGCGAGTTGCCCAAATCTCCATTTCCTCCTACGCAACCCATCGAAGCATCTGTTTCGGTTTTACATCCCAATGAAAGCGCTTCCGAGCGAATAGCCAGTGTACCCGAGGTAGAGTTAGAGAGCTCTGATCTTCCAACGGTTCTAGACGCATCCGAATCCGATCTGGGTGCAAATGTAATGCCCACACCCGAAAGTGGAGCAGACTTCAAGGTGGACGCAAAACGACGATCTCCAGACGGTCAGGGAGGATCTACAGCGGGCAGCGGCGGTCTTGCAAAGTAAGTAATGAAAAGTAAAGTTAGGAAAATCTTTACAGGATTAGAAGGTCTAGGAAAATGACAAATGGGTTTACTTAGAATACTTTTAGACAGGTTCTTAAGGGGTTTCAAACTTCAAGAGACTAGCACCACCTTGTAAGTTTTTCAAAAGGTACTCTAACCATCTAAGTACTCATCAAAATATTGATCTTATCACATTTGTTTTTGAAAAAATCTACTTTCGACTTTAAGTTCATATTCCTTTACACTAACAGTAGTTCGTGTTAATATTTTCTAGCTCAAACTATAAGCTCACTAAATGCCTTGAAAAATGTAGTTACCCTACGCTCTATCTGACCAACAAAAAACATATTTACACATCACATTTTATTGATAGAACCTTTAAACTCTATAAGGTTAAGTTCCAATGTCTATCAATGACCTTTGAGAACCCCCAATATTTCTCACTAGGCATACTAAATATACTTCGCAAAACCCCTTGAGAATCGTGCTTGCTCTGTTATTGTCAACAAAAGACCCACAAAGAAACCTTTACTAAAGGTTCGCTATGACCATTATGAATATTCATCAGTCGAGCCTCCATCGAATCTGTCCGGTACAGCTAAACTAGAATTTGAATTTCTCGGCGGGAAGGCTGGTTGATACTTCTAGTAATAGTACTAACATTTTGCCTCGAGCCTAGGGTCCCGACATAAAGCACCAGCCAAGGCTTACAGCGCCTGGCCAGCCAATTTACATACAGGAAACCCCCACAGAGGTGGGGAATGGGCCAACAACTATGATACATAAAACTTTACAGTGCCGTGTGGGCAGGAGTTCCGTGCTCTAGACGCTGCTGGCACAGGTCCGTCAAGCCACTCATAAGTGCGTCAATAAATTTCAGAGAGAACATGGGGTAGTATGGGTTGGCCAAGACCCTTGGCCACCGCCCAAGAAGACCGCCTTTGAGGAAATCCGTTCGTCGGCAGGTCGCGAAGTCCCAATCGCCGTCGCAGTCGGCGAAGGTAACGATGTCCTTCACTGCATTGTTTTCCAACCATGCGAGACCCGCAAGAAACCGTGTGACCGACCAGTAACAGTGTGGATTCCCTGAGGGGAAATAAAATTTCTCCTAGGATAGTTAGTCCACTCTTGGCTAGCGTCCACTGTACAGTATAGCGTGCGCGGAAAACAGGGGAAAAGTATTTTCGCAACACGGCTTAAGTTTCTTGCCGCAATAACAAATCAGTTCGGGCCGGACAATCGCGCCAACCGCAGCACTTACTCGCTGGGAAATTCCTTCCGAAAGTTGGGAAACTCCACGCCAGTCGAAGATTTCCCAGCAATTAATACGAAATAACCACTCAGATAATTCGCAAATTCGAAATGCTTAACGGAACGCCCAATAACGCGGTCATTTACACGGTGGATCTGGCCCAGGATCCGTTCATCGATGGGGACAAGTACTTTTTTAGGTAATTAAGAACGAGATCCAATTATAACTTATCGGCTGAAGTCATCTGCCAGCGGGTAAATAAACGCACTGACCTTCTAGAGGCATTTAGGCCCACAAAAACTACGCCAAGAATGTGCGGAAAAGTTACTCCATTCATTTCGACTGTCTCGCAGTATTGTTTGAATTTCGACCGGAGCGGGTCAAATAAATTGCCGACCTCCAAATTGCGTTTGGTCGTTGGCTCGTGCACAACGGAATTACAGGCGTTCTGGTTCAGGAATATATATACATATATGTACATATATAATATATACACGTGAACACTTTCATTTGCCAGCCACGGGCATGGACCCATAAAGAAATTGTGTAAGCGTCCAAAAAGCAAAACTCTCGTGACATATTTTAGTGGGTTGTGGCATATTCAAAATCGACCCAAAAACGAAACTTTATTATGCCAAGATTAAAGTTCAAAAGCCAAAGATTTAACATTACACGCTACTAACTAGTGCAACTGCATTATTCATAACTTAAAGATACTAGATAAACGACTTCACGTGTGGGCATCCTTAGGCCCACGCTAATGGTAATTCACTTCCGAAGGTGATTATATTTCATGCCAGCAAAGTGCGGAAGTGATTCAGGACTATCCCACAAACTTGAACTTTCCAATCATACAGCACTTCCGTTGCTTGGCACTTGGCCAATCCCTGAAGCCATAAAAGCTTATATCCGGTCGGCTGATAGTCAAGGACAATGGGCTGGTTACTTTACACCATGTCATAATCGGTCTAGTCGTTATGGCTTCTATACTAAAACCTTATAAAGGTGTTAAATACTTTAAAACTTGTTAAAAAGAGGTTGTACCACAAAAATCACTTTGGGCTTAAAAACACTTATTACGGTTCGAGTACAGAAATGAAAGTGTGAATATAAAAGTAGCCCAAAATAAATTAACTTTTTTATATTGATTGACTTAGAGTTTTCGTAATGGGAGCACATTTTCAGGCAGTTTAGAAAAATAAATATAATATTTTTTTAAACATTAGGGCTGTTGGGTAATCTTACATTTTATTTTGTCGGTCATAAAAATATATCTATGTTTGTCCTAATTAAAATATTCCTTTCCTCGCATCCCGTTTGAATTAGAAGCAGCAGTCAGGAGTTTCTCGAGGACAAGGATAATGCCAAAAAAGGGGGCCTGTGCGGATGCTGTTCCAAGCTGTTCATGCCCTGCCGTCGATCACGCTGCTCCCGTTGCTGTCGTCGACGTGAAAGGAACCAATCTGCTGAGGATCAACCTGTCCTGTGGAGCGGCAGCAGCAGTGCCACTACGGCCACCAATGTCCAAGTGATTGATGAGACCAAGCCGAAGCGGAAGAAGGCCACCGATTGGCTAAAGTCCAGCTGCTGCCGGAGCTGTCGCAAGAAACCTCCCTCCGAGGAGGATATTGTCCAGGAGGAAGTTACTAAGCAGGGAAAGCAGGAGGCCAAAATGAGCACGGGACCAAAGGCACGAGGTAAATGCGGCCTCTGCCTGAGCAAGGTGTTCTGCTGTCGTTCGGTCAACAAGGTCGATCCCACCACGGGCGATGAGACGGAGCTGAGCAAGTGCTGCTTTTGCATACCATGTCGTCGAGGCAGTAAACCCAACAAAAAGGGAAGCACCGTTTCATGGCGAGATCAAGACCCTGAGCTGGGCATCAAGCCCACCGAGTCATCTGTGGTGGAAGGCGCCTCTGAAGCAGCAATATCTGCATCAGCTGATGCTGGGAATAATGAAGTAAAAGAGTGAGTATTTCATTGAAATTCTCAAGTGTTCCCACAAATTTTAATTTATTTAAATTTAATTAAATTGTGCAGTTTTGATAAGTTAATATACATAGATACATAATAAATAAAATTCAACTTTATTTTAGGGGATGCTGCAAGCGCTTCTGGCTTATGTTGTTGTGCTGCCGCAAGAAGAAGCGTCGGGAGTCCAATGCTCGAAGGCAGAGTATCAAGGCGCCGCCACCCAGCGAGGCAAGTTTTTCATTAAAACAAGCCAAAACTTTATTTTAAAATCCTTTCCCTGCAAACAGGATACCCGTAAAAAGCTGCACGTGGACCTGGTGGAGTACTCATCCAAGATGAAAGGAGCTATCCCAGTGCTGCCGCTGTACTTGGCCTGGTTCTGCGCATTTTGTAATGTGGTTTTCCCAGGTCTAGGTGGGTAGTCTAAATTCTGAATTCAAGAAGGTATTAAAACAGATGTATTCCGTAATTTAGGAACCCTTCTCTCCGGACTCTTTTGCCTGTGCGTGGGCATTCCACGCTTCTCACAATTTGACAGTGCTCGTGCCAGGATTGGATCCTTTATCATCAACATCATTGTGGCCGTATCGCAGTTCTTCTGCGTGCTGTTCTGCTTTGTGGGATGGGGCTGGTCCATTTGGTGGGGCACCATAATGCTAAAATGTGCAAGTAAGCGAAAATTTCACCATATTAAAATTCGTTCCCTCATCAAGATTTGCTTTCCTTCTTCAGAGAAACTAAGCAAAATCAAAAAGGTGGAGCGTTTGGAGCTGGAGGAGGAGCAGCGACAGGCGCAATTGGCGGAGGCAGGGAAGAACGGCGATGCTGAGGCGGCGAAGACATAGTCCTCCGAACCCGGAGATAACTAAGTTGCTTTTTATACCATTGTGTACATACTTTTGTACAAAACATGTAGATTCCACAAAAACATGCACTTCCACATGAACTTCCAGGTTAAGCGAAATGGAACAGAACTTCCTTTGAACAAGAGATACATAAAAGTAAATGTATTAAAATCATTAAACTTCCACTGAAATATTATAGTTTTTTATTCCTGGCCAAAAGGCGGCATAACTTGTTTGTTACTTTTAAATAATTTTCAGGTTTGCAGTATTTCTTAAAAACGTAATTCACTCTCGTTATTTGAATTTCCGTTAGCCAAAGGCGTAATAGAATTGGAGGACTAACGCTCCTGAAGCTAATCACTAAACGATAAGATAACTTTTTAATAATTACCTCACAGAACTTAAAATGACAACTGCATATAAAAAATAGGTAAACAAATTTAAAATGTCCCTTAAAGCTAATCTTAAAAAGAATCTAAATTCTCTGCAGAAGTTCATACAAAATTTCAGTAATCCCCCTATTAATTTTCATACGGTGTGACCCTATGTAGTTTGTTTCCATAGGCATATGGATTTTTTGCAGTGCGGTAACACCGATTCGTTCTTTATAGTACGGCGTTCATTAAAAAAACACGACGTCAACTTGCTATTTGCAAAAAATTTGGCCGTAAAAAATGTCGCACCTCGTGAAAATGGAAAACGGACAGAGCCAGACCATCCAGGAGATGCTGGGCTGCATCGAGCGGTAAAAGTTTGACAAGTTCCCGGAATATTAGTCAGTACAAAAACATAACCTCTCTTTTCCCGCAGCTACAATCCGGATCATCTGAAAACACTGGAGGCATATGTGCAGGATCAGGCAAAGAACAACACCTACGATTTGGAAGCCAATCTGGCCGTGCTGAAGCTGTACCAATTCAACCCGCACATGCTGAACTTCGATATCACGTACACAATCCTGCTTAAATCTCTGACCAGCTTGCCGCACACGGATTTCGTGATGGCCAAGTGCCTGTTGTTGCCTCAGCAGATGAAGGACGAGAATGTACAGACAATCATAGACCTGGCTGATATTCTGGAGCGGGCTGACTTCACTCTCTTCTGGCAGCGCGCTGAGGTGAACCGCAGCATGTTCCGACACATTTCTGGCTTCCACGATTCCATTCGCAAGTTTGTCTCGCATGTGGTGGGCACCACCTTCCAAACAATCCGCAAGGACCTTCTTAAGGAACTGCTCGGAGGAATCGAGGACTCAACGCTGGAGAGCTGGATCAAACGGAACGGCTGGAAGCACCAAGGACAGGGAATCGTCGTTGTGGCCACCCAAGACGACAAGATCAAGACGAAGAACATCACGGAGAAGATCGAGTTCGACAATGTTGGTGCCCTAATGGCCCAGTGCCTGTAAGAACCTCCTCCGCGTTTATAGTCCATGTCTACATTTCTACGAATAGTAATTAACGGAAACAAAATAAAAGCCTGTCCGTACAGCTAAATAATTTTGTTGTTTATTCTCGATCAGAGCCGCTCTCCAGGCTGCTCCCACTCACGATCAGACTTCCGGAACTACCGACCTTAAAACGTACACGTACAGAACTAATAAAGCGCTATCCTATTTATGACTGCTTTTTGAACTTTTTCAATATGGGAAATATTTTATCGAATGCATCGTAGATCTCCTGGCGCACTTTGGCTCCTGTAAGCACAACCTTTCCGGACACGAAGATGAGGAGCACGATTCGGGGTCGCACCATACGATAAATGAGGCCGGGGAACAACTCTGGTTCGTAACTGCTGAAGTTGCAATGGGTCAGCACCAGGCCTTCCAAGCGGATGGGAAACTTGACATCGCAGGAGCCGACCATGTTTTGAATTTTAAAGTCGAGGAACTTTGCCTGCAAGGGAGAAAGCGTTAGAGAATTGTATAGAAGATTACTTTATCTATTTCTTACAGGGAACCCGAGCTTCTGGATAATGCGCGCATATTTTCTTGCCGCCAATCTCGAATCGTCTTCGCTCTTTGCCCCCGTGCACACCATTTTGCCGGAGCTGAAGATTAGGGCAGTGGTTCGGGGTTCTCGGATACGCATAATAACGGCAGCAAATCGTTTAGGGTTGTACTCGGCATTCCTCGCGTGCAGTGCTATTTTCTTGAGGTCCAGTTTACAACACAGATTCACAGTAGACACAATATTTTGCAGTTGTGGGACAATTCCAGGATCCGCAGATCCCGGCGTGGCTGGTGTCATGGGCGTGGAAGGGCCCATTGTCTGGTGGATATTGCTGAGGGCGTCTCCGGCACCCGAACCACCCACACTTCGCTCGCTCATTGGCATCATGTGGGCCATCATACTTTGGGGTGTCTGCGGCTGCATCATAGACTGCGGTGTGCTTCCTCCACCTCCGGGCGCCTGACTCTGAAGTTGCTGCTGCTGATAAGATACCGACGGCTGGTAGCTTTGCATCTGCTTGTGGGCCAGCGGGATCGATGGTTCGTGGCCGAATAAGCCAGATCCTCCGGTATCAGACTGTTGTTGTTGCTGCTGTTGCACGGAACCAGAACCGGGGGCCGGCATCACCGGATCCGGTTGCGAAACAGCTGGAGGATGATACACTGGATTGGCCACAATCTGCTGGTCCGCTTCCATCTGGTGGAGCGGCGTTCCGATGCTCGGAATCGAGAAGTTGGGGCTAAGCATTTGATCCATCTTGTAGATGGTTTATTGTAGTCTCGGCGGGATTCTGTAAAACTCAATTCAAGGCAGCTGAACTCGAGCGACTGGTAATATCCGGATAAATTTGCATGCCAATGGAGCGGGGAAAAATAATAATAATGCAGCCGCCTTCGTAGTTGTACCTGTGGCTCCTTCCGTGTGAATGCCAGAAGCAGGGTTGCATTTTGGCGGACCTACCGATAATTGGCTGAGCATTACGTATAGCATTACGTTTTCTAACATTTTTAAGAATATGTTTATGAGGTGACTGAAAATTACTATTATTTTGTAAGTACAGGGTCGGTAACAAGACGAAATATATATATAAAAAAAAAACTGAAATCTTTCTTCCTTTTTTTGTTTATTTTTTAAGTTTGTATTCCTTTTGATAATTTCAAGTAATTACGAAAAGGGAATTTCTTTTACGTTTTAATCTACCAACTACGTTTTTACTTATCCGTTATTAAAATGGCTCACTTTTTAAATGTCTTAAAGAAAAAGAGCTGGAAAAGTTGTATGACATTGGTTTTATTGCTTAGTAGTTCAACAGTGCAGAATATGAGAAAATACATAAGATACAAATTGGTTTCAAAATAAATTATGTGAATTCAGACTAAATTAAAAACACTAGTTCAAAAGTAAAAATGAGTTGTCATGGGCGCTTTACCTTATTATTTAATTAGGACATTGACATTTTTGACCATCAATTAAATGGTAATTAAGCTGAAAAACAAAATGAGGACACCGCCCATGCTGAAGCCCAGAGGTGAACAGGCCAAACTCGTGGCAGATGTCTTCGATGAATGAGTGTAAGTATTGCCATGCTCATCGGTGTAAACATGTTGCCCACTTGAGGGTGAACTTTGGAAGGTACCTTCCACTCCAGGTACTGTGTAGGGTCCTTCGTTCTGACCCCGTATATAAATCCCGTTTCCAGGTGTTCCGAAATCATGAGGGCCATTTCTCCCATCATAATTCTGCTGCGCATTTGTCGCTTGACGAGAAGAGAGTTTAATTTCATTTCGCTTTTCTAAAAAACTTCCCACACTCAACTTACCGGCAAACAACAGACAGCCCACAACAAAAATAAACAAAACAAACGATCTCATGATGCACTTTCCAGTCACTAAGCTCAATTCCAACTGAGAGCATTCTGTTTATTCAAAGTATATTTATACGAGCCGGCCAAAAGATGAGCTTTTGCCAATTAGCTGTTGAGAACCATGACATCACAGCTTAGGATGCAAAAATGAATTCGAAATTAAGCTTTCAATACATGATCTTTCTTATTACAAATAACAACAAATGCCCTAATTTCAAAATAGAAACCCCTATTGGCAATATACTCGTATATTATTTTGCGCATGCCTTTACCCAGCTAATGAAATTTTTAAATTTAGTTCAATAGCTTGGGAAGAGAAAGCAAAGAAAGAGTGCAACATATGGGAGCAGATATACTGAGCTATTTATGCATATATAGACTCACAGAATCATTATATAATATGCACCCAAAACAAACGAAAAAATGTGCAAGAGAGGCAATATTTCAAAACTAAACATTTCGAATCCTGAAAAATAAGATACGTTTTGCCAAAAACCCAGTACGTTTTCAGAAGTGTGTTAAATTTTTTTTGGAACTAAAATCTGCAAAATTTAAGTACTACAGAAAAAAAAGTTTTAAAACGAAATGGAAAAGGTTTGCCAGTTTTTTCGAAACAACTATGTGCTGGCCAACTGCGAGGATGCTATCTACAAAAGGTCGTTCTCCCTGAATTTATCTCACTACCAAATGTCCGAAGTTCCGGACATCATCGAGCAGTGCGAGACGCTGATGAAGCTATTCCTCAACCAAAACAAGTTGACAAAGGTGGGACTATTCGAAATTAAATATAAATACATAATAACTAGTATCACATTGACAGATTCCATCATCCATTGGCAGTTTGATGCGTCTGCAAGTCCTCACTTTGGATTACAATAAACTGAATGAATTCCCGCTCTGCGTATGCCGCCTGGTCCGTCTAAAGTTTCTCAACATCAGCTGCAATAGCATATGTTATTTGCCTCCGGAATTTGGCTATCTGACCCAGTTAGAAACCTTCTGGTGCAATAATACCGGACTTTTGGAACTACCCTCTGAAATTCGGAACTGCGAACACCTCGAAACGTTGGGAGTGAGAGGTAATCCTTTGAAGCGGTTGCCCGACGCTATTGGTGCTCTGTCGTCGCTCCGTTGGTTCACCGCCGAAGGCTGCGAGCTCAACGATGTTCCATTGACAATGGCATTGCTGGGAAATTTGGTGCACCTGAATCTCAAGGGGAATAGACTGAAACGATTGCCCAGGATGCTAATGGCCATGCAAAAGCTGCGATTCGTCTTCCTTAACGAGAACAAAATTGACGAGCTGCCTACGAGATCACAGTTGGAAGAACTGAGCACACTTCATATGCTAAACTTGTCCAAGAATCCTATTAGCCTTCATCACGACCTGCAGCTAATGGCTTTGGTGAGTCCTTAGTCATGTGATGTGTTGGTTTTAGGATATTTTTACATATCTTACAGCGCCAGACGAACCTCTATGTGGATATGCCGGTAGATCCGACCTTACCCTGCGATGGCCTTTCCAGTCGAGCTAGTCTCAACACACAGGATCAGCAGGAGGATCAGGCTCGAGGAGCTGGTCAAGATATAGATTCCTCCGACTGGGCTAACAGTGTGCGCACTAGCGAACTGGACACAACGGATGAGAGTACGCTGGAGAACAATATCGAGGACCTGAGTGTCATGCTGCCGGAAATGTCCCGCTTTGTTACCACCTTTTAAGAAACATCATTTTGATGGAAGTGTGATATTATGTAGCACGCATAAAACTGTGGTTTATTCCCTACAACTGGGTGTTTTGTACATGTACCTCTAACAATCGTAGCGCTTTAAAATGCACATTGGTTAAGTGGAAATTGGGCTTATGGGGTACCAGGTTAACTTGACATCTTCTTCATCAGCTCCTCGTCCTGCATGGACATGGCCGTGAGCTTCTTGCCGATCTTCTCGTGAATATCCAGGTACTTGGCCACGCAACGATCGATGCAGACCATCTCACCCTTGCCTGAAACATAGATATATCGTTATATGTATATTTGAAATTGATTTTTAGAATACCTGTATAGCTTGTTTGACTTATGAAAAAAACTAACTTCTATTGCAATCATATTAATTCAAGTAGGTGAAACTGCATGACGATATACATACATGAATACATATTTTACATAAAGCCTATGTTTATGCCCCATATCTACATATTTCTAGCTCTCCGACCAACATGTAGTACTCACCTAACTCCGATTCTGAGTAGCGGGGCGGAATACACTTCTTGTGGCAAGCGTTCGTCATGCGGTTATATAAATCGGACATCATTTCGATCTCCATCTCCTGCATTAGCTGCAACTTAGCCTGGTCGGCGGAGCTGATCTGGGGCAATGCCATCTTTGTGTTTGGATGTTTTTCAAGGTTTTATATAGTGGATGCTACGGGTTAGTAGTCAAATCGTCTGTCCGATGCTTGTGCTGAGTCGTAATCGCCCTGGTTTGCCTTCCTCATGCGCTCACGTACTCGCATGCTCTCGTAACGCCGGTTCTCAACGGATTGTTTCGACAGAACAAAAGCGTACACGCCACCCACAGTGAGAACAGTCCTGGTTTACGAATTCAGAATTTTCATTAAGTAATGTTAAAACCTGTGCCAACACTCTAAAAGGTTTTCTATACGTACCAGCAAACAGCAATTCGACCTGCGTTGCCCAACGACATAGCCTGCTACGAAAATTCGACACACTAACGCCTTTCGATGAATGTTACGCGGGATTTTTTATCATTGGCACGTGTGACAGTTGGGGCAATGGGGTATTCTTTTTAATACAGACTCTCTAAATTGGGAAAAAATGTTTTGTGTTTGAAAAAAAATTTGTGGCAGAAAATAAGGAAAATCTGTTTAGTATTTGTAATTTCTAAGTAAGGTAATTTATTTTCTCTGTTAATGAAATATATCATATTTTTGAGATAATTCTAATCAAATAAGAGTTTTTGATTCATTCCAATAAGATTCTAATGTGTATTGTATTTTTCTAGTATTTAATACCGGCTCTTTATTTCCTCCGGTCACACTGTGTTTATTTACTCAACCATTATTTCGTAATTTAAAGTCATATTTTATCAATGAATTAAGATAAGGAGAGATCAGACCTACCCCCAAATGACTTCACAAATCTACAGCCAGAAGAAGTTCGTGCCCACGCCGCCCGAGAAAGGCTCCTTTCCACTGGACCACGAAGGCCTCTGCAAAAAGCAATTCCTGCTCTACGCTAGTTGTCTCCGTAAAAACGCCCAGGATACGAGTCAGTGCCGCCAGGACGCCCAGAACTATCTGGCCTGTCGCATGGACAATAATCTTATGGAAAAAACCGAATGGTCTAAGTTGGGCTTTCACGACCAGAGCACAAAAACCGATCAAAAACCAACTGAGGCCCAGAAGCAATAGTTAGTCCCATGAAACCGGAACGCAATGTGATGATAGCGGCCACCGGAAGTGTGGCCACCATTAAGTTAGCCCAGTTAATCAATGAGCTCTCCGACGAGAACCTACCCTTTAAGTTCCACCTGAAAGTCCTTGTCACCGAGTCGGCCAAGCACTTTTTTGAACTGGAGCAAATACCAGAAAATGGTGGGTTATCTTTATTTTTAGATCAAAAGGATTATTAATCTAAATCAATCATAAATTCCCAAAAAAAAACTTCAATCGTAACTAGGTCCTTGACTTGATATGCTATCCACAAATCTCTGAAATAATATATAAGTTCTGCGTTCATCTCCCAAATATCAACTTTTAGGCACAAGCATTAAGAATTTCATTATTCAATTCTTACATAAGATAATTTTTGGAGCAGGCCCTTTAATAAATCTTATCTTTTAGTACCCATTTACCACAATCGCGATGAGTGGATTGCCTGGAACAAGCGAGGAGATCCAGTTCTACATATTGACCTAGGCAAGTGGGCCGATTTGCTGGTGATTGCCCCCCTCAGCGCCAATTCCCTCTCCAAAATGGCCACCGTGAGTGACAAAATGGTGAAATTCTTCGTACTCAAAAATAACTTTGTATCTATGTTTATGACAGGGGATTTGCGATAATATCGTAATGTGCGTGGTGCGGGCATGGGACCTTCAGAAACCCCTGCTCTTTGCTCCAGCGATGAACACTCGGATGTACGACCACCCAATAACCCGAGAGCAGATCGACAAGCTGACCAGTTGGGGCTACACGGAAATTCCTTGTATCTCCAAGACCCTTATGTGTGGGGATACCGGTAACGGTGCCATGGCGGAGGTTCCCACAATTGTAAAAGCGGTGTTGGCTGAATTTAAATCGGGAAATTAGTTAAATCAAGAAATTGTTATACACACAGAGTTTATATCGCAGAATATTTTGTTACAATAATTAGACATATACTATGGAATTGGCTATGAAATCTTAGAGATCCACCACCTTGATGTCCTCCAGCGAATTGTTTGCAGATTGGCTGATCAGCGCCTTCTCAGAATCCGTTAGGTTGATAAACTTGTGCTTGGACTTTAGCTCTTGCTGGATGGAGAAGAGTAGATCGGGTGAACATCTTCCCGGTTTCAAGCTCTTCTGTTCTTGCGGTTCTGCGCCGCCTGTGATCTCCATTTTGGGCTCCACAATAGTTTCCATTTGCAACGATTGGCGTTTGCGACGCATCCTCTTAGAACCTCTTGTGATAAGCACCACGGCGGGGGATTCATACGGAAGTGCTTGGATAACTGTCTGTAGGAGTTTTGGTGGCGTCTCCGGTGTTTTCGGGTTCCCGATCACTACATCTGCCTGGAGGGCACTGCGTGCACGCTCACGCTCTTCTTCCCGCTCCCTGGCTGCATTTTTCCTCATCAGTTGACGTGCGCGCTTCTTGAGAATAGCCTGGGCATTGGGATAGTATGCGATGACCTCGTTCAAATCGGATTTGGAAAGCACAAAAAGGTTGGAGTATCCCTTCGATCGCACATCTGCTGTTCTGCGGTCAGCTCCATTGATTCCCAGCAGACTGATCTCACCGAATACGGAGCCTTCTGTTAAAGTGGCGAGTACAACATCACTACTGGGACCACCCATCACTTGGACTTGACCTAGTTTTACGATGTACATCTCTCTGCCAACCTCACCCTTGCGGCAAACAAAATCTCCAGGCAGAAAGGTTACGGCCCTCAGCTTTAGTACCAAATCTCTAAGCAAAGCCTCTTCGCAATCAGCAAACAGTTGCACCTTGGAAAGCGTTTGAATGTGCACGGAGATGGCGATGTCCGTTTTTAGGTTAATGGGCAAAGCATCTAAGATGTTGGACTCATCTGAGAAAATAGAACTTGATTAGTTGAGACATCCAAGAACTATCTTATGTATACAAACCCAAAGTGCGTTGCTGTTCCCACGTAAACTGGAACCACATTTTGACCCTTGACTGTACTTCCTGGGAGAGATTAAGACGTCGCATGTACTCCAGTGTCTCATCTTCCAGCTGGCGATACTCATGCTTGTTCCGTGTGGCAGTCGAGATAATGTCCCTAATCTGACCGATGAGCAAAGCGAAGACAAAGACTCCCATCAGCCAGGCTACCGTCATGAAGACATACTCCCCTTGACGCTCCGGCTTTGGATTTTTTCCTATGGATGTGGCCGTCTTGGTGGCAAATGCAAAACACCTTACATATGGATGACCCTTGCCACTAAAGACCCAGCGATTCTTTCCCAAGCCCTGGTAGTCACTGTAGGCATAGTATAGGGCGGCCGTGATGTGAATCATGTAGAGCATGTAAGTCAAAGTTTTGGCCACTCGAACCTAAAGGAATGGAAGTACATAATTAATGAAGAAATTTAAAATTAAAGTTGGAAACCTACGAAGTGTGGTGACGATATTACTCGATCCAAAAGGCGGAATACTTCCCAAAAGCTCTGAATCTTAAAGAACCTTGGAAATCGCAACCAAACAGCACCAGTGCCCAATTTCAGGTATAGCAACTCAAGTGGGAGAAGGGCCAGAAGATCCAACTGGTATATAAATATTAACTCATTAAATTACTGGGTCATGACAAGGAAAACTCTTCACATGATACCCACCTTAAATTGCAGTTTCCTCATGTAGTTCTTTCTGGTCAGGTTTTTGTTTTTCACCCAAAAACCCTCAAAGAGGTACATAACCCGATGCTTGAAGAAGACAACATCCAGCAGATACACAATGTCAGCACAAAAGTCACAGGCCAGCCAGATGTTGGTGTTCTCCTTGGTCTGGAAGGGGAACGAGGAGCGCAACGGGATGACCCAGGCGTTATAGAGGAAGGATAGCGATACAACGCATAGCCAGGAGATGTAGATTTTGCCCTGGGGATCCAAGGTACGCTCATCATTATTGGCGCCGCACAAACTGGAACAAAGCCACACATTTGACCGTGGAGTATCTGCCTCGAAGAGCCTCCCTCGGTGCGGGGATTGACCCGCTGGCACCAGTCGCACCTTGTGCTGTGGAGAAGGATGAAGACTCTTGGTTGGTGGTGGTGATGGTGAACTGGCGGTGCTGCTGGACGAAGGAGTTGGTGGTAGTTCAATTCGGGACTTGACCTTATTAGCTCTGGCTGTAAAGCGGCGGACCAAATGGCGAACTTGGTCGCGGAGGAACTGCTGACCCTGGGAGTCCAAGCTACCAGCGCTACTTGGCTTGCGGTGCTCCAGGTCCATATCCACATTCATTTCCGTCTCCGGTTCATTAACTGCCACGATCTCGCTGTCATTAATTGAAGGTGTTCCATTGGCTCGCTCATTGCGATCGTCGTTTTGCAGTTCCGGCGATTCGTTGTAACAGATTTGCACATCCTGTTCATCCTCGTCGATAATTGGTTGGGATTCCCCTTGATGCATAGGTGAATTCTCCTCCTCTTCCTTTGGTAGAACCACCTGCCCAGTGGCTGCTGCCAGCTCCTCTGCTCGCTGAACAGCAATCGGATCGGGGACAACCTCGGGAACAGCTCCTGGTAGTGGAACCATTTCGAAGCTCTCCTCAAGCACTCTCCTCACACTATCTGGACTTACTAGAGGCTTTTCATGATGTAGGATGTGCTTGACCAGAGCGTGAGTGGCACCCACATTGTTCTGATGCTCTGTGGAGTCCACGCAACCGATTTTTCCATTCCTAAAGTACAATCTGGAGTAATAGAACCGCGGGCTACCCGGACGATGACGTCTGTGCGGAGTCTTGTAGACATTTATCTTATAGGTGCACTTTTTGACCGGACTGGGACACTTGTTTTCTTTGTTGGCGTAGAGAACCTTGTCCTGTTCCTTCTCCTTCTGCAGCAACTCCTCAGTGGCACTGACGAACTGTTCGATTTCCTTGAGATCCTTGGTGATCTCCTCAAGACTTTTTCTGACCTGTGCCTCCTTTTCACCCGGACTCGAGTAGCGTCGGACGCTTTCCGGCTGCTGGTTAATCACATTTCGCATGAAGGCATGCCGTTCCAGTGTGTCACAGAATTTCGGCTCCCTCCGTGAAGATGATGTGGAGGATGAGCTGCTCTGTGACCCAGAATGGGCGACTGGTGAAGTGGCCATTCGCTTAAGGAGTGGATGATTTAGCTGTACCGAATGGAACTCGTCGTAGGCAAAGTTCTCTAATATATTCGGGGATGACTTTAACAATGATGCACTCGCCTCCGACTCGAGCTCCTCGCTTTGGCGACTCACCTGCAAATGAATGAATGAGCCGCACGTTCAGTCGATTGAGGGTCGGTTTTTTAGTAACAAATAAAAACAAGGCGAACCAGCACGCAAATGCAATAAAAACAACAAAAACGGGGGGACAGTAAGTGTGATTCGCATGGTAATTGCCACGAGACACCCGCACAACAGCGGCTTGAAGTCGCTGGAACGCCAAAAGCTCATCCATCGAACACTCAGCCTATGGAGTATAAACCTAAGGGGTTGCGGGTTCAACTAATCGAGCAGGATTAACTCCTTGAACTCGAGTCCTTCTCAGGATACTTTGAACTGTGACTGATGTTAAGGTTGAAGCTAAAATAGCTTTCAACAGTTTTCTAAAAATAAATACATTTTCCTAATATAAATTAAACTTATTATAAAAACGGGAAAACGGACCTGGTTGGATGCTACTTTAATGAGTCTTTTTCTTTTACTTTAAAGAACTTAAACCGTTACAAGAAATAAGAAATTTTAAGTTTTTTACATTCTGTGTATACATTTTTGGTCAGAGCTAGCCAACTAAACTATGTCATCAATCATCTACATAGCTTTTTCACTTCATTCATCTCTTATGTCGTCATCTCCTACATCTCATATTTCCATTTCATCTAAAATAACCTTTTCCCAAATCCATAAAAACATCTTAGCATTGACCATAGCTTACCTTGCGAAAACGTGCCATGCTGGACATTTGTTGACCGACTTGCCAGCGGACAAGTTCAGTGTCACCGAAGGGTTCAGGGTCGTTAGCCTGCCTCTTGGCCTGTAATTAAGCAGGGAAAAGGAACGAGTTTAGTTTGGTGCGTGTTGCACACGGCGTATGATTAATGTGCTGAGTAGACACGCAAAACGCAATGCACTTGACCTTATCAAGTGTTATCTACTCAGCTTATTGCTTTTGCCTATCCATATGCTCCACGCACTATTGATTTTTCCAGCTGTTGCAGCTTGGAGTGCGCTCTTCTTTGTTTTTCCTCTGGTGGCTATTCTTTTGTTTGCTGATAACGCACCTCAACAGGTGGTTGAAAATTGGTGAAAAGTTTACCTGGACTTTTACAGGTATTTGGTCAGCACGGATTTCTTTTTATAGTTTTGTGGACTCTTTAACTGTGAATTTTTGATAACAGTTGTCAGAAACATACTCTTCCTAGTCCCTGGTAGAATTATTTTAATGGAGGAACTCGATCCTAGTCACCATTCGTCGATGCAGAAGAAGATAAACTGGTCAATGAAAGGCGGGACATCTATATAGTTAGACCAAACAATGTTAACGCAGGCGCTCTTTGCTTGATGAGAATACAGTGGGGCAAAAGTAGGCAAAACTGAACCAATTTTTAGGAATTTAAGTACAGCAAATATAGGAAAGCTAAGAAAGTAATGAAAATGTTCTTAGTTTTTGTTTTCCCTGCTAATGTGTTTTCATTAATGCATTAAAATCTGTGTCATAAATTTAAATTATCATTTAGGAAAGCTTGCAATAAACTTTGAGCTTCTTGCATTCACTCAAAGTTTCCCTCAAAGGAAAAGCTCATCACAATTTCTAGCCAATCCCCAAACAAGCCCAAATAAATCACACCAATGCGTTGTTAAGTTTTCACAATTTTTTATATATTTTTTTTAAATATTCCATTCAGCTCTACATTCACAATTACATATTTGTAATATTGGGTTTTCTTTTGTTTTCCTTTTTAAATTACATAATATATATATTTAAATATATATTTATGTATATAGTTTAAAATGTATGTATATATATATAACTTTTGCTTTCGAATCGAGGGACTCAGAATTCAAATTCAAATAACTTGATGCGATCGAAAGTGGCTAAAGGAGGGAAGGAGCGGGGAATCCCCTCGTTGGGGGCAGTGGGCTGCATGTGTATAAGAAGAGTGTCATACATATAGATACATATATACGTACAAACCTAGAATATAAAGAACAGTTGACTGGAAATAACGTGTTTGTGTGAGTGTGTGATTTTTCACTTCTTTAACTTAGTTTTTGTTTTTATGGTTTATGCTGTGTGTGTCTGTATGTTGGCATGTATATGTGTGTGTGAGTGTTTTCATGTTTATGGTTTTAGTGCATATTTAAAGATTTAAGGTCTTAATTCATTTTTTTTTTGTATGGTTTTTCATATTTTTTTGAGATTTTTTAATTAAGTTTTTTTTTGTTGGTTTCCATTTTTGTGGGTTTTCTTTTTGTCACTTAAAAAATTACATTAATAAAATGTATTTTAAAACTTATGCAGAAAAACGTTGCCCATGCCCGGTGGCTGCAACCGTTTACTCGCTCTCGTCCTCCTCCTCCTCCTCGGAAGACTCTTTCTTCTTGGCCTTCTTGGCGGGCTTGGCGGCCGCCTTCTTTCGCTTCTTGGGCGCTCCCGAATCGGTACCGCCATTGGCCTCGTACTCCTTTACCGCCTTGTTGTACTCCTCCTTCATCTTGATGGCCTTCTGTTCCCATTCCTGTTTTAATAAGTTGAGGAAATATTTCAGGCATTAGTAATCATGCTGGTGGTTATCTGGTTCGCTGCCTCTACTTACGGTCTTATCCTTCAGTCCGCGCCAAAGTTCACCACCTCTTTTGGCGATGTCTGTCACCTTGCTGCCGGGATTATCCTTCTTGATCTGTTCGCGGGTCTCGTTCAGCCACAGCATGTAGGCTGAAAGGGGACGCTTCGGGCGATCTCCACTCATGTTTGCTTCTGGTTTGGCTTGACTTCGTTCAAGGGAAATGTAAGGGCTGAGCTATTAATCAGCTGAAAGGAGAGAAATGAAGGTATTGATTAGGAAAAATCATTATGGAATTATAAAGTAGAGTTTACTATAATTAACTCTCTGTAGAAATGTGTACCTATACTTCTTAATGACTTTCTTAGATAGGAATTAACAAGAAATTCAAAATTTATAAAATATTATGCAAATAAATCCTAAAAGTCTTTTTCACAAAAATATATAAAAGCTGCCCATCAATCAACAAAAATTGATATATAAATTCCTGACTATTATTAAAACTTAATCCCTATTCCCCAGGAACAAAACAATTTGGCTTAATAAAAACGTTTTACTGAAATCATCGACTATTTCCATATGTTTACCTTTTGCTTTCCTGACTCGGCCGATTGAATATTCAATAATTGCATTTTGGGCGGTGCGCAAACAGGCCTTAATTAAATATGCCTGCCTGTTCACCGATGCACAGATACGACCCGGGGCCTTAACCTCGCCCCTCATTTCCACCTCCCACACGCCCACGAAAACCAATGGAATGAAATACTTTTAATACATAATCCTTGCGGCTTTATATAACCCCCTATATAATGGCTATTTATGGCAGCAATATTTCCAATTAATTGTGGGTGTCAATTTCTTGTACATAGCTATGTATATACCTTATGTATTGGCATTTAATTGCTGTACATACCGCAGGGGTCGACGACCCAAAAAGGATATTTCGTTGCGGTGCCAGTGAACCCATGACTTTAAAGCACCTTTTCGCCTTAGCAAATCAGCTGGGAGATGGCATGCAAATGAAGCGACAACGATGACGACGACAATCTGCCCCCCAAAACAACAGCCATGAGCCATGAGCTGCCATGCACTTGACCCAAATCCCGGAATTCAGCGCAAAATGCACGAGAACGAGACATCGACAGGCACAGAAAACGGTTTGCGAGGGGGAAGGAGAAGCAGACGGTGGTAGACGGAGGAGCATAACGACGTGAATTGGGTTAACAAACGACTCACTCGAAAGCGAAGGAATCTGCGGCCTGAGGACCAAAATGGGAGGTAGGTGGGAGTAGCGCATCAATCAGGCAGCCGCCATCGCACATTGCAGATTGCACAACATCCTCGTTTGGCCAGTGGCTGGGAGGTAACCCCCCACTACCCCGCTCACACAAACACAAACAGAGTTGGTACATATATATGCAGTATCTGCGTATCCTGTGTCCAGGAGCAACAGGAAAACGGCGGCAAAATTGTTGCTAGTTCAACGCGGGCACAGACACACGCATCCAGAAGATAGACGGATGATGGCTTCGCATATTGCGGCAACACGTGATGCAGTCAGGATTCCGCACCGTCACACTCCCCCTTGTGTATGTGTATACAAATATATATATATATATATCTTAACGCAAGGAGGGGGTCCACCTAGAAAATCGAAAGCGAAAACCATTTCCCGTCTGTGTACATGCATAGTTGGTTGGGCAAATATATCTGTATCTGTTGTTCTGCGCTGTGTGCTTGGTTTTTCCTCTGCAAACGCGACCAACAAGGTGAAAACATATTCAGCATGGTAAAACATACACAGGGCTTAATGAAAATACAGCGACGGCTGCTTGATTTTACCATCCTCAACAACTTTATAAAGAAAAGTAAGAAAATTGTCATTTATAATAATAGAAAATTACAAAATTATGATTTTTAATTGGAAAAAAGAAAAAAAAAATTATTTAAAGAGTAAACTCTCCTCTTTGTGCAAGAACTTAAAAACGTTTTAATACACACTTTTGAAAGTTGATATAATATTTTATACGAAAGTACTACTTCTATAGAGATTATCTTACTGCTATAAAGATTATCTAGATAAGCAACTATTTCGCAATAGCCTTTCGTAAATTCAAGATCTTCAAACTTAAAACATAGTTCAAGTCATAATTCCCCTAATTATCTGACAACTCATCCATATTGTTAATATATTTTGAAGTATTACGCATACGCAACGTTGGCAACGCGGCACATTACGCATACGCAACGTGTTGCGACCGCCCCTTGTGCATATGGCATAATGAAATCCCAGACTAACGGCAAACAGAACCCACACAAAAGGGACACAAAGGACATTAAACGGAATACAAAATAAGGAGCTGGAAAAACGCAAAGCCTTTTCAGTGGAAAACACAACTGCCATTTTGTCGATCTAAAATTGAAAAGCAGACGTCGACGTAGGCAGCAACAGAGGCAGCGACCGAAGCAGCGACTGAGACAGCAGCAGCACCAGCAGCGACACCAACTGAAGCAGCGACGTTGACGTCAACTGAGAGACAACTGACAACGCTTATCTGGCCAACTGTATGTGTTTATGGCGTGTGTTTTTAATGCCCCGTCCGGAGGAGAGACTTTCCATGCAGCACCACCAGTACAAATAGCAACCACCGTACCACCGAGCCACCGGGGAAACCATCGAAAACCACCCAAGCCACCCAGAAATACCCAACGAAATATTGGCTTGCCTGCAGCAGGAAGCTTGTGCGCAGAACCAGCATTTTAGGGTAGATACTTTCCCAGGGATTTGCGCACTGGATGGCGTCTATGTGTTTTCGCTGGAGAGCACGGAACGCACAGTGGTGACTTTTAACAGGGGAATACATAACCCTGATAATGCCTTCGTTTAATGGTCGTATTTTCAATATCACCCATTTCGCGCAGTGTACAGTACAGTCGGGGCAAAAATCAAAGGGTAGGTAGGTCAGCCATAAACTGAATCATCACAAAAATAGAACACTAGATGGCGCCATGATTGATTAAATCAATTATATATCAAGAGATATTTTTTTATATTTACTAAGTAATTATTATAAGTTATATGTTAAATGACATAGTCATGCATGTACTAAGGTATCTTTAGGATACAAAGGATGTTAATATGTTGGTTTTTGGATAAATTAAAGTTACTAATGCACATCCCTTGAATAAAAACAAGGTTTTGATAATGTAGCGTACGCCATTTAGACGTTTTTAAAAATGGACAAAAGATGAAATAAAATATTTTAAAAAAACGATATGTAAAAAGGTAATTTTACAAGAGTATCACAAAAACCTCAAGCAACATTAAAAAAGGAACGATAAAACCGGAAGTGAATCATGAAATATTTAAGAAAAACAAAAGTAAAAAATTCATTAATTTTGCTACCAAATTGCAATGATAACCCCCAACCAACAGTATGAGAAAAGAGAACTTTGCCTGATATCGCGAATCTGAGAAAAGAGCGGGAAAAGATACGATCGGCTGTGACTTTTGACGGACACCAGCAGAATTACCACCATTGCCATATAGATTAGCCATATAATCGTAGACGTATTCGATTAGGAACCAGCACAAAAGTGGCGCGAAAAGAGCTTTGTAACTGTAAATGCCCCCTAGAAGCTTTGCCGCTCTATCGCGCTCTCCCTCGCCTTATCGGTGTGTGCGTTCTTTTTTCTGGTTGTGTGAGTCAGTGGGGGGACTGAATGACAAAACTTTTGGCGCCATTTTTAGTTTGCAATCGAGAGTGCAGCACGCAAAGCGCTAAAAAAAATAACAACAAAACAGGCACGCGACGGGAAAACGAGAAAATAACGAAAATAACAATCGAATGCCGCCTAGGAAAAGTTAATAGGTGAAAATCGACTGAACCAGGGTCAAGATCCGTCGCGATCAGCAATGATACGTTATTAAAAGAGATTTTTTATAGAAAAACATAGAAAAAAACACGACCTTTAAGTACTAATTAATCATGTAACTAACGGGAAGAAAGCCTTTTGACCACTCCAGATAGCAGGATTAGCTCTGCTGTCCATGCACCAAGTGGAAAATGCCAAGGAAAAGGGCTGAGAACAAGAGAAGCCGCAGATGGCGACAGGTGGGTGGACAGCGGGTGGCCATTTCCCGAAGGTGAGACCCAAAGCCGATCAGAAATCAAGAGCCCCAGCAAGCAGGTGCGACTGAAAGTGACTTGCACTGGGGAATGTTCCACAGCCAGCGGATGAGACAACAAACTACACTGGCCAAACAGAACTTTGATCGTAGAAATAAATGATACATTTTTATAAAATGTGAAGAGTGATAATATTTTTTAAGAATAATTTGGAGCTCAATTCTGCATACATTTACATCTTCATTTGGGAATTTATCTAATTTATTATTTTTTATATTTTTAAATGCCCTTTAAAGTTTTAAAATTTTCAAATATTTTCCCTCATAAAATTTGCCGGAATGTCATAAATATATCATTTAGAAACTGATAACAACGTGCACTCAACATTTCTATCCGATATTTACCCTTCAAAACACTGACTGACTCAATATAATTGCGGTTAACGAATTAATCAAACAATCTCTCGTATCAGCATTCAGCTAAGCACTGTTTTTATCAATTAAAATTTCATCAGTAAAGCAAGTTACAAATAGAAAACAAATATAAATGAGAGGAACTACACCAAAGAAATAAAATTTCTATTTAATTTGATCACCAAAACCATTTAGAAAATTAAAATATTAAACTAATTGACTCAATTCATTTCTCATCACACTAAATGAGTTTAAATAATTTAACAAAAATAAATAAACATGATTAACACTGGGACTAAAACCTCTACTAATTTCATCATAAACGAACTATTAGGCAAACCACAAAACTATCTTTAATCACATGATTTAGATTCTGAAAGAACCTACGATTTACATGTCACACAAAAACCTTGTAAACGTCAATTAATAAGTTAAACACATAACCGAACAAAAATATACATATTTGCGCGCACATGATATCACTTCAATCAAAGATTAATGCCTGACCGACTAATTTGACGGCGAGTGTAAATGCGGTTGGCCAGCAAAAGTGCAGAAATCGTATGAAAAATACTCGTATTGCCCATATCTACGTACGTACTTTGCCTTGTCAGTGTGTTTACTTCACTCCTCTTGGCCTGGCCGTGGTCTGGCTGTTCAGATACTTGTACTGGATACTGGATACTGGGTTTTCAGTTTTCGGTACTGGCACTACTGCTCTGTGCCTGTGAAAATTGCCTCGCACGAACTGAACTGAGACTGAACGAAATGTACTGTGCGGTGTGTACTGGCTGCTACTGCGAGCGTCTATAGGCAAGCGAACTGAACTGAAATTCAACTGAAGCAGCTGTACCAGGCAATGGCCATAGCCAGCCGCCATACAGCCAGCCATACAAGCTATACAGAAACCCAACCAAACCGAACCGAAACCGAAACAGAAACACACATAGAGGCAGGCGTAAGGCAGAGAGAGAGGCGAGGAGTGGTGAAGAGCGAAGGGGAGGGCATACAGGCAGCACAGCACAGCACAGCAAAAGCAAAAGCAAAAGCAAACGACGAACAGCGAGACCATCAAATAGCACGGAGTACGTACGTACAGGCGGCAGCCAAAGCAAAAGTATCTGTATCTGAGAGTCGAACAACCCAGCCAGCCAGCCAACCAACCAACCAACACACAGGGCAAATCGGGGTAGGCGACTGTATGCGAACAGTGGCGGGCCTTCGGGTGTGTACGGCTCATTCGAGGAGACTCATTTGCGTGGTCGCACACTGGTGGGCCCGTTAAATTTGAGGTACAGCGCATGCACAGTAGAGGCACAAAATATTGAAAATACTATTTAAGAGCTATTAAATTTAATTAAGTTATAAGTTAGGGGCTTTAAAAAAAACATTTTAAGATTGCGACAAGAGACAAAACTTTTTGTAATTTTATAAAATTTTAAAAAATACAGTCTCCCTTAAATTGTCTTTAAAATAATCTCAACTTATGTTTATCTCAAACCAAACACTCTAAAATTCAACAAGACGCGCATGTTCCGACTATTTTTGCCGCGACTGTACCCTGTTTGTTCATATAAAAAGCATGGAACTGTGAGAACGAATTGCCAGTAGTATTTGGCGGCGCCGCTTTCCCCTCTCCACTCTCCCCTCCCCCCTCTCCTTTAGTCAATATCCCACAGCTCGTCAAAAACGTCGTCACTGCCGCCCACCTGTACCGCCCACCTCGTCCCGCAAAAATTAAAAAAACAAAAAGCACTCCTATTTCCAACAATTTCTTTTACATTTTGTCTTTCATCCAATTATTAACTTGTTAAAAGTTTGCTGCGAAATAAAAGCAAAACTTTGATTTTTCCAAAAAAAAAAATATATGTTTAACCTAGAATATTGATTTGACATTTACATTTCAATCGATTGAGTAATCAGCTAAACGAATAAGCTCGCACACTACTCAATGCGTTTGCATTTCAAAAAATAACCGTCAATATTTCGCGCGCGCCCTCCATTCAAAATTTCAATTCAATACGAGCACGAGATGTGGACGAAAGCCACCTAACCAAAGGCGAAAGCAATGCCACAGAGCTCTATGTGGGCACCATCAAGTAGTGAGTTGTAGTAGAGTGTATAACCCACGCTGCGACACCAAAAAATTGGGTCGTTTCGTTTATTTAGCAAAATTTATATAATAAATGGCCATCGTGGCGCTCGTTCTTGGCCAGATAATTGAGGCGAGACAATAACGAATCAATCGTAGTGAAGCACTTAACACTCACCCGTATGAAAATGTCGCGTAATTTGCGTTTTAATTGCAGCAAATCGGTAAAATCTGCTCGATTTTTGGTTCAGTATCTGCTATACTGGCTATACTGGCTGAACTGCTGTACTGCTGTACTGCCTTGTGCCTCTTGTTCACTGTATAAAATTTTCTTTCCACTGAAAACCCAAGTCGCTTGAGCGTACGTAGTACAGCTTTTGCCTTTGGAATATGAAATACACAGAGTAGAGTGAATGCCAGAGCCCAGAGCCATACGGCCATACACGCCATATAGCTCGAGTACGACGCAAACGCAGGCAAACTGGGGCCTTTCGTTGTATGCGTGCCGAGTATCTGTGTGTCTGTGTATCGCTCTGCTCGTTGGCACTCACAGATACAGAACGTTTCCCGTGTCCGTGTGTATCTGGCCTGGCTGGCGAATCCACAGATGTATGGGTTGCTTTTCGCTTTGGGTCTGCTGGGTTCGTTCGTTCGTTATATGAACACACAGCACACAGCACAGCACACAGGCGGCAGAGCAGATGGACGGGCATGGGACGGAGAGGGTGGCGGAGGTATCAACGGCAAGAGCGCAGAGTCAGAGCATTGAACATGGCCGCCTGGTCTTGGTCTGGCTTGCCTGGCCTCTGATTCGCTTTGGCCGACGTTTTCTCATGTACCTATCGCCTTTTCAGCTGAATTTTGGATCATTTTATCACTAACATGGGGTGTACTGGGTATGAGAAAATGTTGGGGAATTAGTTATGCATCGAATGGCATTATAAATTTGTTGATTTGTTATCTACAAATGTGAGTTTTAGTGCCTTTTATGCTAAAAACTATTACAATATTAGTGGTATTTCTATTTTTTATTGCCATTTTTTAATTTTTTACAACTGTCATATGGGGTACTGGGTATGGGGCAGTTATGAGAAAATATATAGCCTAATAATGGCTTTTCAATATCATATAAATTTTAATAGAAAATTCATAGTTTTAGCCCTTATATCCCAAAAATATTTTATAAATTAATATAAAAACCTGTTTTTTTTAAATATTACTTTGTATAACTGTGTTATAGGTTATACTAAATATGAGTTTATTTTGGCCATATTTTTATTTATTAAATGGTATTTAAAGCTATAATATTTAGTATCTAGAAACTTACGTATTTGATTATTTCTATAATAGTATCTTTTACTTGAGTTTTGCCAAAGAAAATGTTTTTTATAGGTATAATGTGATGCACCTTATGAAGAAATTAGATGGGAAAGTATAAAAATAATAATTTCTTTACATTTATTAATAAATACAAATTTAAATAAGTAGAAACTGTTATGTTTTCATTTTCTGCCTGGAAATACTTGGTATGGAAAAATGTCGCTAAAATACGAAGATAGGTCACTAATCAGTTTTTGTCATGTTATAAAACAGAGTTGAGTTTTACGGGCTATATAAGTTTCTAGTAAAATGGATGTATGTTTTCGTTTCTAAGGTGCACCTGATACAAAGAATATTTAAGTCTTATGTATAAGCCAATTTATCGGTAATAAAACTATTACGATTTAGTTTATATAGCATTTTAATATATTTTTATGTGTATTTCAAATCATTATCCTGAAAAATATTCTTAATTTTTTTAACAAGACTAGGATAAATTTCATTAGAAAATTATTAGTAGTGGATAGTGGATCAGTGGAGCGTTTTGTGATATAATTGGAAAAAAAAAACGGTTTTTACGATAATCTTGAAATAAAAGCTTAAATATAAAATACATTTTTAAGTATTTGAGAATTTTTAACATTTTTCATGGATTTAAAGGTGGTTAAAGCAATTTTAAACCTCTCAATGTATCCAAATGACAGTTTTTATAAAAAAAAAACAATAAAAATAAATTACTTTTAATTTTCTCATTACAAACAACATATATGTAAAATTGCAATACTGATTCATGACAAAAATACCATGAGATAATAACTTTTTTAAATTATTTATAAAATATTTTAATTTAATAACCACAAAGATTAGGCCGGGTGTAAAATTACAATAATCACACATCAGCGAAATGACATCAGATTTGGTGTTGAAAAGGGCCTTATCTAATCGAGAAAAGTGACAGCCAACCGTTGAAAATGGGGCCATGAAAAAGGGCAACCCTCGAGTCGACCAGTCCTGCCTGTTTTTCGTTCGCCAGTATCTCGCTGTATAGAGCCGTAGAGCTGTAGACCGCAGTACAGCACGGCTGGTAGCTACAGCTAAATACGAAAATACGAAGCGAACGAGTGTCTGAAGGGGAGTCGGTGCGAGCGAGACGGGGCAGCGGGTGCGAGGGAGAGAGGGAGAGGCGGTCGTTCCACATACGCGACTGTGCGCTGTGTGCGACTGTATCTGAATCGGAATCGGAATCTGAATCTGTATCTGCCCGAGTGCGAAGCAAACACAAACAACGCACAAAACCAACGAGCTCGATTCGCTTTGGTGTAGGGTATACGAAATGGCAGTGGGACAATCTGGACCCGGTCTAATGATGAACCGCTCAACGGATTAACCAGATTTCAGATTCCTGATGCAACTACCAGTGATAATTTCGCATTGAGAAAATATGATCTAGCCCTCTTTATTATGGAATTTATTTTACTATCTTTCAGATAAGAAAGGTTGTTAGTATGGTCACCTGAAAGATACACATTGACTAGGCAACAAGCTGAAGATCTTAATGCTTCGAGGAACTATTAAAGTTAAACGATATTTGAATTTATGGTTTCATTGGAAGATCGTATAATCAAATGATATTCAAAGTGTCTGCAAAAATTAAAATAATTTGATTTTGTATACAAAATTATTCAGGTAGTAACAGTTTGCTAAATTAAAAACCCATAAAAGTGACAAACTACCATGAGAAGTCGTTTAAAAAAGAAAAATTGCTCATGTTTATAATATTTTTTGTCAAATAGTTAGTTAATAATAATTGAAAATCAAATACTTCATTATTTGTATAGACAATTTTACTGTCCTTTGATATAATCTATGAACACAGAACATACTCAAACTTTGGAAAGGGCTTTACAAATCTTTTAAAAGCGATCTTTATCCCATCCTTTAAGCACTCATTTGTGGTAGGTAAACAGAATTAGGTATATCATTAATCAAGATCTACATTAAAATGCAAATATCTTTTAGAAACTTTAAGCTACGGTATCCTTTGATGGGACAAACAAGGTAACGAATTTTACAGATCATTGACCTCAACCCAAAGCAGTTCCGGGGTGCCTATACAGAAAGGGGTTGCTGTGAAACGTTCGAGTATTATATACTAAATCCGTAAAATATTATAATATTCCAAGATCCAGAAATAATGCACACTTTTTTAGCGTCGCTCATTGGTCCCACTGTGGCAGTGGGTCGGTCGATTATTATGGTTGTTTGTCGTCTCATTTCAGCCGTGTGTCTGTGTAGCATGGCACACCGAGAGCCTTCCACTGCCATGAAGCCAACGGCCCGACGGTTGATATCGCCGGGGGATGGTGGGTTGAGGGGGGTGTATTGGGTGGGCTCTGATGTTATGTCTCGATGTTGGTTTCAGTTTCAATTCCAGGGCCGGGGGGGAGGTGAGAGACCCAAGCGGGCTGCAGTCGGCGGACCGACGCTACTGGCGGCGACTTTCGGTGGTGGCAATTGTCGGCCAGGAGTGGATATGGAAAAAGGGGTCTCTTGCCGCTCACCAGGAGGAGTAGAGAAAAGGGGGGTTTCGCTTTCGGGAGGAGTATGCAAAAACGAACCAGCTAACGAGCCGAGCGAACAGGCGACGCTTCATCGAAATGGGGACGCATGAGGCGCACATTTGACAGGATGTGGATATAACGAGCCTGAATGCGTATGTACTTGGGTAAGCGAGAGCATTGGAAAGCATTTCGATCGAATATTAGATGCTCTATGGAGTTCTCACTAAAAACGAGATGGATATAGTAGTGGTCTTTAGTATGCTAATTATAAGATGCAACTACAAACTTTCCTACAATCTCTTTATTTACAGATTTTATTTACACAAAACATTGGAACATATTTTCAAATATATTATTAAATATATATTAAATTAGTATATATATCCTTGGAAAGTATACTTATGTTAAAAAGTTTTCTGAAGTTCTTTCTAAAAAAGTTCCCCTCTTATTAATATAATAAATACTAATTAAATAATCAAAGGCTTAAAACTAAACCAAGTTATTAAAACCCTACGTAACATCCTAAATCCACAAGCATATGCAGTAAATACCCTACATAACACATTCTTCTTTTCTGCCACATTCTGCAGCAACTTTTCATCTTGGTAATGGCTTAAGAGTATAGAAGGCCTGGGTCCTTTTTGTGTGCACTAAGCATTCCTGTATGAGATCCTTGATGCCATGGTCTTCCTCTATGCCATATCCCCTGACCCTGCTGCTGCTGCTTACCCGGCTTAGGTTGATTCCTGCTGCCTGGACTTGGACATGCGACATGAGAATATGGAACCTGGCTTCGTTTCGGTCGGTAGACGATTACGAGTACGAATACGAGTATGTGCGGATTGGAGGGTCGAGCATTTTGTGCCTTTCATGGAACTGAAAGTAAGTGAATGTGGCCAGCACACAGACGCATACAGTGCTGGCATATCCTTATGCAGACAATCAGGAGACTGAAGTACTCACAGCAGGATGCAGGCAAACATCCTAGGAACAGGGGATACGGTATAAGGAACACACGGGGCACTTGTTGTTGCCGCTCCTTAACGTTGCATCCTTCTTGCCCATCCTACTTCAACCAATATGCTTGGCATATGGACTAAATTTACTTGCTCCTTGCCTTTTACCGTTACGTTTTACAGAGGGTCTTACTCTCTTCGAGGGAAAATAACTTTTTGGCGCCACTTTTTGTAGGGGATCGTTTAGTTGTGAATATGATGGGGCTAATGAAGTTACGATTTCCCCTTCGAAATTGATTATGTAATAAAGTCATACGCGAAATTCATTAATTTAAATTGCTCGTTTAGTGTGACTGAGTTATTAAAGGGATATGTTCTTTTTTAATTTTGTATTTTTCAGTAGTAATAAAATTCAAGTTTTAAAATTCTTAATGCTGGGATACTATAAAATCATGTGAGGATATTTCCTCTTTAAACCATTTTTTTCCTTCTCTTTTTGATGCTTTAAGTTTTAAGTTTTAATACTTTAATATATTCTTTTTCCGAGATGACTGAATATCCCTTCGAGCAAAATGTGGATTATTGTATGCTTTTCTCATCATCTGGAGATTAAGTATCAGTTAGTTAAGCACAAGATATTGGATGAAAAAAGTAATCCGCTTTTAATTGATCCTTTAAACATCTTCTCCATGCTTAATTTCCTCCTGATATCCAAGTGGGAGTCAATGGCACCTGCATACCACATTCAAAATCAGAATCCATTTTACCTTTAATGCTTTTCGTTCTGAATCAGATTCTGATTCTCTTTCGATTTCGGTTTCTGTCCCGTTTGCACCTTTGCACGATGCTCGTTTCTGTCCAACAGCTGATGACGATGCATGTGCGCCGAAAAGGGGGAAACCGGGACAGAACTGGGGAGCTCGCTAAATAATATGGATGACGATGGCCCGGCGACGTGCTGTTGTTGTTATTATTATTTTGCCAGCGTGCTTTGGATAGGTCTTGCCGGTCGCTAGCAACAACGACAACTGGATGGGAATGCGAATGCCCCCATCGGCCTCCACGGCCAAGTTCAGTATCTGTATCTTCGGCACATTCCATTTCCATGGGGCCTATTGTTGCACCACCAACCAACCAGGCAAAGGCGAAACCAACACGAGCAACAGGATTTGCTCCTTTGTGACCCAATTTAAAGCGAGGCGCTAGAGTGCAACTCTATTCCCTGGCCATGTGTGTGGGCGGACTACAGTCGAGAGTCTCTAAACAAAACAATATTGGTGCTTGTGAGGGTATTAACTGTTTAAATAAAGACTATTATGGCTCAACGAATTCTACAATGAATAATCACAACTTTTTGGGGTTTTAAAAATAAGATATATTTACTCGTATTCCGTGTTTAGTCCGAACAATTGCTTAAATATATTATTTTAAAAGCCACACCAAAGGCAAACACTTTACTATAGCTTGCTTGGGAACTTGGGTACTAATACTTTTTGCAAACAAAAAGTTACTTAAAAACTATTCCTGATTTAAATACGTCTTTTTTTCAAATTTAAATCCTTACAATACAGTAAAACAACAATATTTTACAGCATTGATTGAATCCTAAGTGACTTTTCTCCTCCTTAAACTGGTTAGAGAAGCTCCACTGCAGTTAAATCAGGTGAATTGGCCGAGTTCAATACCACCCGCTGTTTGTTTGATGCCATCGATCTTATCGGTTGCAAATTTGAAGGTCGCAGGTGAAGGCCCTGTGAAAACCGTTAAGCCCGACTTGGAATTTTGGGTAGGGTGTTATTATGTTGCGAATAAACTGGGCATTGCTGATAAGCAAAAACAACAACAAGACTCGTGTGTTTTGTTGTCGATTGTCGTCCGGTTTCAGAGTCTCCGTTTTCTCTCTTCTTGTGAAATTAACAGGCACACGCAAAGGGTGTGTATGTGTGAGGCTAAATGCGTCATGCTTACTGACAAATCAAAATCAAGTTATACCCACAATTGAATTTTAAAATATTATTTAACTAAGCAACCAATGTATTGAAATATACATAACGCATTACATTATGTCACATTTTACACGCACTTTACACGCGTGTATTTTACATAGCCCACCAACACTCAGACGTCGAGATAGAGAGAGAGATAAAGAGAGCAAGCATTCCTCAGTCGACGTTGGCAGCGTTTCCACATCGCCTTTGGTTGTTTGCTCTCTTCGTCGGCTTGCTATGCGGTACAGTACGGTTTGCTTTTGCTTTCTCCCACTGGCAATGGTCTCGCCGCCTGGCATTTCTGCTTCTCTGCTTTCCTGCTTTTCTTCCGGAGGCACTGTGAACGCACGCTAATTAGAACCAATAGAAACTGGAACTTAATTGAAAAATTATATTTTATATCAGTTGTCATCCTTAGATTTTTAAACAACAAATAATGATCTTACACAAAAAAAGTATTATGTATATACATAGGTCTTAAAAAATAACATTTATTAATACTTGATTTAGCCTTATTCTGTAGAAATGTTAAAACCCATAGCTTCGATTTAAAATAAAATACAAGCCAAAGCAATTAAAGTAAAACTCAGTTTTAAGAATCAAATGACTGGATTTTTTATTTTTATTATTAAGAAACCATTAAGGTCTTAGCTTAAATTTAAAATTAGGATTCCCAATAATTCCTATTTCGAGGCAATATATAACTTCAAGTGCTACATAAAAAACGCAGGACTCATAATTTTTTTAAATGGTTCCAAAGGTTTTCCTACAATTATATTCACAGATAAGTTTTAGGAATGATCTTTTTAAAAAAGATAACTCAGATAACGTTTTTCAGTTAAAAATATCCACATTTCCAGAGTGGCCGTTAATCTTGCGGCGCTCCATGGAGATCATATACTGGATCTTAGATTGCATCACCATAGCACTGTCCAAGGGCATATTACGGATTTGGGCAGCTACACTCAAGCCAAAATACGTGAATTCGTCTTCGCCTCGCAATCCAAGTCCTAATCCAACTCCATTTGCTTTTCCAGTTACCGATGATCCCAGACCCAACCCCACGATCTCACTCTTTTCAGAGAGGGAGCACGCTGTCGATTGGGGCTGTGGCATCTGAACAGGAGCTGGAAGTGGTGGAGCTGAGTTCATCTCTGTGATCTTGGGCAATGAGGGCGGTGGAGTAGGTGGCTCATCCATGGGCATGGGTGCTGGAAGGACAGTAAACAAGGAAGAGGGTGTAGGAAACGATGGTAACTCTGGGACAGAGCCTTCATCTGGATCGGGTTTGATCTCGGCTTGTATCTTGATAGGCTTCAGCCTTGTCAGACGAATCTGTAGACGCTTCAATTGCGGAGGGGCTTCCTTTTCCAAGTCGTTCTGGGAAAGGATAACAGAGAAGAAACGTAGATATACATAAATATTACACCAAAAACTGTAAAGCAAATGGGACAATACGTTTCTTAGTAAAGTTAAAGTAGTCGGTTATTTACGTAAATTCAAAGAAAACACTCGTTGACAATAGTTATAGAAATTAAGGCACTTATTATAAACTTTAAAATTATCCAAAAGTCCGAAAGACAAAATATATATATATTTTTTTTTATATTGTGTTTAGAGATTTTTAAATATTTTGACATTTGGTATTTCATTATTTTTAAGATCTAAGACGTTATATAGAAAAGTAGACAATGATAATCTCTTACCGTGTCCAAGAACTCTGCCAGGAATCCGTGAAGTGGAGCAAACCAAGGCGTCTTTGGGAAATATCCCGAAATAGTTCGGATCTTCTTCAGCTCCTGATGATACCCAGTGCGTAAATTCTTGATCTTCATCTTTACACCCTGGATGGTTAGGGATGTTTCGTAAGGCTCTATATCAGCATTGATCCCCGCCTGAATTCGCCGATAGGCGGCGTTTCGAGCTCGCCTTAAATAGGGTCGCTTGTTCCAGAGACATGGTTCCCGACCGTAAAGCTCCACGAACTTCACCGTACGCTCATCCGAAAATCGATAGGGCAGTCCGACCGCACCGGGCTGTACCGTAGTATTCATTTCCTAATAGATCTTTTTCCAAAATGCTTTCTATTCTCGAAGAAACCGCTCTGAAAATAGTCCCACTTGTCGAAAAGCACGAAAGATAACCTCTCCGGTAAGCTTCTGCTCGGCAACTGACATGCTTTCTGCTTTTCTGCTGCTTTGCTTGCTCCTCTCCTGGCTTGTCTCGCTCATCTGATGTTGCTTTAGTGATGCTTGCATATGAATTTTTTATACAATTTCGCTTTCACATTAACCTAGCTTTTTAAAAAGCACTAGAAAACTAACGCTGTTTTATATTATATTAGCATTTCTAGCACTGAAATTATTAAATTAGCATTTCTAGCACTGAAAATAACATTTTTGTCCCTCAAAAAGTTGAATAATAAGCTCAAATGCACGGATGTAGAGTTAAGAAAAGTTTCCAACTCCCAAAATCCCAAATAAAAGTTTGTAAACAATGATTTTTTGAAGCATTTCCAAAGCAAAAACGAAAGAAAATCGTGCTGACAATGTGCTTTGTTGCTTTTGCAGCGCTGCTTGAGAACGAGCAAGAGAGAAAGAAAAGGCGCAGGTCCGTTATTTGAGAGGCGCTCTTGATATCAGTGGCGTATCCAAAGGGGGCCTTTGTTGAGATTCCCAAAAACTATAATAATGTGATAACTTGAACTATTTCTGTCTCTTTAAATATTATTTTAAAAGGTTCGACATTACTAATTTGGTTAAAATGCAATGAAATTAGACAATATGGTTGTGGCTTTACCCCCAAAACCATATTGTCAAATTCAAGATTTCAATTCAAAGCATTTTAAAAGCTACCTCCGTTTAGCGCTAAATTTACAAACATTTAATAAACATGTATGTTAATGTATAAGATTTTAAGCAATTAAGTACTTAAGCTGATCCCTCATATTTAAATCCTATAAACACCCATGTAATCTTAAATTTACATACACATTCATACACTCAAACATAATAAAGCTGAATTGAAGTTGTTGAACGTACATATGCTTTGCCTCTCTCTTTTGCAACTTGAGTCGGTAGAATTTGATCGCCAGTGTATTGAATTGAGCATTAACAGCAGCTGTTAATTAACAGTTAGCATTTTCGCCTTTGCGTTTTTGCGTTAATATTACATTTCAAAGCCTTTGAAACAATTCTTTGTACTAATGCGCTCCTCATGCAATCTAGATGCAACGGAATACAGTTTCTACCCTTCAGGTAGGTTCTATCATCATCTGCCTGTTTTTCTTTTCCTTTGCTCTAGCTGCTTCCCTTGTCTTGCTTTATCCTTGGCTATTGTGAACTTGCAACAGCGCGTGACATCGTTATCCTTTGCAACGCCTTGAGGAAAAACTGCAGCGACAATTCCGGGATCCATCTATTGTTCCCGTTTTCGGGCATTTACCATTTGATTGTGGGAAAATGCATGACAGCATCTGCCGTCGAAAATCTTGCCGAAATGTAACGGTTATTTCCCTATTAGGATATGGTTTTCGTAATATTAAAGTAAATAATGTGCAGGGCACAGTTAAAATATATTGCATGATGCATTAAATAAAATTTCTTCTATTGTTATATTATGTTTTCGATCCTCCGATATTTTATTTTGAAAGGAATTATTAATGAGAATAAAGTATTAATTTTAATACAAATCTTAACACTTTTGAATTAGTAACAATATTTTAAGAATTTTTAAATTTTATACATTTATATTTTTTGTTTGTTTTCATATTTCATGATTTAAAAAGAAAAGTAGGGCGTTTGTCAGTTCATCTGTTCGAATATTTATAGGGGAAAAATCATCATACAGGTGAAAAAATCGTCAAGCAAAGGAGAGATTAAGTCGTATTACAGTTGAACCGAAGCAAAGTTTTTAAAAATAAGTAATTTTAAGCAAGAAAGTAAGGTTACATCAAATACATAATATATACATGCATATTTATTTTTAAAAGGAAAATATTTTTTAAAGTTTTATTAAATATTTTTGTTATTAATATTCCCTGCTGTTTTCCGAGGCAATTGCTGCATATAAAATTTGGCGCCATTTTTAAATAGCGACCCTCGTTCTTTTTGTGGTATGCTTACTATTTCAGCGAGACGGTTGCTCTGGTTTCCTCGCAAGTATGCGTACATGTACATAAGTGAAAAAATGAATGTTGCAAAATATTGTTATCTTTATCAGGAATCGAAGGGAAATTCGCATTTAATTTGCTATTCCCATCTAGTTTGTCTATTATTACGGCAAACGCATTTTCCCAGCTTAGCGTTTTATTTGTTTTTACATGCCATTTATCATTTTCCGTTTTGCTCACCATCGCTGAGAGAGAGAGAGGGAGAGAAACGCTTGTCATTCTCAACTCTCACTAACACAAGAAACAGCTGCATCGCCGTCGACGTCGCTGCCAGTCGGCATATCCCTCTACCTACTCGATTTCGTACTTTTCGTTCTGCCGACAGACGCGTTGTTCCGTACAGTTCGATTTGGGCATCACAAGAGCAAGGTTGGTTTTCTCTACTCAGTTCTTAAAAACATTGTGCAAAAATATTATTTATAAAGTATATTAAAATATGTTGTTACATATAAGTTAAAAGTGCAAAGAGTTATGAAGCAGAAGAGTGAAATTGCAGTTTAACGGTGTGCAATAAGTTGTGAATAATCATCAAGCAAGCAGCGCGTGTCTGTACCCCAAGGCAAAAAAGAAGAGCAGAGAAAGCGTTGCCATTTTCGCTTTGACTTCTTTTCTTTGCTCCCTGCTTCTTAGGCCTCGCCTCAAAATGGCCGCCAATGCCACAAATTAACGTATATTTCCGCCCACAAAACTAGCAATTCACAAAAGAATTTATTTTTTAAATGCTAGTCTAAACGCGCGCCTTTTCCGCTTTACTATTTCCTATAAGATATGCGTTTTTGTGCATTTGTTTTTACCCGACATTTAGCGTTTTCTCTTTTAATTCGCCGGTTCGGTGAGAGAGCGAGAGAGAGTCGGCATTGTGCTCTCAGCGAGAGAATGTGAGCTGTAAGAGTACAGCTAATTTTTTGAAACTTATTGGTTTGTTTTGTTTGTTTAATACTAGAAAACATTGCTTTTGTGCGACTTTTTGGTTTTGTAAAGATAAAACTTAAGAAGACATAAAAAATTCGAAAAGAAAGCCAAACCGCACAGACACGCTACTCTCCCTTAACCGAACATCTGCCGCCTTCATTTTTTTGCGCACCTCTGTCGACGTTGACTGCGACAGAGGAGTACGTGTGAGAGCGCCGCCTTCATTTTTGGCAGTCGACGCCAACTCGTTCACTTATTTTCGAAGAACGAGCGGCAAAGGTTGGTGAACGCAGGGCAAGAAATTAAATAAAACTTAAAAAAAAAAACATAAATTTGTGTGATAAATACCAGACAAACAAAGTGATAAACTGGCTTATTGATTCAATAAGCAGCTAGTTTTAGAATTACATTAAAGAGAAACAGAGAGATATAAAGAGAGCGTGGTGATTAGCATCATCATTAATTACTTGAAGTCCTTTCAGAATACAGTCTTTTGGCTGAAAAAATAAGTGTTTTTCCTTAAAACCTGTACCTCAAAATGCCTCTTCCAAGGCATTTTTGAGGTTTTTTCATACATTTTGAGAGCGCATCGCAGTCTGTACCAATATATGGCAGTCATCGCATACAGAAAAAGTGTTGCCATTTCGCTGCTTTTTCACATTCGCCGTCAAAATTAGTGCCTCTTTTGTAGCCAAATGACTGGGCTTTTTGGTCCTCTAAAATAATTGCAAATTGCCATATCAAAGGTCTAGGCATACTCCTGGGTACAACGCCAATTAATTTCATATTAATTATTAAGTGGCGCGCGTTCAAGCAGATAGAAGAAGAAGCGGAAAGCGGGAGAGAGCAAGCGCGCGCGCGCATTTTTCAGTTTTATTTCTTCGTCAAGAGCGCTGAGCGGTAGCCGTAGTAGTAGTGCCATCTCGCTTGTACCGCCATTGCTTTGCACCGGTGGTGGCTCGCTATCTCACTCACACTACCCCTGTTGTTGCTCTTGGTACAGGAACATGGCGCGCTGCTAAAAAGAAAATGTGCTGCCCATAACATTTTGAATTAAAGTGTTTAGTTGTAACCGAAGAGTACAGTACTACAGAAGAGTTATAGGTTAATAATGGGTGATTTTAAACAAAAATATAAATTTTAATGACAAAAACTAGTTAGAAAATGTATTTATTAGCTGTTCTAGAAAGAAGTTTGGTCTGTAATTGCTTGGCTTTCTTTTAAAATAAAAGTCAGTGACTCGCATTTTAGTGCAGGTCTGATCTTAAAGTTCTTAGATAAAGGAAAGAAATTTATGTGTAAGGAAACGGGAGAGGCCACTAAAAAAATAATCCAATTAAAAATTAACTTAATATTTAAGTATAGTAGAGATTAAGTTAATTATTAGTTATATACCGATCGATTAATAGGGGGAAAATGTAATAAACTATATAATCTAAAACTTGTTTGAGAAGGGCTATCTATAGGAATAGGCTGGCTTTTATATAGAAATAAGCAGTAATAGTGAAATTAAAAAAATTGGCTTATAATTATTAATTTTTACCTTTATTTTACTTACAGCTCGAAGCAAATATTACCTAGTGTTACACTTGTTAAATAGTTTCAACAAAAAACACAAATTAAAATGGCCGATAAACCAAAACGCCCACTCTCCGCCTACATGCTGTGGCTCAACAGTGCCCGCGAGTCGATCAAGCGGGAGAATCCCGGCATCAAGGTCACTGAAGTGGCCAAGCGCGGTGGTGAATTATGGAGGGCAATGAAGGATAAGTCGGTAAGTACAAATTGAATCGCTCATTCAACCGAAGATCTTTACTAACGTGCTATAATTTCTTTCATTGATCATTAGGAGTGGGAGGCAAAGGCTGCCAAGGCCAAGGATGACTACGATAGGGCCGTCAAGGAGTTTGAGGCTAATGGTGGTGGTGGCGGTGCTGCCAATGGTGGAGCCAAAAAGCGCGCGAAACCAGCGAAAAAGGCGTCGAAGAAGAGCAAGAAAGATGAGTCAGATGAAGACGAGGATGATGAGAGCGAGTAGACTGCTCATACTTACCCTTATCCATCACCAAGTCACACACACACCACACACAACAAGCCAGAATCCACAAGAAAACAAAAACACTGGTGGCAACACCGCATCCCAACATCAACATCCACAAATTATCCCTTAAATAGTTTAGAAAGCCAAGCCCGATCGATCTGTCATCGTATCAAAACGCAGCACAGCGGCAACAAGCGAGAACTGTTAAGGCTGCAACTGCAACTAAAAACGCAAGAGAGGAGAACAAAAATACGTGAAAATAAGCAAAAATTGTATTTATACATATGAATTTAAGTTTATAGTAGTCGTTTCTTTTATAATACCCATATACAAAGAAGGAGACAACCAACAGGAAAGGAGAAGAAAGTCAGAGAAGGAGAAGAATGTACGTTAAGGTGTTTTTTTTCGTTTCTGCCGACGTTTCAGGCGTTTAAGAAATTCGAGAGAAAAATCTATCTTGCATATAAATTTTGTAAAGTAAACGATAAAATAATTCCATTAAAAATAAAAAAAAAGATACAAAAAATGGCAAATTGTTCTCTCAGTAGTTGGCTGAACTTGACTCGATTAAGATCTGTTGATAACTTAAGGATCGGGCTTGCTTAGAGGGAGAAATGAATGATCCACTTCACAGACAAAGTACACAAAATGAAAACAACAAACAAACAAACAAAACACCGCAAATGAAACAAACGAAATAACGCTCAGGTCTTTTCGTCATTTTGCATTAAACTTAAATGTTTAACGTCTTGTTAGCTAAAGATGTATAGCAGAAGAGGAATTCGGAAGGTAGATGAGATAAGCAGATGTAATTGCATTTAATCGGTAGTTTTAATTGATAACTATACGTATAATTTAATGAGAAAACATACAAAATAAAATAAATACATTTTTTAAATGCGTTGAAAATTGTGCCATCTCTTTATTAGCTGGGTGAAAATTAAGAAAAACAATCTTAGATTTTGGTATTTTAAACTTTTTATTTTTAAATATCATTATGAATTCAATAGTTGCTACACTCTAAAATGATTTCTTTCGTTTCCGTTAGTTATTCAAAAATCAATGCAATGATTTCTGTGGGATTTAGTGTTATATTATATTATGTTTAACTATTTATCGTATGCGATATCGCATACAAATACCATCAGAGTTTTTGTCTTCACTTTGGGATTATCAAATGTTTAACAGATCTACAATTAAAACAACCCTTTAAACAATATCTTTCCAATGCAATTAATGGTTTTGATGATTCGTGTTGCTTTGAGAGGGTTGCTCAGGTGAAACACGAAGAGATTAAAGCTTAAATTTAGATACATGCTCCTTAAGTGGCGCCAGATCTTATAAATTAAGTATTGGGGCCTTTGTTTTTTGGTTTTCCACGGTGTACAAAAACAGAACGGTGTTGCGCTTATTTATTATTCAGCTTAGACTACGAAGTTATGGCAAACAAAAAACAAAGTCTCTCTCAGAGCCTTTCCACATAAGAAACAAAGAAGTCAAGAAACGAAAGAAGCTGTTCCAAAAAGGGTGTCCATAGCGTTGTTGTGGGATTTGCCTTGGCACCCACCAGGAGATCTCCAACTATCTGCCCCTGCCTTGCCATATCTTTAATTGCGATTCAGCCAGAATATTGTCTTAAGAACGAAGTAGGCTAGACCCAGACAGTAGACGATCTTCTCCCGCTGCGTGCGCTGCTCATTGTTAATCTCGATATTTAGCACCCGGCGATTTAGTTTGGCCAACTGACGTCTCAGATACAGTATCTCCTCGTGGGGCGTCAGCTCTCCCATGGGTGTACCCTCGCGATGCGCTAGCATAGAGGCATCTAGGTTATTGTGTTGCTGCTGATTCAACTGTGAACGCTTGCTGGCACTGCCCGTGGTCAACTGGAAAAAGGCAAAGATTTAAGGATTAGTGATTCTTAAAGTATGATTAAGTTTTGGTACCATTTCTTGGGTGTTTTTACTAAGAAAATATAAGGAAAGTGCAAGAATTTGGAAATTCCTTGACAGATTTCGAAAGGGTTAGTAGCCGTACATAAAGTTTAAAAAACTTTTCCTTCAAAGAACCAAATTTTCTTGAGATAAAGCTTCAGTGCTGATAATTATTAGTAATAATCACTTTTTGGAATTTAGTTTCAGTTTTAACAAGTTTTTTAATTACATATTTTATCTAAGTAACCCTCTTTCAAAAATCGTTACCAACATATTTACTTTATAAAATTTTCAATATAACAGGGCATAGAATCTAACTAACTCAGCAGATTATTTTTTAGGTTCTTAGTAAAAATATTTAAGGTTTCTTTTATCAATTGATTGTCAAAGAAAAAATGAAAATCTACACTTGTCAAAACAGTTTTACTATAAACAATCAACATTCAAATAATTCCCTCAAACTCTAAATTTCTGTGTAGTCAACAATTTTTGCTTTTCGGTCCGAACAATGACAACCAGCCCAAGCTTTGCTGAAGTGGATGTTGGCGAGCTGCCGAAACTGGAGGCCATCATCAGGGCCCTGAAATGCGAGCAGACTGGTCACATTATGGAGGCGATACTGCTCTATGAGGAGAGCATCTTCAAGTTGTCCCAAATGGCTGAGGCGGAGCCTAGCCATCGCCAGCTATGTGGGAAGTACTTGAAGATGTACGAGGCGCGGGCCAAACAGCTGAGGGATCAGGTCAAGGGTCACTTGCAGAGCAGCCGAATGCTGGATCACATCATCATCGAGCAGGGTGCCAGGGGCAGGAGCTACCAGCGATTGTTTGGCCCGTATTTGGACGACGGCGTCCGTGAAGCCCATCTCAACGAGCCTCATCTCACGGAGCCGTCTCACTTTAGAAATCTGCTTAACTTTCTGGAGGTGCTGGTCAAGAACTGTCGATATCTAAAGTACATTCGCTTGACCACTCGACCAGATCCGCTGGCACCAAAAAATCAATTACAGATGCTACAGCAGATGAAGAACGACCTGGCCGTTGGCAATATCCAGATGAACTTCCAAATGGACAACAGCCTGCATGATCGCAAAATTGTGCTCAGCTCGGGAGTGGTCATCAAGATTGGCAGAGGTCTCCACTACTTTGAGCCAATGGAGAGCTCTTACACCCTTGGTCTATGCGATTTTGATTTTCGCAAATGCCTGGCCACCGAGGTAGACATCTGGAAGTGTCGAGCTTTTGCTAAGCGGCTCAAGGAACCGCAGGACGGCGAGTATCAAGCCTCGAAGGAGGATCGTCCGCAGGCACATGGCTACTCCAGCGATTAGCAAGAGTGAGAGTGAGATTTGGTCGTCGGTTGGAATTAGGTCAGCCGCCTTATCACAGCAGTACACGGAATTAATAAAAGCAGCAGGTTGTTAATCTCTTGGCTGATTGAATGGGCGGGAAGCTAATGGTGATCGCTGATTGCCATTCCCAGTTATGGCATTGCATCATGTCTGGATTGTATAGTATTGTGGGAAATGCTCTTTTGAAGAATTTTCAGATAATGATGGTTAATTAAGTATGAGTTTAAACTATTAAAATTTATCATATACTTATTTCAAGTGATTAAAATATTTTCGACTAACACTAATAAAAGAAATCAGCCGCAGGTAATTCTAGTGTGTGCTGATAAGACTTATAATGTTTGTAGGAAGTTTGTGAAATCGTAGACAATAAATCCAAAAGTTGTAATTGACCGTTGAATCTATATAAAAGTATGTATGTATATAGAATATATGTAATAGAAATTATAAAAATTTCCACATTGTACCAATTTAAAGTATTCAACGAAGTAATCTAGGATATAAACATGATATAAAATGAAAAATATAAATTCGACTCTAAAAACATGAAATAGTATAATGTTATGTATTCGAGATGCTCATTAGGATATCCTATTTTTCCTTAGTATCTAGGGAAAAATAAACCTTAAATTAAGCAAAATCATTCGCTTTAAATTCAATTAGAATTAAAAAAAAAAAAAGAATAGAAAAACACTGAATAAAACGTGATTCTCTGTAAGAAAAGCTATCACTATCACAACTTTCCAACTTGAGTGCCTGCTGATAAGTCCATCTTATATTTACTCACCTGGGAATCCGATTCCACGGAGTGGGTGTCGTTTGTATGGAAACCCATTCGGGCGACCCCATTGGCACGCACATATTGGGTGGCCGTCTGACCCTCCTCGTCGTCGGCGTCTTCGTCGAGATCATGACCATAGAGATGATGGCCATTAGCCCGGATGGGCGAGCTCTCCTCGGAGGCCGAGGGAAAGTGGTGATCGGTGAGGGTGATGACACGCGGAGGCGTTTGGACGCGCACCAAACCGATCGAAGGGTTCTTGGGCAGAATAGAGTTTTCCAGCTGGATTTCCCGCGGTGCAGAACGAGTTTCCAAGTGCTGATTGTGACCCAAGACCACAATTCTATCCGGGACATTCATGTCAATCTTGTCATGGTAGTTCCAGGAGCTGATCATTCCATTCTGGTTAGATAGCAGTAAATCCTCGTCGGAAAACTCGCCAGTGGCCTTAATTCTCTTGGGAACCCGCATCTTGTCGTTGATTTCGTGGGCAAATTTGGCCTCATTGTAGAGATCATCGTCCAAGCCATTGAACATGGGTGTCGGCGATTGCGGGGTCCCCATAGCGATGTCCTGGGTCTTCCTTAGATCTGATCGTATTCGTATTTTTAGCTATTTCGCAGCGCTACTTTTGGTTTCTTCGTTGTTTTTCCAATTTTTTTTTTATTTCAAGGAGGCGGCCGTGAGAGAGACGTTTTCATAATAAATTAGTAATCAGAATTTAGCTTGGGCAACATTTTCGTATGTGTTTTGTGTGTGTCTGTTGTGGTTGGTGTTTTTCAAATGCTTTATACTTACATTGCTTGAGAAGTGACAGAAAAATGTCCGGATAATCCGTAATATTTTACAATTTTTTTCTCCTGCCTTTTGTTATGTGTGTAAGGAGATTCGGGATAGAATGTGCTAAAAAATACCAAAAATGACTGGCACTGTTCTGTTACTTGACAGTGCTGAATCTCTGGCTTTATTTAAGCCAATAGGTTACAAAATATTCAGCGCTATTTCTAGTTGTTATACTCTCAAAATGCTCCTTTACCGTTTTTCTGCAGCGTAATTAGCAATGTCTTGCTGTTAGTGTGGCTTGTTAAGTTTCTGTTACGACTAACAGAAAAAGGATTACTGTTAATATTCACAGCAACTGAACATACATAATTATTATTTATTTATTAATTAATATTTCAAATTATTAGTTCTCTTAACATTTGCTAAATAAACTTTTTGTAATTATTAATTTTACTTGGTTTCCGCTATTTTAAAGTGCTTAAAAAAACCATACGCAAGAGTGTGGGAAAAAATTTATAAATAAAAGACACACAAACCTTCAAATTGTTGTTTTTTAATCCTTATTGAATTAACTATATATACATTGAATATATTATATTGATAAAAGACTATATTTTGAAATACCCAAAAACAAACTAAAAATTGTTTAAGGTACTCACCACAAGCAATATTAACATCAAGTCGCGTGCTGTTAGGCGCATTCGGTGTTAGCCAACACTGAAATATACCAACGCAAGAGGGCCGCGCTCATTTTACAACAAAATTTCCTCAACCGCCGACAGCCAGACGCGCGTCTTTTTTTTATCAAGTGATTAATGCTGATTTTACGGCGATTCATAAGGCACAGGAAGTGAAAAATTACAACTAAACTGAATTAGAAGTGAGTAATAAAGTTGTAAACCGTTAAAAGTTGCTAAAACATAGTTAAACAACATTTAAAAATGTTGAGCTACTAGGCGATCGAGAGAGTGAAAAAGAGAGCGGGCTCTGCCAGCGTCGCTGCTAGCTGAATGTACAGTTGCGGCAGCGACGTCGCTTTTCCTTTCGGCGCGCAAACACAAATAAATACAGAAAAATCAAAAATCAAACACAACTAGAGAAAATCACAGATAGTTTTGTTACTAAAATACAATTATAGATTGTGTGTATTTTGTAAACTATAAATAACATATAGCACTCGCCTGAGCAGAAACTAAAGATGATTTTAATTTTGCAGCACGTTTTTTTCTATCGGAAAACACCATGGATCGACGCCTGAGACGCCCGCGTCGCACGGACGACGTGTCCAGCGGTCCAGTGTTGCAACAATCCACACAACCCAGTCTCTTACCGGTGACCCGACGAGCGGGATCTATTACAGCGGCCGCAGCAGCCTCTGCCGTTGGTCCCGCTACCCGGACACGTGCCTCCCCGTCGCGCAACAAGGTCACCGCACCGCCCTCACCCGAACTTGGTCCGCGCACCCGTCGCTCCAGTCGTCCGAGATCATCGGTGGGTCCGTTGACCATATCGGGACCAGGATCCGGTTCCTCGTTGGCCATCAAGGCCGCCATCAAGGCTCGCACGCCCATTCGAGAGGTTTCTGAGGTGAGTTCTCCAGGGAAACCAGTTTGAATGCACTGCAAAAAATCTTGGATATATGTAAGGACTATTACTTAATAATAAATTTATTATGTGATAGGATATGTTATGATCAGCCGTAAATTCCATTTAGTTATGTCACATGGATGAATATCAATATATTGATTTAATGCCCATCCATTATTTCCTTAATTATTGTTTTTGATTTTTCGAAATAAGAATAAATTGGTATTACCCATTCTTTATAGTTGACCCTATGTTAGTAAAAATTATCAGTTTTTCGTATATATCCCTTGTCCCTAGTAACGCATTTTTGATTTGGCAGTCAACCAAGTTAATGATAATCAATAATAACCTTTTGACTTTTCCCTTCAGAGTAATAAAGATACGTATGATAGCGGAGCATATCCATTTCTGGTTAATAGCTCTGTCAGTACACTTTATCGCCTTTTCTTCCTAATATTAATGTAGCGTAGGGTTTGAGGGTTAGCTTACCAAAGACAAAAAAGCAAACCCACTGTTCAAGTTTTTTTTTTAACTGTAAGGTATCGGTATATTTAGCTGATAAGTAGTACCCCCAATTGCTTATCAGCTCAAGGGCTTGCCTTACGCGCTATAATAAGGGAATTTCGAGCGAAGATTACGGACAAATAATTGTCGAGTTAAACTGCTGATTAGTTGTTACTCATACCAAAAAGTATATCCAAGATTAGTTTATTGCTAGTACCTAGGTTATTACCCTTTAAATCGTTACTAAATACCACATTCTTTTTCAGGTAGCATCACCCGTTCGTCAGTCTACCAGCAATTTTCCCACGACGCTGACCACCAACACATCTAGCGGTGCCCCGAATAAATCCTTCAACACAAGCTCCGTTAACAGCGGCAACAACTACAGTCGCACGACTACAACCAGCTCCACCACAACTACCGAGCGCATTGAAATCCGTGCTGAGGGTGATAGCGAGGTGGACACTGATTCCATTCGGAAGCGTATCACCGAAAGACTCCGCAGATCGGTATCGAAGACAATCTCGAATTTGGCAGGAACCCCAGTGACGAACACCGAAGAAGGTAGTCGCTACAGCCGGAGTGTTTCCCGATCAGTATACGACGATGAGAAGTCCTCGAAGCACAGTTACTCCACGGGAGAAGAGGATATCGAAGAGGAAGATGAGCTTGAGGAGGAACAGTTCCGTAGCTTCAATGTCACTCGAAAATCGGCAACTCCGGCAGAAACCTCATGCCGCCAATTGAAGACTCCTCGAGAATTCGGCGGCTGGCCAGGAGCCTTCCTGCTATTGCTTCTGTTGCCCACAGTTGTGTACTATCTCAGCTGGAGCTGCACATCCAGAAATTCCTGTCACTTTAAGCGCTTAAATCTTGGTATTGTACTGGATGTAAACTACTTAACTCGACATGTGTTCCAGCCTCGTGTGGTCGGTGCCTTTGCTGCCTATCAAGTGGTGGTCTTTCTACTAGTGGCCCTTCTACCAGGACGAAGGGTTCATCTCACTCGAGAGACCTATAAGTTTAACTGTCCAGCAGTTGCACTGACCCTTTTATTTGCCGGTGGAGTTGCCGAGTATCTGAAGTATCCGGTTGTGTCTTTCATTCTGCGTCACTATCTTCGTTTCTGTATTTTTGGACTCGTTGGAGCCTTTGTGGCTGCTGCCTGGAGCTACTGGTTGGTGGACAATGCCAAATACAATGTGCTTCGCCAGACGCTGACCAATGATTATGGCAGAACTGGCATCTTTGTGGTGGATTTCGCGCTGGGCAGACAGCTCAATCCCAAGTGGCTGGGACGCGTGGATTGGAAGCAGTTCCAGTACCGACTCTCCTTGGTGACCACTTTGATCTATGCCGTATGTTATATCTACCAGACGGTCGTATGGCCACAGAAGCCACAACTGGCAGAAACAGAAGGAAATCTTCACCTGGTTAAATACTACTGGAACAATGTCAACTATGATGCGGGCATCCTGCTCTCGGCCGGCTGTTTGCTGTTCTACGTTTTGGATTCCATCATATTTGAGCACCACTTGAGCTCGTCTTTTGAGTTGCAACATGAAGGTTATGGTTGCCTGCTGCTCCTGCGCTACGCAGCCACTCCTTATCTGCTGACGGCGGTACCCAAGTATTTCTACGATCAACGCGTGCCGATCTCCTGCTGGTACGCTCCGCTGGGAGTGGCTGCTCTTCTATCTCTGGGATTGCTGATAAAGCGTTATAGCTGCGCCTACAAGTACAAATACCGAGAGAACTCACAGAATCCGATCTTTGCCAATATTGAGACTATTCACACGTATCAGGGAAGCCGTCTGCTGCTCAGTGGAATGTGGGGCTGGGTCAGGCAGCCCAATTATCTCGGTGACATCCTAGCCCTGCTGGCCTTGGCTGCTCCGATGGCCCTGCGTATTGCCTTGCCTCCGCTGTTGGGTCTAAGTTTGATCATTGTGCTGCTGCTACATCGCGCCACCCGAGCTAATGCCAGGAATCAGGCGCGCTATCACTCCTCGTGGCACCGCTATAGCACCCAGGTGCGCAGCTACATTCTGCCCAGGATCTACTAAGGACTTAATTGACGCATTAGTTGACTTTTTTATTTTTGTGGCCATTTTTATTTCGATTTCAGTTTGTTTATATTAAATGTTTCGAATTTGTATATATAAATACGTACTCATATTGTTCCCACACCATCAATATGCATTAATTTAAGTTTTTACTTTCGCCGACAAACATTTAACAAAAAAAAAAACAAATCTTCACACACACACACACACATAAGTTTAAAGTTTAGTTAAAGGCATCCAAAACATCTAGCTGTACGGATTTATGCGCTTAAGATCTATATACTTTAAATAATCATAACTTTATGGAACTATATGGTATGCATATAGAAAGTACTTTTTATACTTAAATATGAAATAAAAAATCCTTAGTTTCTATGCTATAGAGAAACGCACAAAAATGAAAATGGGTTTTATTGGAAATTTTCTGGGTTTTATAACTAATGAAACATGATTTTGGTCTTCAAGAACTACTAATATTCAGCTTGTTAAACACAAAAACTGGCATAGCTACTTCTTTCAGTTAACTGAATTCTATGATAAGCTAGAAAGTGCAATCTTGATAAGTTCTCTAAATCGATTTTCACTTAGAACCAGGCTAGACTTTAAGGTCAACACACCCCCCGAAGTTTTCGAGTTGAATCAAAATACAAATTATGATGGGGCATATTTCATGGCTTTTGGCCAGAGAACTGCGGCTGATGATGATGATGAATGTCAGTCAGCGAATAAAAGAAGTAATTTTGTGTAAAAATACCCGCTCCACCGCCTTTTCGCTCGGTTGGCCGGACGGACGTACCGCATAAAGTTCTTGGGGGTGTGGGCGTGCCCGAAGCCGTTACAACTGTTAATGACATTTACGAATGCTTGTGAGCAACCGAAACTTGGTAGCCCCAGCCATCCCCCTTTCCCCTCACACACATAATGCCAAAATAATGACGAGGTCTGAGCTTGCACCTCCGAAAGGACATTACACTGAAAGAAAAACATTGAACAGAATGAAAAAAAAAATAAAAATTTCAAAATATAATAAATATTATATCAGCAATAATCATATAATATATGAAAATAAAAAAATATATATAATTTTTAATATTTAAAAATTTTTAAAAATAAAACAAAAATAAAAAAAATATTTATTATAATAAAATAAAATAAATAATTTGTGTATTATTCAATTCCAAAAATTATTTGCAGTGTAAACTGCCATTGAAAAATGACGCGGAAACTGTCGAAAAAGAAAGCAAATGGCTGGTAAAAAAAATCATGGAAAACGGCTAGGAAAACCTCAGCGTCGACATTTGCGGTTTGCTATACAAATGACCGACCACCGCCGACTGGCCCCGCCCACTTAACGAAAATTATACAATAATGGCGTCAACATTAGCAAATTGTGCGCTTGTCGCAATTCCCATTTTGGACATTTTCCCTACACCCCACCCGCCAAATTTCCCTCCTACGTTCTCCTTTAATGACCGTTTAAATTGGCGGATCCTGGCTTTTTGCCTTGCTTTTTCTTTTTGATTGATTGTCCCCTGTTTCCCTGATTTGCGGGAAATGCATAAATGATTTATCCAAAGCATGCAAATTAAATGCTTGCCCGGTGGTTATAGGCTATAGAGGAGAATGTAGGTATAGTAACCTTGAAGTTGGTAGGAATGGCTGGCAATTTTGTGTTTAATTATGAACTAATATTAAATGATATGTCCAATTTATTAGTTATGATTTATTTCATTGCTATACCAACCAACCAGCATCTTCCCTGGCCAACAGAACAATTGGAAGATGACTAAAACGAAGGCACCCCGCCGATCTCTGGACAAGAGGAAGGTCAGTTTCTCGAGTCCTAAACCAGTATCTTAAATTATTATTGATCTCTCGTTATAAACATTTGTTTATTACCTTCCAGTTATGCATTTATGTTATTTGTACAGTATTATCCTCAACGTATTATAGCCATTAAGTTGGCTGATTAAGGTTTAAAAAATTGTCATGTTTATACAGGGTGTTCCCCATTTTATGGGGCGATTTAAATATTTGATATTTTTCTCAAATATCGACCGATTAGCTTAATCAGACATGTTTTGAAAACGTCAAAGCATTAGAATTTTACCGATGTCACACTGCAAATGATACGAGGAACTATTTACGACGAAATTTCCCTGGACGTTTTATGTCGAAAAATGGCAATATCTACTGGCCACGAGACCTCCCGATTTAACTCCCCCAGACTTCTTTCTGTGGGGTTATTTGAAGAGCAAATTACTTGCCTGTAATCTTCAAATCCTCGACGAGCTAAAGGACAGCATCCGTGCCGAAATGAGAGCCATACCAATTGATATGCTCGTGAGAGTGATGAAAATGCAGCAAAAAGAGCACAATTTGCCGTGTCCAATAAAGGTGGCCATTTAATTGATATTGCTTTTAAATTGGTCAAAATGAAGTGTATCTATCGATATTAAATGTTTCTTTGTTTTTCTTTTAAGTTATTTAATTAATCGGCCCATAAAATATGGCGCACCCTGTGTACTTATATACTCCCTATAGTTCTTATGTTATCATAAATATTATAAATCTATTTTATCTATTCTAATCTATCTATTCTACATATTATTTAATTTAACCTGTTATAAATAAAAATACAAAAATATTTAATATTTTAATATTTTAATAATATTTCCAATATTTATTATAAAAACTATAAATGAAAATATTTAGATTTTAATATTTCCTTATCTTCCATTTTCCATTATTTTAAACCTCAGCTTAAACAGGAATTAAGCTGCTAGGAATAAGTACAAGTCGCTAAACTAGTTTCAAAGCTTAGGCAAACAAAATAGGAAAAGCAAAGAAAAGAAAACCCGCAACGACATATAAATCACGCCTTTTTTTCAAAATCAGATAACGTTTGGCATAAATTTAGTTTTAATTGACTTAATGCTTGTACTTTTATCAAATAATTAATTACAGAGCAAAGTGTAGGCAACACCCGGCCAGATGACAAGATACTTTAAGATCAGGCAACTCCTAAGCTGGGTCAACCAAAGGAAGTGCTCCCGTAGAGGCGTCTTTATGGTTAGTTTTTATTTTTTTTATTTTCATAGTAAAACTCACTTGCCAGTGGGCGTCTACAGTGCAGTGTGCAGTAAGTTTGTCAACCAGTTTGTGCTGGTAGTGTTTACTTTGCGTGGGCGAGCTTTACCCCACCCCGTAGTTTTCCATTCAATTATCTAGTTTTCTATAAATTTTCTTGGCTGCAGCAGGGACTATGCAGTTCAGTGCATTTTGTTGGCCTGTAATTGCCCCATGTCAACAAGTAAGATCGATATCGCTGCCACAATTTCAGTTCTGACATTTTCGCTTTTGTCGCTGGCCGAGCAATAAAATTGTTATTGATTGTAATTAGGTTTGTAATGGGGTTATTTATGTGTGTCAGCCGTTGTTTATGTAGTCCAGTGTAGTGCCTGCCTGACTTCGGGCAGAAGTCCAGATTGATTGATGGCCAGTCAAGTAGTAATTGGTTGAAAATTGAAAATAACTTTTAGCAGCAATTTAAAACAATTTTCAGGCCGTTCAAACAAATAAATAATTGTGTTTGCATAAATATTTGAAATGTGTATTTAGGTAGGTTTTATGGGATTTACAAAATATATAATAATTTGTTGAAAATTTACTCAAATTGGTGCAGTAATTAAAGGATTCTTGAAGAATTTTCAGTTTAGCATGAGATTAAATCACTTTTTAATTGATTTTTTTGGATAATTTGTTTTATTATTTGATAAATTCTGTGCTTTTCCACGTAAATGTTATTAAAAAGTCTCGTCATAGATTTAAAATATTTTCTCCTTTTCACAAACTTTTAAATAACCTAAAAAGAAAAGATAATTCAAAGACTGCACCACCCAAAATATTACTGACCAAGACTTTTCCAACAATTTATGCAAGGACCTTGAAAACAGCTCTTGACAGGTTCTTTGGGCCAACAATGGGACAATGGGAAAATAAGACAGGACACGTTTACTGGCGATCCTTTTGTTCGTCGGTGTCACATCCATCTTCATCAGTCCAAAGTTTGCATTTAAATTGGTAATTAACACAAAATAAAAGCGAAAGCATGGAGAAAAATGCCAAGCGAAATAAGCACAAATACAAAGGCAACCAAAAACAAGATGACATTGAGAGGAGAAAGTGAAGAAAAGCGGAAACAATCAACTAACCGAATGATAAGAAATGTGTGGCACAGGAAGTGAAAAAGGGGCCAAGGGGGAGGATATCAGTTCAAAGTGCGAAATTGGTTGTCAAAGTTAGAGGAAATCAAGAGCACTGTTCAAACTTGAAGTTTAATGAATGGGAACTTGAATTTATATATATTAAAATTTATAAATATACTTATGTTACTATACCGTAGAATCTTAAAGCTGAGATAATAGAAAACTTACTTTTAAATCTTAAAAAATTAGATAAATACAAAAAAAACATATGAAGAACTTTATTTATTTGATTTCATTGCAAAGTTTCAATTTCCTGGCTTTTTCATGTAAATATTAAACGTCTCCTAAAATAAGTTTTTATTAACGCCAAACTAAAAACAATGGGAACTTTTAATCTATTAGATTATAAGACCGATGGTCAGTAATTTTATACAAATAATTATTATGAACTAAATTTATAAATTTTAACATGAGCGACAAACTTATTACAATAAGTTAAAGTATTTTAAAATTGTGAACTCTTTGATGCTTCATTACGAACCGATCATTTTCTTTTAAATTCGATGTTAAAATTGTAATTTTACATAATTTAAAAACGAAATATCTTTCAGTGTAAACTCCCTCAAATCTCAGTAAACGTAATAATTTCGTTTCTTCTGCTAACTGGCTGGTTCTTGTCCCACTTTATCATTTCATTAAATCGGGGAAAAAAGAAATAAAAGAAAGGAAAAACAATAAAATAGAAAATGGGAAAATAGTGGCAGCACGCCGGGGCTCACGTCCTTTCCATTGAACGCTGCCAATTGAATGTAAATAAGAAAGTGACAGCCAAAATGGCGGGAAATGAATGGGAAATTCGATGGTGGAAGTTCAATGGGATGAAGCTAACTCGTGTTGAGCAGGTCATCAAGGACAATCGCCGCTCTGGCGACTTAGTTGACAAAATGAAGCGAATGAAGCCATCAGACAGGTGACAAGCAATTTATTAACCATCAATTCCTCGAATAAAGAGGAAAAACAAATGGAAAACCATTATTTTGTAGGAAAAGAAAGTGAATCAAGTGAGATGTTTTTCCTAATATTCTTGAACTGTAAATCTCAAAATGGAAATCAGAAAAAGTGGAAGCTATTCCAGCATAGTTTCTAGTTTATATAGATTTTTTACTAACTTTTTTAATTAACTTACTTAA